AAGTATCTCTAGTTCGCCTCGAAGCTTAATTAGGACTAGGAACCACTAATATCCTTTTTCTTCGATAGACTTAAGAAGGAGGTATAGGCCGAACTCTATAAGGAAGACCGGCCTAATAACCTCGTCGATTATATCGGCTAAGCAATTAGGATCGACGACTAATAGTTCTCTTAGAAGAAACTCTAGAACCCCCGCAATAGTAAAGAAAATTATTAGAAACCTCGGTTCGATGCTAACTAAGGGCGATACCGATAAAATGATATATCCTATAGAACCTATATAGGACCTATAAAACTCAGAGTAACCTAATAGAAGAAATATAACTATTATAGACTCGAATGCCGATACTACTATAAGATAAACCATATCGAGAAGATCTACTATAAAAAGTAGCGTAATATTAAGGAAGGTCGCTACTAGCTATAGTAATAGTGACTCCCCGAAGGCAGAAAGTAGGTAAGATTCGTATAAGCTAATAACAAACCATAGATAGCTCTATGGATAACAAAGACGCTCGGCATGGCATAAGCGGGCTATGACCGGATAGGAGCCATACCCGACCTAATTAATATACCCTATTAGTAAGCCTACCTCATGGAAGAATAGGCCAGAGAAAACGAGGTCGCCTAAAATAATAAGAAGGATCGAATATACTAGACGACCCGGCCCCGAAAACTCGATTATATAAACCTCACGGATTACACTAGGACACAACCGGAATAGGAGCTACTCCCAGAACCGGCTAATAAACTAGATAAAGACCCTAATATAAAAACCATCGCGGTTACCCGATGCAAGAAGTCTACCGAGATAAAAAACAACTAAGCACTACTACCCCTAACCCCCTAGGAATAAACCAATTACTAGGAAGCCGCCGCAGAAGGGTTCGACTATAAAAAATAGGTCGTAGGGTATAATAAGAATAGCAAATCCTAGATGCCCGCTATAATCTATTAAAGGGATTACTAGTAGAACGACCCTATATAATACGATCGCACCTTATGCCCCTAATACTAGGCCGAGGCATTACGGGAATATAATAAGATCTATAAATAATAGAAGGTAGATCGATATAGTAGATTACCACGCAATGACTGGATCGCAAAAACAGCAGGTAGCGGTCTAACCTAGGCATAAATCATAAATACTATAAACCCTTAGGAGTACTAATAAGAGGAACTCGCCCGAGTAGGAAAGGGAATATAGAAAACTAATGAAGAACTATAGGAGGAAGATCCCTACCTATGACTATATGACTAAGACGATAACTAATACTAGAATAGCATATGGGAACGATATATCTAGACGGCATAAGAATATATAGATACTACCGACGAATAAGAAATCTATATTCGCGCCTACTATAGAGAAGTAGCGGAAAACCCTAGATATCTAGAAGCACCTTTTAACCCACGAGACGACATGCGAATATACCTGATATACTAAGAACACGCTAGTATCTCATAGATATCCTACTAGTAATACTAGTGCGAGACCCACCGGAAGGAAAAATAGGAGTAAGATTATTTTCCCGTCGTACTACCGCATTAACCTAATAAGAACCTATACCTATGGTATAAGATAGAAGGATATTGAATTTTCTATTAGTATGAATCTATCGGCGTAGCCTATGCATAATATGATAGTAACCTCTACTATGCTATTTAGGAGCAAAAACGGGTTACCTATAAAATCGAAGACTGGTAGAAGCAAATCAGCTAGTAAGAGTAGGAAGACCTAGGAGCCTAAGAAGAAAGGAGCTACTAAGAGTATCTATATAGTCAGATCGACGACCACGACTATGAAGTATATAATAAGAGCGAATGTGAATATGATTATTATAGCCACGCTCTCTATAGGTTAAAAAACTAGATACCCCGTCTGATATAGGGCAACGGATAGATAAGCAAGGGAATGAACTACCCTGGAAGGCCCTATACTCTATAAACGGAGGATATAGGCGATGATGCCTAGAATTAAAAGTATAAGTTAAGGGAGAATAGTTGAATGCTTTAGTGGATAGTAGAGCTAAGTAGAATTACTTTGACCTAGTAGCGGTGAATAGGCTTAAGCTACTATAGAGGCATAAATATAAGCCCTATACGGTATATAACCTCGAAGGAATACCCTTCGATTATAATAATAGAGTTATTAACTATAAGATTAATTACCTTAAGGTTTTTATTAAAGGAAAGAACTAGGGAATCTCATTCAATATTATATTAAACTAGAGCTATGACCTTATGCTTAGGTACCTATGGTTATAATACTTTAACTTATATTTCGACTAGAGAACTAGCTAGATACTCTCTTGCGATACTAAGATATCTTCTATATTAAATAATAACTTAGATTAGAGATCTTAAACTTCTATTAACGACGGAGAAATTAGGAAGAGGTAAATATAAGATACCTCTCTACCCATAGGGATAAAATATAAATATTATAATAGATAGAAATAATAACGATAAAGAATAATCGCATAAATTATATAATAGTTCTATATACTCGAGAAAGACCTTAAGAAACTAAAAAGGGATAGCCCGGAAGAGGAATAACTTAAGAATATACTATAGAAGTACCGAATCTATAAATAATTCTTCGCGGAAGAACTTAAAATAGGTCTACTAGAATATATATCCTATGACCTTAAGATTAAGTTTATCGATAGGAAGTAACCTAGCTTTAATAAACTTTATCTACTTAATAAAGCATAACTTCTAGTATTAAAGGAATATATTAAAGATATAATATAGAAAGGATATATTAGGGAAAGTAAGTTATCTATTGGATACCCCGTTATGTTTATTCCGAAGAAAAATAGGAAGCTCTGATTTTATATCGATTTCCGAATACTTAATGCTATTATAATTAAGGATCGTATACCGCTACCTCTTATTAGCGAGCTAAAGGATTAACTTTTTAGGATAAAGTACTTTACCGCACTTAACCTTAAAGGAGCCTATAACCTTATTTAGATTAAGGAAGGATATAAATAGAAAACCGCTTTTTATATTAAGTATAGACTATTCGAGTACCTCGTTATGCCCTTTAGACTTATTAATATACCTACTATATTCTAATGAATAATTAATAATATACTATAAGAATATCTAGATATATTTATTATATATTACTTAGATAATATCCTTATCTTCTCTAAAATAGAAGAAGAATATATAGAACACGTCTATAAGGTATTATAGATATTATAGAATATTAACTTATTAATAGAACCCGAGAAAAGTAAATTCTACGCCTCGGAAGTAGAATTTCTCGGATATATTATCTCTTATAATAAGATATATATAGACCCTAAGAAAGTCTTAGTAGTTAGAGACTAGAAAGAGCTAATTAACATTAAGGAAATATAAGCCTTCCTCGGATTTACTAACTACTACTATAAGTTTCTTAAAGCATTTAGGAAAATAGCCGCATTATTAATAGAACTCACGAAGAAAGATAAGATCTTTATATTTAGGAATAAGGCTAAAGACGCCTTCGATAAGATTAAGGAACTTATCCTAAGCGAACTAGTACTTAAGATATTTAACCTATCTCAATAGATTAAACTCGAAATAGACGCCTCGGATTTTACCTTAGGCGCCTAGATCGGATAACGAGATAATAAAGGATGACTACACCTAATCGTATTCTACTCCTATAAGCTACATAGAGTAGAACTTAATTACCCTATCTACGATAAGGAATTCCTTATAATTATTAATGCCTTCAAGGAGTTTAGACACTACCTCCTAGGAAGCTAATATTAGATCAAGGTCTATATAGACTATAAGAACATTTCCTACTTTGCGATAACCTAAGAACTTAGCGGACGATAACTACGATATGCTAAATACCTCTTAGAATTTAACTACGTTATTATCTATATCAAAGGATTAGAGAACGGCAGGGCAGATGCTATTAGCCAAAGGCCTGACCTCGACACTGAAAAAATCCGAACTAAGGAATAATTATTACACTTTACCCCCGAAGGACACCTATAACAACAAACAAGATAATACACGAAGCACCCACCGGAATCAGAACCCGCTATTTACGAATAAGACAGAGTCACCGGAATACCCCACCGAATCATCGGAATAACCTACGCAGTAGAACAAGGCAATCTACTCCTCACAAAGATCCTAGAGTACAACGAACAACTCCCAAGCAACGAAAGAACAAACAAACAATAAATACCAGAGGAATTATAATATAACCTTATACGCGAAATACACAGCCACTAGCTACATAGACACCAAGGAATTAACAAAACCCTAGAATAAGTTAAGATGATATATACTTTTCCTAGCATAAAGAAGATCATCATAGCGATTATTAACCAATGCGACCTTTACGCAAAAACCAAGGCACGACGCTATAAGCCCTACGGCAAACTATAACCCCTACCAGTACCTTAGCTACTATGGGAAGCTATCATAATAGACTTTATCACTAAACTACCCCTATTAGAAGAACTAGCTACTAGAAACTTCTATGATAGCATTCTTATTATTATAGATAGACTCACGAAATTTTCCTACTTTATACCCTATAGAGAATTAATAATAGCCGAAAAATTCGCTTACCTCTTTTACTTCTATATCGCTAAGATATATAATATACCACTCGAAATTATTATAGATAAAGGACTACTATTCGCTTTAAAGTTTTAGCAAAGCCTCACGGGATACTTAGGAATTAACTATAAACTCTCTACCGCCTACTATAAGGAGATAGATAGATAAACTAAACGGATAAACTAAATATTAGAATAATACCTCTAATGCTATATTAACTATGAATAAACTAACTAGGTTAAGAAACTACTAGCTGCTTAATTAGCCTATAATATAGTAACTAATGAAAGCACAAAGATTATACTAGCCTATGCTAATTTTAGATTTACCCTAGATATCTACTAATAATCCCGAGATACTATTATTAACCTAAAAGTAATCCTTACTAGCGATTAATTGCGAAATCTATACGAAGAAATGCGAATAGAACTCGAATTTATTAGGAACAAAATAATAACCTATGCTAATAAGAAAAGGATTAAGGGACTAACCTTCTCGGAGGGAGATATAGTCTACCTCGTAATAAAAAACATTAAAATAAAATAATAAAATAAAAAACTCGATTATAAATATATTAGATTATATAAAATTAAAAAGAAAATCTCGAAATATAACTATAAATTAAACTTATTACCTAAGGTTAAGCTCTATCTAACCTTTTATATTTTATTACTCGAATTAGCATAAGATACTATCTAGGTAAAAATAGGCAACGAGCCCAATATAGAAATTAATAGACCAAAAGAATATATTATAGAGGCTATCCTCGATATAAATAAAATTAATAGTAAAATAATATATTTTATTAAATAGAAAGATTACCTTAACTCAGAAAACATATAGGAACCCCTGGAATACCTCACTAGCGCATAATGCCTACTATGGGATTTTTACTAATGACTCCGGAAGGAAGGGAACTAACATCGAAATCAAGGATAGCCGACTAATCAATAATATCAATAGCCCTAAAGGACTAAGCGTTAATAATAGCCTCGGCCTCCCGGCGATCTAACTCCTCTAACTCATCCAAAGAATTTAACCCCCGATGTACTATCTCTATACCCCGCTCGTAGATCTACTTCTTCTAACGACGAAGGCGCATTAGACGGGATAGCCGCTCATTCATCTACTACTAAAGAGCAATTAATTCCTCTTCTACTTTCTCCTCCTCAAGTTCTAGATAACGCTTCTCTACTACTAGGCGCGACGCTGCAAAACATTAGTAGGAAGAAGGCGATGAAACGCGGGAAATACACTCACCAGCGGAAACCAACACACCCGAGCCATCGCAAGCACGACTACGACGAACATACTTAGAATAATAAGAAATACCCTTAAGTATCTTATATTTTAGATACTTTTAAGAACAATAGGAATAAGGCATAACTTCGAAGCCTATTTCTTTAATAAGCTCAAAAAGATAGTAATAACGCGCGGCAGAACGGGACTTTATTTTCGATATACTATTAGTATCACGAAAAATAGTTATAAAGGAAGGTTTAATAAACTAAGGGAAATTTAGGATAGCTAACTTTAAAGGCCTTAAGGATAAGACTAACGAAGGGGAGATATTATATCACGGCCTAATATGCACCTATCATATATATAGGCGGGCCCCTATAATTCCTTACCAATCAAATAAATAATCACCCCTAATACTAAATAATCACGGTAATTATCTTACTAATTACCCTAATTACTTATATAGTTACCTTAATTAGGATTAATAGGCAGAGTAATTATAATCGACACCCAAAGTATATAGAATATACTTATTATACTTCCCTATATAGGAGCTACCTTAGCTATTAATATAACTTAGTTATACTTAATACCTTTAAGCATATTACTAGACGTGATATTATATTAACCTTTAAGGCTATGTAATATAATCTAGTGCTAATATAAACTAGTACGACCGGTTTATCCCTTGGGAAATATCCTCTCGTCACAATTAAGGTTTTTAAGTCGTTAAGTCATAGGAGTAACTTAAGGAGGAGGAAGGTTTTAGTCATAAAGATATAAAGGTTTAAGTAGTAGCTGCTAGGGTGAGTTAATAGGAGTATGGGCTTAGTTAGAGCTTAAATGTAATATCTCGGCGAATTGCCAAACTTGTTGGTTAGCGCACACATCATCTTTAAACATAATGGAAAAAGATTCTCATTCTTAGCAGTGGTAGGGTTACAAAGCCATGCGTTGACTACCTACTTCGAGACGAAAGGAGCGTCCTCACAGTCGGTAAGTGTGCCACCGGGTCTCCAATTTCTGGTTAATGATATCATTTAGCTTGTCGTACCCTCTCGACTGCGGAGAATCTGGTCAAGGGACGACCCCGTGCCAAGGCCATCGCCCTCGACGTCAAGTCGCCCGACCTCGACCACTGCATTGTCGAACACGACGTCGTAATCTCGCTCGTTCCGTTTATATACCATGTACATGTCATAATGTCGGCAATCAAATCCAAGACACACGTGATTACTACGAGCTACGTGTCCCCTGCGATGCGTGAACTTGACGACGCAGCACAAGAGGCGGGCGTCACGGTCTTGAACGAGGTTGGCGTTGACCCTGGTGTCGATCACTTGTATGCCATCAAGACCATTGGGGAAGTTCATGATAAAGGAGGAAAGGTGAGACTTGCAGTCCTGGCTTGTGTTATACAGGACTTACTCTGTGGCAGGTCAAGGAGTTCTACTCTTTCTGCGGTGGGATCCCCGCACCTGAAGCCGCCAACGACAACCCTCTCAGATTCAACGTATGCGGATGTGAACTTTACTACCTTGCCGAACAAGTCTGACCACACTTGATAGTTCTCCTGGTCTCCTCGTGGCGCACTGCTCTCCCAACACAACTGGGCAACCTTCCTTCGCGATGGAGAGATGGTTGGGATCTCCAATCAGGACCTGATGAGCTTGGCTAAGCCGTACCACCTCTTGGACGAATATTCGTTTGTAGCCTATCCAAACAGAAACTCGGTTCCCTTTTGTGAAGCCTATGGTATACCGGAGGCTCACACCGTGGTTCGGGGGTCTCTTCGATACGAAGGCAACCCTGCCATGGTCAAGGCCCTTATTGACCTCGGATGGATCGACCCAGAAGAGAAGCCGTGGTTGGAGGAGGGGTTGACTTGGGCACAGATTCAGCAAGGGGTAACCGGGGCTTGGTCACCTAACGAGAGTCATCTTATCGCCAAGGTCGACGAGTTTTGTACTTTTTCTTCCGCGAAGGAGCGACGCCAGATCCTCTCTGGCCTTCGTTGGATGGGTTTGTTTTCGAACGAGGTGGCGACATTGCACGGCAGTCTTCTTGATACTCTTTCTGCACAGCTGGAGAAGCTATGCAGTTTTAGGCCGGCCGAGCGTGACTTGGTGATGCTCCAACACGAGTTTGTCGTTGGATGGAAGGATGGCACTCAGGTAACACACCACCCCTCTTGGCATCTCTTAGCTTGCTGTTAATGATCAAAACAGAACACCATCACGTCTACTCTAGAACTCTTGGGCGATCCGAACGGAGACTCAGCCATGTCCAAGTCGGTTGGAGCGATGCGGAATTGCTACGCAGCTCCTTGACGGACATGCTCCTCTGAACAAGCCTGGTATTTTGGCGCCGTACTCCCGCGAGATTTGTGACTTGATCCGGGTCAAAGTCGAGGAAGAGGGTATTAGACTAGTGGAACAGATGGCTTAGTAGCAACCCAACATTGCACTCTGGCGTTGTTGCTCTGTCAAATCTTCATCAAGATATCTAACCACCAAGGGGTGGCTAAGATGGCAACATTATGCATGGGCCGCTGACAGTCAGCCTTATCATTTGCTCGCCCAGTCATATTTAGTTGGTGGCTTGGTACGGCTACTTGTTGATCGAGGGGCTGATGTGGAACAGCGTTGTGGATTGATAGACACGTCGCAATGGCTACTGACCAACCATCTCACATTTGTACTGAAGATGAATCATGGGCTTCTAGAATTCTGAGATGCTGTGAATCTAGTTGATTAGAGGCAAGATGAATGGTATGAACTCGTATGGATGCTCACGCGCTGATACGGTCCACCATCGGCGAAAGCCTAACTGGTTCATGCCCAATGTTGAGGGGTCGGAGTAAACATGCATCTCATGCTCGTTTCTGCACACGTGGATTCACACAGATTTAACTACTGCGCGAGAAAACAGCCATGATATGACTTTCTTACTCAAGCATAGACAAAGATATTAATACTACTCTGAGATGGGCTTCTCCCTCTGTCTTCTAGACGAAAGCACCATCCTGCCTGAACACGGAAAAGACACTACCAGCGGCATGACTAAGAGTGACAGAGTCCCCTCCGTTACATCATCTGCGCGTAGTAATTTTATCCATGCGATCCAAAGCTGGCTGCAGAACTGTGAGAATGATCACACACGTACTGCGAGAACGGAGCCACGACAGAATCCAACCTGACTTATCGACACGAAATACAAATGTATCGTGCGTGGAACCGATCAGCGCTACATTGCCCTCTGTTATACGTGGCAAGAATCCCTTCTGCTTTCTCTAGAGGAATTCTTGTATATACCTACCCCAAACTGCGCCAAATAATACTACGCAGATTAAAGTGTTAGCGGACGGTCAGTCCCAACGATGTCATGAGTGTGGACGTGGGTACCTATGACACTGCTTACGCCGACATCCGAGCACAAGCCTGGCAGGAAAATGGGGCCAGGAAGAAGCACGAGCAGGGACGTCGATCATGCCCGTGTGTGTCAGAGCTGAGCTCTGCCGATCGCTTCCCCCTGGTGATCGCAGCCGGAGCAGCCGTTTTCGACAAGGCCTGCAGCGATCTGCCGAAATCTGCCAGCTGCATCCCATAGGACATGGTATCTGCAGGGAGAAGAGGCATGCGCAAACTGAATAGCTATTGTTCCATTTCACGGATCCCACCCAGGCCATTCTGTCTGCTTGACAATTCTTGCCCGATTGGTCCGACTGTCTGCAGGTATTCTCATTCTATCAGGGCAAGAGGTTTGACATGCAATCTTGGGCTCTTGGTTCGGATACTCAAGCGTGTGCTATCATTCCTCGGCGCTCACAAGCAAAGGAAACAGTGCATGGAAATGTCTCTCGGACAAGCACACATGCCACGCTCTCCAGTTGTGTACAAGCCTCGGAAGACGTTGCCCCGCTATGATCGGGATTGGTCCATCTCACGAAGTGGAGGGATGGTACGGGTCGGACCGCGTTTCTTAGGCGCGTCATTTCCCCATCACTCCCCACCAATCCAACTAGCCAAAGTACCATCCTCTCTGCAGGCGAGTCGGGAACAGTCACCCGTCACCGCAGCTTCACGCCTTGATCTTCGCCACGATGGCGGGCTCCTGCATGTACCTGGGCTAAATAGGCCACTGTGTTAACATCGGGTCATGATGTCATGATGTGTTGAAGATCTGTTCTTTATTATAGTTGCAGCCCGGCCCTCGATGGGTTAACTAAGCCCGAAGATCGTACCTGGGCTAATCTCATCACGGACTATAATATTCCCGTGTTGTAGGGGTGGAATGCTTACAGAATGTTATTAGAGGCGATCCCGCTTGAATTGAGGAATTACGGAGTAATGAAGGTGGCCATGTTTAACCTTCAGACTTGAATACAGTAGGGACTGACGAGCGCCTCCTCGACCTCTGCTTCGTCGTCTGATCCCCAACACGCATATGAGCTAGCTTTGCGCCATCAGGAAGGTCTCATTGGTCGCTGCTTGGCCCAAAAAGTGCCAAAAGACTGCCTTGCAGGCGTCTCGGTTAAGTGGTTGGTGCTTTAGCGGAAGATGCATTCTACCGAGATGACTTCTGGTCCAATCGATGAGTCGGAATCAGGATGGATTGGAGTGTTATGAGGAACGACTTGGAGCAACATGTTTGCGGAATTTCTCTTTCGGGAAAATGGAGGTGTCCCTTGGCAGCTGAAAAGTACCCCTGTAGCTAGGCGCAGCTTGTGAGGCCAATAGGTAGACTTGCCGAGAAACGGGATATGCAGCTGCGGCAGGTCAATCGCAGGGCTCTGCCGTGTTCGAAGTGGAAAGTTGAAAGGCAAATCAGGTGAGGAGAGAACAGACTAGCACGATTTGACAATGTGTGCACGGCCGGTTGTCAGATCAAGCTGGGCGGGTAGCTCAAGTCGTTGATGTGAGAATAGAGTGTTGTGGATTCGTTGCTAATTCAGGAGGTCGGGCAGGATCGAGGTAGACTGACAGAGAAACCGTGAAGCTGTTATTGAGGCAAAAATATGGACAAGACCTGATTGACGAGAGATAATGGTGCAAAGTAATTGGCCTACATGGGTCGTCGGAAGGGCAAATGGCGTGCTGGCCTCTGGGACCAGAGTCAAAGATGCTGATTCTACGTAAGCGAGCCCAGGCTTAAATTGTGAGGAGCTGATCTCTGCCCAAGAAGTCAATTGGCATGGTTCAGATTACATCAACTGAGGCTGGCTGAATATGCCGAGAAAGAGGGGGCCTCATGTCTCATGGGCCAAAAAAGGCCAGCTGCATATGTAGAAATGAGACAACGGAAAGCTCGTACCGTCTACAATTTTACATTTGTAGTAGTAATATCGCAGGAAGCACAAGAATCCTTATAGATCGCGATGCATATGTCGAACTAAGACAACGGGAAGCTAACACTGTGTAAATCCTAGAAAGTCACGCTGCAGTTGTTGCGGTGACACCACAGGACGGGAAGCGAGCTATCGCCGAAGGACCGCATGCAAAGCAGACCCATTGAAGGTAGCTCTGTGATTGTTCGAAAGCAGGTCTGACAAAGTTTGTAAGAGGGATGCCGAGTATATAAAGGGGGCCAAGTCCTGTTGAAAAGAAATCATCAGTATCAACATCTGACTTCACACACCTACATAAAGCTACCTAGCTCTTTACTCCATTTATTGCCGAAGCGCCTAGCCAGGTATGAGAATCTACCTGATGTAAAAGGCTTATCCATATACTAACTTCTCATAGAGGATCACCGCCATCATCATGACTGACCAGAACAGAGTTTGGCTCAACGAGAAGCCGCATTCTGTCGAAGGTCACGTTAACACGGCCACTCTCCTTTTCCAAGGGAACATAGTCTGGGGGCCCCGCGGATGCCACGACAACACAGTCGATATCCAAACCGCCCTCCGCCAGGCGGATGCTCGCTTCGAGTTGCGACTCGAGCGGAAGCCACACTCGGTTGAAGGCCACACGCGTACTATCAATATCAGGGCTCGGGGTAGGATGCTTCTGGAGAATCACTCTTGCCACGACAACATGCAAAGCATGGCCGACATAATCAACGGCATCTGGATCGCTTCGCCGCCCACTGGCGCGGCGGCAGATGAATAACCGAGATAGCCAGTTGGCGAGGAAAGGCATGGCCTCGGCTTGAGGGGCCAGATTGAGAGTTCATACAACATGACGTTCTTGGATAGGGTAGAGTTGCTTTCAACAAGCCATTCTCATCGAGAAAAAAAGCAGTTTGAAGTATAGTGGGTGTAGGAGGAACTGTTCTCGTTGCAATCATGTTACTCAGGTAGCGGCCAGACGACTTGTTGGTCCACTTGTTTCAAATAGGTTACTTAGGCCAGTAGCTGGACAATTCACTCCTTATATCTATGGTACTTTTTTGCTCAGCTTAAGGGCATATATTTATTGTGATATTATTTACTTCTGATACTGGCTAGGCTTATATGTGGCTGTGCAAAGTAATAGGAATTTTCAAGAAGCTGCTCCATCATATCAAACTGTTCCTCTATATTACGGCGATATTTTCGAGTATAGTCTAGTAGCCAAGACTTAGAGAATGAACATATATACGCCGTGAAAATATATATATGATAAAGTCTAACCTAGTTTATCGCTACGAAATATAATACATTATACATAGAACTGATCAATATTATATCGCTCTTAGCTATACCTAGTAAGAAGCTTTCCCGCTTTCTCCAGCAAAGCCAAAGCGTCCATTTCAGCTGGACCGTGAAACGCTATCGATGCTACAACAGTCAGGAAGCCTCTCAAGGAGCGATATTGCACACCAGCTGCCCAAGGCTATCCAAGACGCCATTGAGCTGATTCCTCTGATCGGGGGAAGATACCTTGGGGTAGACAGACTATGCATCGTCCAAGAAGAGCCGTCTACAAAGTCCGAGGTGATGCGGATGGACCAAACCTACTCAGAGGCTTGTATGACTCTTGTTGCAGCTGCGAGTCACGGTCTCTACGGCAGACAAGAAACAACAGCACTGAATGCCTGCTTTCCAGAGATTTGGCAGAAACCTACCCTTAGGAGTTGGCTAGCTGGATTCCATATTGAAGATAGCTATGACCAGGTCAGGGCGCACTATCAAGAGGTCTCCGAATCAAATGGGCTACTCGAGCCTGGACCTACCAAGAGCATAGTAAGCGAATCCTCTTCTTCTTGGATAGCAGGGTCTTCTGGGAGTGCCGAGCCTCAGTTTGGGACATGTTTGGGCTGCTACCTCTCCCAGACAGCCACCATGGCGAGATGAGAGACAACATTGGAACACGGCTCATGACTACGCCTCGTCCGGACTTTAGTCTCTACGTCGACTTGGTGTGTCCTTACAATGGAAGGGACCTTACCTATTCTGGAGATGGCCTTTTAGCCTGCTTCGGAATGTTGAACCGTTTGGCCCGATCCTTTCCTGGAGGCTTCATCCACGGACTGCCGAAGTTAGCCATCGACCACGCACTTTTATGGCAGCCCCTAAGGAGATGGTATAGAAGAAAGGGATTGGCGGCTTGCACAGACTTTCCCTTTCCCTCGTGGTCTTGGTGTGGATGGCAATGTTACCTGGACCCTCGGAGTTTGCTTCTTATCTGGCATCTTAGCCTTTCAGGACTCTGCGCCCCAGTCTATCGATCCAAGTTGGAGAAAGCAAACATGTGTTGACTGGAGCACTCGTAAAAGCTTTGGGGGAAGTCATGCTGTGTTCAAAGCCTTTGAAATCAACGACTTGTTACCACAACTGGTAGGCAGGGCAGAACGAGCGTGTTTCTACGTAGCGGACATTCTGCGGATCTCGGAACCCTTATTTATCGAAAAGCTAGCTGCTGGTGGCTGGACACAAGCCTTTGAAAACCCAGTTTTGATAGACATGCCGTTGTCTGAAATGATGCCTGTGGTAATCCTCCAAGACAAAACCGGTAAGTTTACAGGCTTACTCAAGACAACAGACGACATCAAGTATAAGCAAGGCGATAAGATAGAACTTCTTGCGATCTCGAAGGGTACTGCCAGCTATACTGAGATCCAGAAATGCCTCGAGGAGAGAGTATTTAGAAAAAGTCAAGTGGTATCTGGATACGTTATAGTGGATTTTGATGGAAATGAGCTGTGGGCTGATACTCGAACTTTTTTCTTTAGCTCTAGTCTTTATTACATTAAACGCGAATGTGGCTATGAAACATAAGACATAGATTTGAAAGAATATTGGGAGGGGGATGAGATATGCTAGTCTTATAATGTTCTTTGGGTTGAAAAGAAAGAAGATGTTTACTATCGGGTGGTGTGTGGACGGATTGCGGAGAAAACATGGATTGCAAATCGACCTGAAGAGATAAATGTTGTTTTAGGTTAATTTCTCGAAATACAGCTAAGATGGCCGAAGTTTTCCTATTTTTGCAAGTATTAGATGTATCATAGGACACTCTGCAAAACTGCTTGGGCTTGTTAGTGTGTGCGGAACTTTGGTAACGGCGAGGGGCCACGCTAGACGCAAGGCACACAAGCGAAGCCAACTGTATAGTATATCGGTTACGATCTATAATGATGCACTCGAAACATTACAATAGCAGTCAGAAATCTAGGCCACTTACAATGTTCATCTTGGTGCTCTTTTGACGAGACTCTGCTCAAATCACTGCTGTATGTTTCTCGGAAGGGGAATCCCACCCTGTAAACGAAAGCTTCAAGATTGTTGTAGACCTTATTGTACCTTGTACTCCATTACGTTAGACCTAATATGATACCCAAGAAGTACCGCAGCAGTCTCCGCTATGATAATGAAGATTCTGGTGGCCATAATCGATTTCCCATTCATCGCGCTTATTCCTGATCTTCTCCATCAGCTGGTTAACCGCCTGGAGAGCCTCATCTCTGCGAAAAGCGTGCGGCCACCCAAGCCCCCTGTAAAGCTGCCTGATGTATTGATAATCCAAGTGGGTTCCCCAATCTTTTTCCTCCTGAGACTCGACTTGTTCCTCGGTAATTATGCCGGTATGCTCTGGAACATTATAGTCAAGAATAGTCCTGTTGTGACAAGGGATAAGTCTCAAGTTTTCAAAATGGCCCCTGAGTTGTTCGAAGTAGGTCCTGATATCAACGGGGTCTCCTCCATCCATGCGAAGATTCTCTTCGCTTATCTCACCGTCCCAAACGTTGAAGTACATGGCTTTTCCACCTGTTTCCCAGCCATCAGAGAAAGGAAAAGTATCAGAGACGTCGATGTCCATCCCTCTTCGTTCAGAGTAATGGGAATCTCCAAGAAGCTGCCCCATCATATCAAACTGCTCCTCCACGTCACGGCGAGACATTCGAGTATAGTCAAGCAGGCGTGACTTGTAGTGAAGAAGTGCTTCGGGAGCATCGTCGAAAAAAGGTAGATGTCGTATGACCTCGTATACACGATCGGACTTTGGTGAGGCGGTGGACTGGGGAATATTTGGCCATCCTCCCGGCGGCGGTATCTTGAGGTTGACATCCCGGAAGTGGATGGTTTTGAGAAAGTTGTAAAAGTCAAGAAATATTTCCACCATCTCTTCGATAGAGTAGGCGGGTTCAGTTGGGACGTCATCGCTGTCAGACCAGTCTGATTCGAACTCCTCGGATGAGGGCGGTGTTGAGGGAGGTGTGGATGGAGATTGGCTCCGCTCTGACATTTTGGATTGTGAGGCTTTCTTTGTTCAAGACTAGACTGGATAAGAGGAGAAAGTTTGAAGAGTTGTTGGTTGGACACTCGAAAGATATTTATGAGGCGAGAGCTCGCAAGGGTCCAGGGGCAGCCTCAGGCACCCAGAAACCCGGTCATTGCCCTTCTTGGCATGGGATCCATTATACGCCAGTGTTCTACAGAGCTTGCAATGTGCTTTGCGGCATCGAACCCCCATGTGGTTATGTGTTGATAACTTGAGTCTTTATTGCTACAACTTGTACCCCCCTTGTGCCCCCATGTAGGAATAAACGCGACGTCGAGATATCGCACCCATTGCTATCTTAACCTACCCATGTCGCAACTGCTGAAGGCAGGGTGAATGTGGACCATCGTGAGCTCTCCCGAATAACCGCACTGTAATTGTGGCAACTCTGATTCCATACCGCCGAGCAATTCACCTTGACCTTGGGTCTCGTGGCCAAGGGTTCATGCGTCATAGTGGAAAGAACAGAATGTTCTGTGACAGTTTCGTCTTTGCCGTTGCAGCTCCTAAGTTCGAGTGTATTCAGAGCCACGCCCACTGTCTTGGTTTGATCTTCAAGCTTGATGCTGCACTTTTTCGTCCGAGTGTTGCTGGACTCGGACTTGATGGGGCCAACACTTGTGCTCTTGCCGGGTTCAGATCGAGGGTTACCTTCGTCGCCCTTCTTGCCGCTGTGCTTCTTGATCTTGGTCGGCTCTTTGTAGCTCGACTTATCTCCCGGCGCGAAGCTCAGGATATCAAACGCCTGCTTGATCTCGGCTGGCACCAAATGGGATCCGCCGCACGGGCTTAGCCACCACTCCAACGCGCCCAGGGGATCCTCTTCTTTTGAGTACACATAGTTGGTCAACTCCACTGCTGTGAGCGCCATGTCTGCCCTTAGGCGTTAGTAATGAGCAACAGGTTGGGGGGGGGGGTAGTTGACGCTTACCAACACCAGCAGTAAGTGTTTTACCCCCAAAAATGCTCAGACCGACGTCTATGACGAGCTTGAGGGCAGATATCAGGATAAAGCAGCCGATCTGGGGAGAATTATTAGTATGGATAGTAGTAAAGAATTACACAGCGTACCTGGGCGATGGCTGGTAGTGCTTCAATAAAATAGTCAACCAAGTCATTTGCAAGCCAGTTATCGCAGCTGCATTTTCCTCCGGTGACGAGCCTTCCAGTCGACGGTTGTCGCTGCCAGGGTATACTCTTGAGGCCACCCTCACTCTCAGGGCTCCAGAGTATGCAGCCGTAGTTGCTGGTTCTGTTTTCTTCCTTGGCTTTGTCCAGGGTGTTTTGGCAAGCCTTCTTGCAGCCGGTGAGTTGCTCTGGGTCTTGGTAGCCGTCTTTGTAGATGAGGCATTGCTTATCGTTTTTTTCTCGGTTCTTGACTGAGTCTTCGCCAAAGGTTGGAGGGACAGTAACCACGCCTGGTGCACGATGATTGGTTTCGTCTTCTTCTCTCTTCGTTTTCCCATCTTCTTCGTCTTTTGGTATGACAATTTGACATACCTGAGGTGGACAGTAGCCGTACCTGCATGTGAAGTTACAAAGACGGCTTAGGTCAACGCTCAGCACGTCGTATTCGCAGATACTTTCGGGACAGTAGCCGTAGGTAGCGCAGGAGAAACCACAGAGATCGTATGTAACGAAGAAATGTTCACCTTTGATACGGTCTTCTTCCGACTTTAGCCTATCCGACGCAGCGTGGAGTTCCTCGAGCAGAGGTCTTGAAGGCTCTTGAGTCCTCAGATTTGGAGAGGAAGCCGAATCGCTGTCAGATACGGCGTGTTCGGGGTCGTTTTTGGTAACATCTAAAGCACGACGGCCATGGAGCAGCCTAGTGGCCTTCGTGTCGCCGACAATTGATGAGAGATCTAGGGCATGTCCACTGGCAGGCTTTACCACCGGCGAGTCGCGACGATCGAAATTAGATTGGACGAACCCGGTATGGCATAGAAGAGAAACAAGTAGAGTTGTGAGATAAGGGCGCAAGATGACATGCGAGAAAGTGTAGGGGTTGTCGGAGAAGTAAGAGGTAAAAAGTGAAGATGGACGGATGAGAGAAGGAACAATCAAACTAGAGTCAAGATATTTATACAGATGAAGAGGCTCAACCAACCCCCGGTCAATTTGCGCGTAAGAGAAACACAAAGAAAGTGAAGTAGTGATTGACTCACCAGACATACATCAGGAGGTGTCTCTTCACCTGCTTGATCGCAAGCCAAGGGCGCCGTGAAAGAGATTGATGTGATCTTAACCGCTTCTACAATCTGTGAGCCTTGTTATGTGCTTTGGTCACTGTTTACAAATGTTCAGACGTTAGTTGTGAACCACGACAAGACCATCCTTCGACTGCAGTTCATCATCGACTCCGCACAGACTTTATTCTAGACATGCAGCATATCAGCGGGCTAAGAGTTATCTTGAATCAGTCATGGGACTAGATTTATTTGATTATAGCTGTGATAGCTGACTTTCTTTGGACTGCCACTGAGGCAAAGACAGGCAATAAATGAAAGGTAACATAGTTGTTAGGGGCCACCATCATGTCCCTAGCATGTCTGTCAATAAAGACTCTTGTAAAAACCACACTTCATCACGTCATGCATAACTGAAAATCCAGCAAGCTCAGCAAAACAAAGGACAAGTAATATGTCAAATCAAGTCTAAATAACTAGCCTGATTGTTAAATGTTATGGCTAAGAGAGTATTTTGCCAAGAACTACTCCACAGAGAATAGTCTCTGCAGGCCAAAGAATGATAAGGTTACAAAAGATGAGTATCTTTCTAGGGCTGGTAGCTGGGTGTAATCTAATGGAGTATCCCAATTCACAGCACCGCCAAGAGACCAAGTGCAGCCATTGCAACAACAGGTTGGGCGTGACCAGCGGCAGCTGTAACGACAGAGGGTGTGGTAATAGATGTCCTGGTGGCAGTAGGCTTGTCAGTACAGCCGCCAACACATACATCGGTAGGGGTAGGCTCAGCCTCAGTGGTGCACCCACCGACACAAACGTCGTCAGAGTTGTATTGAACCACTGGCACGGCAGCTGTGGAGGCCACCATGAGTGCGAGTATGAGACGGTTCATTTTGGTGTGGATTGGAGTTTGACGGTATGAATTAGGAATGGTAGAGGGCTGGGAAGAGACGACAGAAAGTGAGTATGGGAGTAGTTTCAATGCCGAACGAAGGTGAAGTGTGATGGACGACCAAGAAGGTCGTCCAACTGCTTTATATACGTCGCTCCGTCATTGTAAATCGCAGAAGCAAGAGTCTGTACGAAGCAGTTTGCTACAGGAAACACGAGGTAGTGATCGAGATGCTGATACGTCACCTGCGCATAGTCGGCCTCGGATACCTCCAAAACATCGATCGACCGCTTGCGTCGGGGTAAGGAGAAGGCCATGAAATATTCTAACAGCCCCTTATTGGACGTCTCGTCTCTTTGGAGTTTGTACATACCACGACTTGTCGGGCAATGTCAAGATGTTACTACCTCTGCTCTCCTTGAGTCATGGCAACATAGCCAGACGATGTGGCTGGTTCTCTGCAGCCATTCCATGTTCCATAGGACCGGTTGGTACCTGCATCTGCAGGCTTTGTCAATACCTTGATGATGCCACGACGAATGCAGCAACGACACCGACATAACGGGCTATGAAGCGGCATATACGGCGTGAAATGCCTCTGTATTAGCAAGAGGTATCTTCTACTCTTGTCGTTCGCATAGTGGTCTATTGCGTTTCACACAGTGGAGATGGCAAAGCTTTTTCCCCCCTCCTTCGCAAGTGACACAATTATGTCTCGATGTGCTTGATCTCGTGTGTTGGAAAGCCAAACCGCCAGATCAAAAGTTCCTCGTGTAGTCGTGTAGACATGGTCGAACCTATATAAGGAAAAGTTTACGCCGCAGTCAAAAGTCTCGATATGACTTGAAACGATTTTAGCGTTGGTTCACTGGTTTTACTCCCATCACTGTGGACACGATTTCTGTACCATTTTAGTCATAGAATATCTATTGATAGAAATGATAGTTGCCTTATTCAGGGCCATTTCAGCACAAGAAAAGACATGTATTTGGCGCTATGTTGTTACACAGTCCCCATTGGGCCAACCGTAACGGGTGCGAGGGATGGTGTGAATAGGTAAGCTAAGCCGCATCGTAGCTTTCCTTCCAGTAGTCTTGGAACATGAAACAACAGCGCTTTCCAGATGCGTATAGTAAATTGGATGTGGCCAGATTTGTCAAGGCGTATGTTACTGAGGAATCAAACCTGCTCCTCTTCTTGAGCAAGAATTTCATCACACCTCTTGTCCAGTGTGTATCCATCCACCATTTCTCCCGACTCAATGTCAATAAACCTGACATTGTCTCTTGGGCAAGGCCAGGGTAAATATTCCCACGCGTCTTGCCATGCAAGGAGGCCATCCTCGCAAACGATATGCATCTCATTGAGATTAGTGAACTCCTTGATCTCGCGAAGTGCGGAATTAAAAAAGTTTGTTGAGTTCTCCCTTTGACACTTGATACGGCGAATGATGCGTCGGTCATCCCCGAGCTGGCGAAACGAGGTCTTCCCAATAGAGATCAGATCAATTTCAAGGTTGACCCAGAGGTAGCGCGGTTCATCCCCAAACGTGAATTCGCGCTGGTATAGTCCGAGATTGCGGGCCTCGTGGCAAACTTGCATTACCGCCGGTACGGGTGTTGTCGACATTGCGGAGAGTGTTCGGAATATTCCAGGGGGGCGATTGATACGGAGCTCAACTTGACGAGGCTCAACAGTCATCTGCCAGATGATGGTGCGAATTTCAAAGGGGAGGCGGGAAAATGGGTGGAAAGTGGCCATCTTAGAGAATAGGCCTCGTGACAAGGAATTTGCAATGTTGGTTATTGGCTGGGATTCTGTCTCTCTCGGGGATGAAAAGTCTAGGAAATGTCATTAGTAGAAGAAAGCCGAGACAGAGTGGTGGGTGTTGGTCGCGTCGGCTTATACGTCAAGGGTCCTGAGTGAGTCATGCGCCAACCAGGTACCCTGTCTGCACCGCAGGGATGAAGAGGGTCGTTCTATCTGGTCTCATGCAGTTGGTTGAGCACCTTCCTATAGCAAGTTGGTCGGATGTCCGCTTCAAGAGCAACACGGATAACCTGTAAGATGAGTTGACCGATGGGCGCGATAAAAGGGGCTGTGAAGTTTCCAAGTCTCGATTTATTAAACAAACCATCCCTCCCCACTCATGTTTTGCGACTACCCTCAATCCGAGACTCATGAGCACAGCCATTCTTTCATCCATTGATTTACCATGAAATCTTCATTCCCATTATCATTTGTGGCACTATTCAACAGTTTTCGCTTCTGTGCAGGCTCCGGTTGGGCCCCAGGCCTCCCTTACGACCATAACACAATCCACTCTTGCATCGAGTGGTACGACAACGATGAGGGAAAGACGTGTGAACAAGTCCGAGACTACTTCAAAATCACTCCTGAGCAGTTCTCTGAATGGAACCCTTCAATCAGCCTCGACTGCAAGCCATGGAAGTTGCAGTCTTACTGCATCGTCACCTTGGAGAGAGTAGCCACTGATCCACCGAAGCCGAGAACAACAGAACCGACAATTACTATCATCCCAACCCCGTCAACTACCACCCTGGGACCCTCTCCCGCTGCTTGGACTCGCCTTGGCTGCTATGTCGATACCAATGCTACCTCGCCAGTGCTGGAGAAACGCTTTAGCAAGGACGGTGGCGACGCCGCTTTGACTATCTCAAAATGTGAAGATACTTGTTACCGCGCTCAATTCGATTTTGCTGGTGTCAAAGAAGGAAATGAATGCTGGTGCAGCAGCTATGTCGCTGGCGAACGGACACGCAACGAGACCGATTGCAATACGCCTTGCAGTGGCGATAAGACCAAGATGTGTGGCAGCAAGGATCTCGTCAATGTTTTTGCCCCTGACTGGGAGGCTACGAGTGAGGTCGATGAAGATACACGGACTGAAGCTGATGCTACGACGAAGGTGGAAAGTGAGGTTGTCAGTGGCTCGACAGAGGTAGAGGGTACTGTCGTTAGTGCCCCATCTTCTACCTCTGGAGCCATGAAATACCGCCCGGTGTTTCAATGGTGGGCTTTTAACAATGAAAGAAATACATAAAAATAGAATACCGCTGTTTACCGCTCTCTCGAAGGTGACCATACTATCATACCTCCAAGCCTTGGAATGTGACCATTATCAGGCCGAGACGCCTCAAAGGACCCAGTTGACTACCATGGCAGCCATACCGATACCAACAATCTTCCAAATACCAGTACCATTAGCCTGATTGGCGACACCGCTACTGCTATCTGTAGATCTTGCTGTCCCTTCAGAACTGGTAGCCTCCTCAAAGCGAGCAGTTCCCTTCGCGCCCGCAGTTTCTTTCGGGCCGTTCTCAGATGTCCTCATTCCTGTCGTTGCCGAAGTCGACTCGAGGGGTGAAGCCTGGAGAACTTTGTTCCCATCCGTTGCATGCGCCTCAACAACGCAACTAGCCCAGTGAATGGTGTTGTTCAGCGCAATCCACCCATACGGCACGCTGATCATCGCATTGAACCACCTCTTGGGGCACATCGAGGCGTACTCGACAATCTCAGAGCTGTGCTCACCCCACCAAGATGATGCCTCACTGACGTGACCAGCCCAAGCAGGCAAAATGCTCGCTGGTGCGTAGTCGCTAAAGGCGCACCAAACCGACTGCGCAGGATAAGGGCATGTCTTGAGACCTCCGATACCGCGGTCAGTCCACGGACAGTCTTTGTTCAGCTCGTCACCGTAAGATATGAGGACATCTTCGAGGTCTCCGGTCGGTGTGGGATTTGAGAAGTATGTGTGAAGGTTGAGGAAGTTGCACTCGCGAGGATCCTTCGTGACTGTGGGCTCCTGGGGTGGAAGGATAACGTCATAGTCGAGTTCTGCGGTTGCGACAGCCTGGGACAAGAGAAGCAAAGTCGTCAATGATCTCATGATGAATTGATGTTGGCGATAAAGATCGTTGTCTGTTGAAAGCTCCCAGATGGCCAAGAGGAGTTGTGTCGGTTTGGGGTAAGAGAAAATACCAGTGGCTATGGCGCGTCTTACTCTCAAGATAAAGAGAGGGGAAAGGTATGAATTAAGATTACAAGCATGAAGCGAAGCATAACATTAACTATCATAGACGATTTAAACCGGAATAAAACCCGTATTCTCAGCCCCTTCATCCTGGGAGACGATTGCACTCGAAGAGGCAATCGCCGAGGCCCTCGGCTTGCACGCTGTAACCTGTTCCAAAGCATGGCAGATCATTGTCTCCATTTATCATGGAAAACAGAGTCAACCAATTTCGTGTCTTGTTGAGAAAGAATGGGCGTACCATGGACGCTTCGTGACTGATCGTGACTATAGATGTTGCCAGACTGCCGACCTTGACACCGGCGACCTGACCTTCCAAGTCAGCTACTAGCTCTATCCTAGGGTCTTATGCGGAACAGATTGAATTTTGATGATCAAAACGCCACCGCTAATTGGTGTGTGATCGGATGCTACCGAAGCCCCCGTCACTCCCAGGGGTTACAGCCAACACTTTACGGTGGCTGGAAGTATCCTGGTACCAACAGTAGGTTGCTTCTCTTGAATCCTCCCTACTCTTTCATTCTCCACTTTCACGAGCTTTAAATCGATTCCGCCAATACGGTCAGGTTGCTGCATCCAGGGGAAAATAGGCGAAGCATTCAACGGTACGCGCCGAGGCGTCTCGGGCAATTGCCAGGGGTGGTCAATGATCTCAGAGGTTGCGAAGTTCACAACACACGCTTGCACAAAAGAGCTTCAAAACTAAGGTCTGGCCTTAGGGACCGAGGCTCCAGCTTGAACTTTGGGTTTAATATGCCAGGCGAAGACCTGCCGATCGCCGGTTGCACGAAACCTTTGGTTGATGTGTTACTAGACCATGTCGGTAATCCCATTAATTGCCGCCATAGATGTCGGGCTTTTCATAAATATGCATCCTACAACTAATACAACAGAAACTGTGCAACTTGGTTGTCATTATCGCATGGCTTTAGACGGCTTCATGTGAATGAGTGAGGAGGCACGTGACATTAGCGAGCGTGTTCCAAGCAGCGGGATCTCCATTCATCCCTCCCCATTTTCGCTGCAATGTCTTCATGCATTGGCTTCCATGTGGGGTCTTGTGTGAACATCTTTTTGCTCCCTTTGACCCAAGAAGAAGCCTCTATCACGAGAGAGATCTCGAATCAACATCATCCTCCATAAATCCGACTCCCATTGATGCTTACCTGAACTCGCTGTGCGGACGTGATGGAGTCGGCGGCGGAAGCCTAACCAAAAAAAGAAATTAATTCCACCAGCGCTGACAAACATTGGCCACAACATCACCTGTCCTACCCTATCATTATGACGACCTTGTTCTTCAATCTGTTCAGGCGCAAAGAGTAACACGCCAAGACATCTCAATGCATCCCAAAACGCGCAAAGCTTGTGAGCCGTGCAAATCTGCCAAACGAAAATGCACCAAGCAGCTTCCTCAATGCCGTCGTTGCGAACTCCGAGGGTTGGCTTGCTCCTACGAAGAACACCCGCGAATGGTTGTTTATGGGGCCAATGACAATGTTGGCTTGATCAGATTACCACAACAACACGAAGAGCAAGTCGTCTCGTCTTTTCTACAGCCTTCTCAACCAGACGTCATCGCAATTGATCCGCAACTGGGGCTGGAGCCGCCCACAACAACCATTTCCCCATCTCCATCTCTGGATGACCTGAGATCGGCTTGGTTCCTGACCCCAGACTCTTGGGAAGTCAGTTCGGTTGATACTTCTCGTCTTGTACCAATCTCAGTTGGCGAAGTACACATTTGCTTCGACAAGACCAAAGACTGGTTGAAGGAATGGATCGAGACTGGAAGCAACCCCTTTATCCACCCCGAGTTAAACAAGAAGAGTGTCCCAAGCTGCATCCAAGACGCTTTCATGGCTCTATCGACGTACTTTAACAAGACGTACAAGACTAGCGATATGGTCTTTCGATTTATAGAAGACAAGGCAAACAAGCTCACTGTCTCACATGATTGTCAACAGTCTAGTATTGTTGATGAGATTGGCCGCGTGCAATCACTCTTCATTTACACTTTTATCCGCCTCTTTGACGGGAATATTCGCCAACGGCACTATGCAGAGCAACACCTACCTATCCTACATCGCTGGGCCAAACAGATGTTATCTCACGCCTCTTGTGCCACCAGCGACGACAGGCTACTTCTTCACAATGCCCTCACAGTCTACACCCCGGAACTCACCTCACATCCCCCGGTTCCCTGTCAAGCATCTCCAGAGCAGCTTCTATGGCATGCATGGATTCTCTCCGAATCAGTCCGAAGGACATGGTGTGTCTCCATGATGATCCAGTCGGGGTATGAGCTGTTGAAAACAGGCAGTGGACCGTGTTTTGGAGGGGTACGCATCACGACGAGGAGGGGTGTTTGGGATGCCAAGACAGCTGCGGCGTGGACTAGCATATGTGCGGAGCGGAGTGTAGGATTTTTACATAGGAGCGAGACGGAGATGCTGTTGGAAGAGAGGAGTATCGATGAGGTTGATGTATTTCCGCTTGTTTTAATGGGGCTGGATTTTGGGCCCGATAGGATGGAGAGGTGGCGGAATAGCGGCAAGCATTGAGGTTTTCGAAAACAATGTCCATAGAGAGAATTAAATCCCGATAGGGTACATGTCATCAAGTTTCCTGGTCAGTTTCCATGATGGCTGTTGGTAATACAGCGTTTCCGCAGCCCGCAATGGTTTCCGCCAGGACCCGCCTAGCTTCCGCCGCTTATATGATCTTACCCAGCATCACCGACATATATAAACTCTCGAGAGGCCCTTCAACTTGGAATTCCTCATCTCAGAACAAAAAACATTCATCTATCCATCATTCAATACCACTCATACCAAAAAATTTCATCCCCCATTACCTCTCACAATGGCTAGACAGTGGATCTTGAACAGCCAAGAAGGCTTCGAAAAGTCCCTTGAGTACCACGAGAACGTTCCCGTTCCCTCTCAGGCGGAACTTGGTCCCAGTGAAGTCTTGGTCAAGTTGTATGCTGCCAGTCTCAACTATCGAGAGCTTGTTATTGCTGGTCCCGGGGTAAGTAATCCTTGTGCTCAGACATCACACAGCCCTAACTCAAGCAGGGTGTCAACGGTCCTATTACTCCTCCCGTCGTGCCGGGTTGCGATGGCGCTGGCACTGTCGAGGCAGTCGGGTCATTCGTCAAGGGTTTCAAGCCTGGAGACCGAGTCGTGACCAATTTCGATCCTGCGATTCCTGACGATGCCTTCTCCACGGTTGCCCAAGTCCCAAAGATGCTTGGACAGGGCACAAATGGAACACTCCGATCCATTGGTGTGTTCCCTGAAGGCGCTCTTGTCCATGCTCCCAAGTCTCTGGACTGGCTGCATGCCGCAACTCTTACAGTCACATACACGACTGCATGGAACTCACTCTTCGGCCTGAAGGGTAGGGAGGCTGGGCCAGGCACTTGGGTCTTGGTCCTGGGCACTGGTGGTGTCAGCATCGCGGCTCTCCAGCTTGCGACAGCCAAGGGTGCAACTGTCGTGGCGACGACTTCGTCCGATGAGAAGGCTGCCCGGCTCAAGGAGCTTGGCGCCAAGCACGTCGTCAACTATCGCACCAACCCCGACAGCTGGGGCCAAGAGGCGCGAGCTCTCACACCCGAAGGACGGGGCTTCGACATTGTTATCGAGATTGGCGGCAACGAAACGCTTTCACATTCTCTACAGGCGGTCCGCACTGATGGTATCGTCATGATCATTGGTGGTGTCGGAGCCGCGGACGCTGAGATGGTTCCCATGTTTGCGGCCCTCCTCAACACTTGCATCGCTCGAGGTATCCTTGGAGGTAGCCGCAACCAGTTCAACGACCTTGTTCGCTTCATCGACGAGAAGAAGATTAAGCCTGTTATTGACGATGTGGTTTTTGAGCTGGCAGAGGTCAAGGATGCTTATCGCCGATTGAAGGAGAAGAAGCACTTTGCCAAGGTTGTTATTCGCATTGATCACTGATGGACGGGTTGTGGTTTTTACTTTCTATAGCATTATATATGTGAGTTGACAAGATGATATTTATCGATTGTCTCTTGGCTGTTCGCAAACCAACATAAAATGAAACCCGGTGATTCGATTGAGACTCTGAAACTCGCCATCTTGGTAAAGGCATGGCGGGCGTGGACCATCCAAATCTGGTTGTCGATCCACTTTAACACGGATGATCGCCGAAGCTATAAATAACCATGTGCAATTCGTGTTCAACTCTGTTCTGTAGATCCCCCAGATATTCAGCCCAGGAGGAATTTTTACAAGTTCTCAAATCAAGATGAGTGACTAACAGAAAATACTGCCTCCTTAGCCATCAATAGTTATCCCTTTAACTCCCACACTAAGAAAATGCCGTAGCAAATCACACCTTCCGTTTGAGTCTTGACTCCGGAGCAAACGGTCCAGACCGATCTCGATCGCATCCCATGGGACCACATTAGCGGGACCCAGGCACGTGAGTGGCGCCTCAACCTCCGACTTCCAAGTTTGACCAAAGCCTCTCCCTAACCACCACCACGCATGTCTCTGGCTGTCTATCCACCATCGATGCTCGATTCGGTCTTGATGTGTTTGTGACCCCTGTCGCATTATCTTTCCCGTGCTGCAGACCCTTGGTCATGGCCTCCATTGGCGGGAAGCCGCTGTCTTTCCTCCCAAAGGCCGACGCGGTCCTGTTGTCGTCCGAGCGCAACCCACCGCCGCCTCGTCCCGAGATCGTTGGACCGATCTATGACCCGGAACAGATCGATGAACCGATTGCGACTTGGTCTCAGGACTTGGAGTCATGTTTCTACCCCCCAAAGCCGGACCCTTATGCACCCTCCTCAGTCCCGGACAAGTCCTGCCCCTCTCCTCGGTATTTGCGCGCTCATCTAGCCAAGAATGAGAGGCTCCGGTTGTCTATGCTATGGTACTACACCCGGGACATTATCAATGAGCCTGAACTTCTCGCCGGCCTTCAAGAGAAGGCATGCCTTGCTCAGGAATCTACAGGTTGGGAGTACGCCGTCGTCGGCATTCTCGATGTCAACGTCTACATCCGCTTAGCGACAGTTGGACTTGAGCTCGCTATCCTGCCTCGGGGTGAAACCCTCTGCGCCCACACGGTCACACAGCCTCCTGGTGTATGGTATTTCTCTCTATTCCCTTGCCACAAGTTGCTGAACTGCTTTCTAGAATGTGTTCCTTCTACCAAACATGATGGAGGACTGGCGATTTCAGGAATCACCATACGTTGAACATGGAGGACTCACAGCCTACGCGGGTGTTCCACTCCGAATGCAGCACGAATCCGGCGAATGTGTTGGACTGGGGTCTCTTTGTGTGGCATCAGCAACCAGCCAGGAGCCTTTATTAAAACCTCAGCAACAGACACTCGCTCGTCTAGCCGACTGGATCGTTGCCGATATTGTCCTATGCGCCAGAGCAAAGCGCCAGCGGGAGCGTCACCGGATGGCCGAACTCATCGCCGAGGTTGAGCGGGACGATGACGATACCGTGTCCGAGGAGCCAGTGCTCAGGATCATGAGGGCCGCCTATCCGGATGCGACAATTAGCCTTCAGTCTGCCCGGGCTGGCCACATCGAAACCGAAGGAGGACGCCCCATCCTATCATCCAACCTAGAAAACGGACTGTGGGAAGACACGAACTACATTGACGAATTCATCGCTGGCTCTAACCAACACGACACTCCGTCTGACAAGGTGGTGCGGTTCGTTGCCGCTCACTGTGAGAGCACGCTAGGCCCGTCCCTCCTGGTTGTTGCTACCAAGGACTTTCGACACATATTCGACGACGTCGACTCCTGGTTCGTTCGGACCTGCGCGGGTATACTCTCCCAGAGGTGGCAGAAGCGCTTGCTAGCAGAAGTCATGTCAGCGAAAGAAACGTTCCTGCGCGGCATCTCTCACCAGCTCCGAACACCGATTCATGGCATTCTTGGTGCTGCGGAGCTCCTCGCCGAGGACTTGAAGTCATGGTCCCAGGGAAAGGACCCCAAGCCTGATCTAGCGGAATTAATCAGGCCAGTCGTCGCGCTCAGCAAATCGTTCCTCTACCTCGAGACCATCTCGGCGGCAGGGCGAGATTTAATGTCGACTGTCAACAGCATGATTACTCTCAACAGATGGACCGATATCGCGATGACAGATCGGCAGTATGCGGTCCATCACATCGAGGACCTGGAGACGGAGCTAGCAAGGGGAGTATCCGATATGATTTCGGGCGACACACGATACAAGCCCTCGATATTCTTCAACTACAATCTGCCTACAGATCGCGAGAGCCTTCGGGTTAACCTCAACCTCCTTCGAGACAGCCTGCTGCCACTCGTCATCAATGCGATCCAGAACACGAAAACAGGTATTGTGGCAGTAACTGCATCGATGGGACAGGACGGCAAGGAATTCGTGGTTGATGTTGAGGACACCGGTTGTGGCATTCACCTCAAGGACCAAAAGCGCATATTTGATCTTTATGAGAAGGTCGGCGAGCACTCAACAGGTGCTGGACTGGGCCTCCCTCTCGCTGTCAAGTTTGCAACACTACTGCGTGGGTCTGTCGAGTTGGTGTCGTCAGAGGTCGGCCGTGGTTCGCATTTCAGAGCAACCTTTGGAGATGTCGATTGCGTCTTTTCGCCTCTCTCGTCGAAACCACTGCGGTCGAAGCCGAAACAAATCCCATCCAAGTTTCACAAGATGACATCTGGTTCCGAAAACGGGCCTTTGTCAGCACATTTTGAGAAATATCTGATACGCCATGGGTTTACTGCCTCGGAGACTAAAGATGACTGTCTTCTTATCCTTGATCTTATACCCGACCTAGAAGAACGCCGCACATGCTTCTCAAAAATCCCGCCCCACCAACCCGTCATCTGCCTTATCCCAGGGTCAGAAGAGAAAGAGACATTGGAGCCAACTTCAAACAACATCATATACGTTAGCGGCCCCTTCCTAACCTCAACCATCAACCTGGCGCTTGAGGAGATCGATAGGATCATGACGGAGATGAGCGCTTCGCGGAACAATCTTTCTCGTCCGAAAGGGCCGTCGCCCTTGGTAACGAATGACGAAGGCTCTGGCTCCGATGAAGGGTACGGATCGATGCCTGTTTCACCACCTTCAAACACAGCCGCAGACGGAATCGACTCCGATTTGGGCACCATAGCGCTATCGATTGACGAGACAAACGCATCAAGTCATATGGAATCCAGGCCACCTACCTCGATCACGAAAGCCCCCGCAAGCCCTGCTAAACCCAGAGCTTTACTTGTTGACGACAACGTTGTTAATCTTCGCATTATGGAAATGTATTGCAAGAAACGAGGAATACCTTACTGCTCTGCAGCTGACGGCCAGCAAGCTATTGACATTTTCTCAAAACAACAATCATTATCCTCTGCCGGCGGAGGAGATCCATTCCAACTCATCCTTATGGATTTACAAATGCCAGTGTGTGATGGAATTGAAGCTACTAGACGCATACGACTACTAGAGAAGCAAGCGAACTGCGAAGCAAGTGTTTTATTTATAGTGACGGGCCAGGACAGCCTGTCGGACAGAGAGGCTGCTAGCAGTGTTGGCGCGGATGAGTATCTCGTCAAACCTGTCAGCATCAAACTTTTAGACCGGGGATTAAAACGATATTTCCCTACTTTTGAGGCAGATTGAGAGCGTGCGAAGAAAATACGAATTATATGTTTGGAGTTAGGATACTTAATGACCGATAAATTGACTTGGATCCGACATCTGTGTGGTACTTGTGACATTTCCCAAGCTGTGTTGTGGACTTGTGGTATTGAGTCCTTGCACAGCGTATACCAGACAAACGGGTGGGTGAGAAGGTAGTGGGAGTCGCACTGAAGAAATAAGAAGGCCTGAAGCAAAAGCAAAATATCATAACAGTAAACTAGAGTCCATCGTTACAGGTATGGCCCAAGTACTTCCTGTGTGTGGTCCCAAACCCGCTTCTGCGCCTTCTCTCGGAGTACCGACACGACCTTGGCATGCGGAGTGCAATCACACTTGTAGTTGACGATGAACAACCCGTTCTCCTGCTTCTCCAGCGAGTTCACACCCTGCTTTCCAGTCCATGGCACTCCACGACCACCAAAAGCAGCACTGGTACTCTGGAACAAGTGCCTCTGTGCAGACTCTTCGTCGCTGAACGAGAAAAGAGAGATGAGAGGCTCGAGGATGAGCCAGACGAACCAGGACATGAAAGTGCCCTGGTCAACACCCCTGTTCACGTTTCCTGTGTTGACCCATCCAGGCCAAGAGTGGATGAAGGTCACGTCAGGGTTTTCAGCGGCAAGCTTATCAAGCGTCATGGTGTTCATGGTGAGGACTTGAAGCTGAACCTTTCCGGGGCCGAAATTCTTGGGCTTCTTGAGTTCAATGTCGTCGAGTTCCAGGGACTTCGTTTCTAGACCGCCTCCAAGGACGCTGACGACTCTTGGGGCTTCGGCTTCGCGGAGGAGGGGAAGAAAATGGAGGATGAAGAGCATGCGCGAGTAGTAGGCCAAACTCTGGACGATTTCCAAGCCCTCGGATGTCTCCTCACGAGCGCCAAATGGTGCGTAACCAGGTGTAAGGAACATCAAGTCGATGCGTGATTCTTTATTCTTGATAACCTCGCATAACCTCTTGGTTTCGGCAAGTAACGAGACATCACCCTCAGTCCAAATGACTTCAGCCTTGGGATTGACGACACGCAGCTCCTCAATGAAAGCACGCGATCGCTCTTCGGAACTCTTGCGGCCAATCAAGTAGATTCTGACGCTAGAACCGGTCGCGACCAGGGCTTTGACTGTAAGTTTTCCGATGCCTGACGTGCCGCCGATAAAGACGGCGACGCTCGGGGCTGTGGCATCGTTGATGAGAGAGTTGGAAGCTTTGATTTCGGTGTAGGTAACCATTTTGAGAAGTGAAGAGTCGTGTCCGGCGGATCCGAGCGAGTTTTAGAAAGGGAAAGATTCAGGCGAGTTGAGAACAAGTTGAGAATACGGGCTGTCGAGTAATTTGGCTGAAGGATTCTAGGCGCCAGCCCCTTTCGCGTTCCGGGTTAGCCAATCACATGGAGTTTTGATTCGTGCGTCGTGTCGCGGGAAACATTTCTCACAAGCCGTAAATAGCCTAAACATTGCATCTTAACTGGAATATTATCGGGGAATAAAATTGAAATAGAGAGTAATGTCGGGGGAAATTGACACGTATTAGCCTCTGCCTAGATCACGATTTTGGACATCTGGATGCGGCCAAGAAACAGTTCTTATAATCGCAACCCCGTCTATTAGCTACCTCTTTTCTAATTGTCTATTCTATAACACTAAAAAAATCTCCTCCAAGATAAAATCCCACTCCTAAAACTCAGCATCAACTTGAATAGTATAGCTCTTCTCCGTCTGCTTGACCACAGTAACCTCAACTCCCCAGCCAGGAACCTTGTACGAGCTCACTCCACCGGGAGCCAGGGACAGTGTTCCATCATTCTTGTCATAGACAGGATTAGTACCGCAGCCGCCTGATCCGGGGGTTACGTCCAGAACACGGACAGGACCGTAACCTGACTTGACCGACGTGTCGACCGTGTAGAGTAGGACACCTGGGGCGCAGACGCCGGAGTCGAGACCTTCGGGGATACGGGCCTCGGCTACAAGTGCTGAGGTTTGGCTGACGGCGATGACAACAGCCTTGATATCATTATCAGAAGTCTTGAGCTCTAGTGGTGTAAGAGTGTGCTCAGTAGTTCCTCGTTCCGAAACACAGTCGATGGACTCGTCTTTGAGCCAACCCAGGCGCCACTTGTCCCAGGCAAAGAAGTCAGGGCCAACGCCAGAGACATCACCCATGGCACTCCAGCCACCGACGTAGTAACCCAGACCAAGATCCTCGAACGGGTAAAAGTCGGCCAAGCACATGGTGTGGCCCGTCTCATGAGCCAAGGCAATCCAGCTCTTCGGACCCCATGTTGTAAATGCGTCGGTTGCAACGGTGACGGTCTTTCTGGCGACGTAATCACCCTGCCTGGTATTGGCTCGTGTAACAAAAGTGATGGATCGAGAAATTCCTCTGCCCCCAGCACTGTTTACGGGAACAACGTAGAGAACGTCCGACTGAGGGGGTGGGGGGCGAGTGCCTTTGGCGGTGTAAGCGTCGAGGGCATCCTGGATGTAGGCTTGGTGTTCTGCCCATGTGAGACCTCGCTCCCAGCCATAAGATGCAGCAGACGCAGGCATGCGGTAAAACTTGGACAAATCGCCTGTGACATTCAAAGACAGGGCGCCTTGAGAGGCCTGCTTGTACCATTCGGTTGTTTGGGGGACCACTGCGTCGTAGAGCGATTGGGGCGTTTCGCCTTGAGCGGGTTCGGCATCTGAAAAGTCGACAAATATCATGAAGCCGTTGAGAGTCCCGGTACTTGGGGCACAGTCGCCATTGTAGTTGAAACCGACACTTAGATCCACGTCGTCAACGGCAGGCAACTTGCAAGCCGTTTTCGATTTTGGGGGGTCTGGTCTGCAAGCAGCAGCGCTGGCTACAGCAGGCCAGAGAATGGAAAGAAGAAGAGCCTTCATGATGAGTGAAGGTTGTTTGAGAGAGGATGAGAGATGGTGAGTAAGGGAAGAACAGGTCTAGAACTTGTACACTAGGGCATCATTTATATTCTCCTCGCCCTGCAGCCCATAAGGCTCATCGTGTACAGCCAAGCTAGCGTTTTACCAGCATCACCAATTACTCCAGATTCACAAAGTGCAAAGCCTCAATTGAATCGCCAGCGCGGTTCAGCTCGGGCAGCCACCGTCAGCGGCCGTCAGCGGACTTCGGGGTCCATGTCAGCGGGCCGGTCGCCTTCCCCGTATCGGGCTTTAATTTCACCAGCCACTCGGCCTCCATGAAGGCTATGCTTGGATTTTCTGATTGGCCAGTCGTGGCTTGCGACAGGGTCTGGATGCATTGTTGTGGAGTCGTGATGCTGTTTAGACTTGTCGGCAACCACTCGTCGTTGCTGATTGGCATTGAACAAAGCCTAGTTTCGCAATCTCCGAGTGGTTCACCGGCTTCACTGAACTTGTTGCAGTGGCTATTCAAGCCGGTGAGCCAGCCTCAAAGTCATGGAGATCTCGGGCAACCTTGACTTGAGAAGAATTTACAAAGTTGGCAGCACCATCCATTTAGCGGCAGCGTCTTAATGGCCTAGACAGTTGAATTGATAGCTGTGTTGTAATACTGATTTCCTCCAGTGGGTCACTTACCCATTACTCCTTTCTCCGTCGTGAATCTATTTAATCTCTCGGAATAGTCATCTATTCTGGGCCTTCTATCCACAGTAATTATCATTTTGTGAAGTGCGATATTACCATTTTATTCATCATAGTGTCCGTCGAGGAAGCCATCATGCGGCTCAACGAGTCCCTCATGCTCCTAGCCATCCCACGAGTGCCAAAAATCCAATACAAGGGCAACCGCATCTCACTTGGCCATCTGATGTCGCGGACCTCTGTTGTCTCGACTCGCTCAGGCTTCGGCTTCTTGTCAAATGTGCGAGGGATGGTATCAATCTCGGGCTCTCCCCTCTTCGGGCTCCTTCTTGTGGCGAGTGCGAGTCAGGCGAGGTAACACGGTGGACTTTTTGATCGACTCGTCAGTGAGATGCCTTCTTGTCAGTGTCGTTCGGTGTCGATCGTCGCAGCATAGCTTACTGTTGTCCGTAAATGCCTACACTCAGGTTAGCATCCGTGTATCTCGAGCATCACGATAGAGCCATATACTAAAGTTGCGCGTCTAAAACTCTTCCTTGAGTGTTATCTTGCCAGCTTACGTCGATCTTGTATTCGGGGATGTAGAGGTGATGGGGCGTATATAATCAAGGGCGTGGTCGAGGAGGAAATAATCTGATATATCGATAGAGCGAGTCCGATCGAGTATTCGTGTGTTGGTGGCTCGGGGAACGGAGGAAGACTAGACTGAGAGAAAGGCGAGTGTGACGCCTGGTGAGCCCTTCCGAATCATGATCTGTTAGAAGCTCGGTTAATATCAATGGAAATGAAGAAAGGAAGTTGAGGGAGGGACGGACGGAGGATGAAGCTCCTCTTTCAGAGGTGACGGGACCGGAGAATTCGCTTTCGGGGGCGACGGGGGCGACGAAGACGACGGGACCGAGGGGATTGGAGAATGCCGTCGCATAATGATGAATATTAGGTGTTGCAGCGAGTCAGGGCGAGTCAGCGAGGTTTTGGTAGTGATGGTGATGATGATGATGATGTTGATGTTGATGGTGATGGTGATGGTGATGACGGTGGTGTTGGTTATATTGATCGTCGTGACGGTGGTGATCCTTCGGGGCCCTTGACCGTATCGGGGGACCTGCGATGAATAGATAGACTGGATGAGTATGTGTTCTTTCTGGGATGATGATTGCCATCTAATCCTAAAGCAAGTCTTTATCGCAAGAGCTACCAACGGAGGCGGATTACGACTGCCTCACATGATGTGTCACGTGGCCTTGCCTCATTGCTAGTATCACAAATTGAGGCCGATTCTGCCAATGCTCCCAAGCCGAGCAGCCAGCGACGGCTATCACCAAAATGTCTCCCCGCCTCGTCTTCATCCGAGGGGCCTCTCCCCGCCAAGGGGCCGGTCCCCGCCACGCCCACGGCCTCGCCTCATCCTCATCCTCACCCTCGTCTTCATCCGAGGGCCCCCTCATAAGCATAATCTCAAATTTAGGCAGATCATTACTATCACCACCTCAAAATTAGAGCAGCAACTCCTTACAAAAAGGCTACATATATCTTTACATCAACCTACATCTTGCAATATCATATCACCACATATATCGCAACGCTCGCTTTACCCACCCTAGCCCGACCACTCGGTTCAGCTTCCGCCGCCCCAAACCCTCCCTTCTGTCATCCGACAATAGTGAATCCTAGCTGAACCTCCGCCTCATCGTCCGGCCGCCACCAACGCGACGAACATCATACGAACTTAACCAGAGGGGCCTTCCCTTAGACCTCAGGGTCCTCTCTTAAGATCCATAGCTACTATGCATAGAACTTTTGTGCCGATGACCTCTCCTTCCTAGGAGAAAGGTTCCATATAACAGCCCTTCATCAAAGGAGGGCCCTCTATCCCGGCACGCCCAGAGCTCCAGCTCGTCCTCGTCCTCGTCCTCGTCCTCGCCAGAGGGGCCGGTCCTCTCCATCGCCTATAACCGCCTTCCCGCCTTCCCGCCCCGGCCTCCGCCCCTTGTTTGGAGAGTGACTACGTCTGGGCGTGCCTCTTGTCGAAGGTGAGAGGGATGGGATCAATTTTTGGTTCTGGCAGGCCGCCTCTCTTAGCAAGGATAGTCTGGTCCATGGCCGCAAACTCTAACATTGAGGTACTCATTCTCAGGTTTCACTAGACTATCCTTACTAAGAGAGGCGGCCTGCCAGAACCAAAAATTGATCCCATCCCTCTCACCTTTGATAAGAAGCCGATGCCTAAGCTAGCACTCTCCAAACAAAGGGCGGGATCACACTGACCTTCCAAACCCCAAACGACATCTTCTGACTCCAGACCATGTCACAAAGCACAGAACTTGGCCAGCAAGGCCCTGGTGATAATAACCCAGCCTAAGCTACCATTGGGCAGGCCGAAAGGATGCCCCCCACGAGTCCCTACTTGTCTGCTGACAGGCGGACAGACATTGTGTACTTGGTGGTGACAATGATGTAGCTGGGTGTGACTCTTCTGCTGTTGCAGAAGTTTAAAAAGGCCACTTTGTTAACATCGGGTCATGATGTTATGACGTGTTGAGATATATTCTTTATTACAGTTGTAGCCTGGCCCTCGATGGGTACCGAGCCCGAATATCGACCCGTAAACTCAAAACGCGCGTTGAATCGTTAATCTCATGGTTCAAGGTTTCGGCCATCTCAGCCAAGTCAAAAGGCCGGAAGAAAAATTCTGGTGACATTAGGTTTCGGTGGTTTACCTTGGTAAATCTTGATGACTTTATGGATGGATCAATTTGGCTTTTTTTCGTCGTACCGGATGACCTCATTTGGAGTCAAACTTGATAATAACACAGCAACTCGTGACACACGCCATTTTTCAACAAAAAGCCCTCCCAACAAGGTCATTGCTCTTGTCTCAACCTTTTTTGTGTGGCTCTCTCAAAGGTATAAATAGCCGTCATCTCAGAGCATCACTATGGATTCCATCACCGCCAATCCTAGATCCTCATGGGAAGACAGAGCCATCAACAGCTCCGACCATCGTCAATAGCTCTAGCTATCAATAACTCCCGTACCTCCTATTACTGGCGACTCTCACCTTTACCACCATGGCTTCCCCGTTAATCTTCCGGCTGCTGTCAGTTCTTATCATCAGTGGGCTTCTCGGTTGGCATTCTCAGGCGCATCCACTGCTTCCAGGGCGAATGGCATTGTCCCCGTCATCGGTCCAGCCACCATCTACCGTCGACAACACCTTTGCGGACCATAGATCTGCAATCTTGGCAGGATCTGTCACAATGGCCAAGGAGTTAGGAGCCTTCGAGTTACACGCGCCACCTTCAAGGGTGATGAATGCCCCTATAAAGCTGGATAAACGTCGCATGGGGCTAGCTCCTCCGGGTCACGATAGAATGTTCCTGCAATATTATCTGCATAAGAACGTCAGTCGAGTCTACGAAACTTACATCGAGGACGCCATAAAGACCGCGGAGGACACTCCCGGGGGGTCGGAGGGGCTCGACGACTATAGCAAGACCAAAAAGCCCTGGAGACACCCAGGCTTTGGCTGGATAGACATATTCAACACGGCCAAAGGGAAAATAGTTATATATGATAATAAAACTCGTGTCAATAAAGAAGCCATCTTCAAACGCATTGAAGAGGTGGCAAAGTTTGAGAAATCAAACGACACTGGAGTATCAGCGAAAGGAGGGTCCGGAAAAGACAACAAACGCTGGTTCGAGGAAAGCTTCAGCCGGGCGAAAGTGGTGCTTACGCCAGCAGGGGCATTATTTATCCCTGCCAACACTACGGACGCCCGCAAAGACCTCATCCGCAATAGTGTTGTACGGATACTAAGGTCGCGCGACGAAATGCCATTGTTTTTTGGGGGGCATCACGGGGATCATTACGGGGGCCTAATCTCAAAGAATACCAAGAGTGGGCGCGAGACCTGGAGGGGGTAGGCGACGCTCAAGCTAGGACGGGGAGCGAGACAATGATAGAGCATCGAACCTCCAATGAGGCACATGAGTATGCATTGCAAGCACCGATTGGGGCCGATGGTACCACTATGAGCAAACCTGCGGGGACAGAGTCTTGCACGAGTATAGCTCAACGGATGTACATTCGCTGTGAATGGTGATAGAATTGGAAGGCTGGAGATTGTTTGTAACAGCCTGTCCTCATTACTGCGATCCACACACATGTCCAAGCACGAGTGGAGGAACCTAGGCTGAAGCAGGTAGGAGAAGGATGTGCTAGCTTGAGAAGCCATTATGTTCTCTTACGAAACCTGAAAAGTGGAAAAAGGAAGACGGAGAGATTTGCGAATCTTGTTAGAGAAATTGATTACCTGTCCCAAATCTAAAACAGCCCTGCATATCCTTATCAACGATGTGCGCCATAAGTCCATGATCCTTTGCCCCCGCTTACCGCTTGGCATCGTGCCTCAGGGCAGGATGAACTCTGTAGAGGCGATCCCGAGGTTATTGGCGTACTGTTAAAAGAACTACATCTAGGGGGACGCGACTGAGCGGTTCTTGGCCGGACGAGTGGCACGAGCAGTCCTCGCATCAGCATCAGCAAGGATGTAGAGGGAAAGTCAAGTCGGTGAAGACAGTTGCCTGTTATGGCGGAGGTGTGGGTGAGCAGTACCCAGGGTGCTAGAAGTTGAAATGCCAAGGCACGGAAAGTTGTGAATCTCGCCCAAAAAGTCATGTCAAGTCCATTGTTGAATAATGTGTCCGAATGTCACTTACTCACTCTAACACGTAACCTGTTTCAGTATGCACGCTCTCACCTGCCTGTCTTTCCTTACCCCAACCTGAACTGAGTAAACGGGAAGTTGACGGCGAATTTACCAACCAAAAGCGGCATGGCATCGTGCGGAGAGATATAGGATGCCAGATATCTCGGACCACTTCTCGGCGCAGGGTAGTGAGCATTATTCGCAGGGGATGTTGAGCGGACAGGGCTCAAATGTTGGAGAGGCGCAAAGGGTGGTTTTGGACTCCGCTAGCATTGTCCAAGATCTCCCATGCTGATAAGCCTGATGATACAGAAAATGTAATTCGGCGATCCCGTTGATAGACAGAGAAGCCAATGAGCGATACTTACTCAATGTAGACAGGACTTAGCATTGCCAGATAGGAGTAACAAGTTTGGGCTCGATTCATAACCAGCACATCCAGCCTTTGCGGTCTGGGACCTGTGTGAGCTACATTGATAGGGAGATAACCTTTAACTATCCAGGTCGTAGCCAGGGGGAGGATTGGGTTGGGTTGGGTTTAAGTATCGAGACTAGACGGGATTGGGTAAGGACGGAGAAGCCCCACCTACTCGCTTGCTCCTTCTGTTTTGCATTCGCTCTCGATTTCCATTCTGACTTGTAACTGATTAGCATGGATCCAAGATTCTAGAGCTATGCCTCCTAGCCCATCAAGGGTGTTTGGACTGGGGATGCTAGGAAACTCAAGGCTTGCTTGTCATTATCTGCATCCCGATTGAATCGGGGCAGCCGGAGAACCCTTGCCCGGGCCTCGCGTAGTGTCTCTCCACATCGATAAGCCCAGACTTTGACGTGTCGAACCAACTGGGATGAGATCTGGATTGGCTTGAGGAGTCCAGCTGAGTTATCTAGCAGAGGCCGGGCCCCCTCAAGCAGCTAAAAGTTGGGGAACCCTGTCGTGGGCTTGATCTAAACCCAGTCAGGCGAGGCTTATCAGGATGTACCATTCGTCCTTCTTGTCATTGACACCAAATCACGCTCAAGCCGTTTTATCGCCCCTGGTGAACTCTACGGTGCGCCTGAATATCACCTTCTTGGCCACTATCATTACCGTAGGCAGACGTCATCCCTGGTCGCCGCCGGATAAGGGTATATAAAGGACCTGACGTTCGTCTTGCTGTGTCACCTCCCCTCTAAGCCTGTCTTCCATCATCTCCCAGAACTCAAAGATCATCAAAAAAACCTTGTTGGTTCATCTTGATCATGGATTCATCCAAAACGGAAAAAAGCCAATACGATCTCGAGGCTCCGACGCCTTTGAATGCTACCGTCTCACAAGTTGGAGAGGTCAGTAAGGAACAAGAGGTTGATGCCGTTTTCGGCGCAGTCACAGACCATGGACCAAATTACCGTGCGGTAGGTTATGTCTATCAAATCTCATCTGCGCGTAGCGACTAATGTTTGGCAGCTGGGATGGATCGGAACCGTCGCTCTCATGCTTAAGACCCAGATCGGTCTCGGCGTCCTCTCGCTTCCCCACGCTTTTCACACGTTAGGAATGATCCCCGGAGCCATCCTGCTCGTCGCCGTGGCGGCCATCGCTACCTGGACTAGCTACATTGTCGGCGTCTTTAAGCTCAACCACCGTGACGTCTATGGCATCGATGATGCTGGATATTTGATGTTTGGAAGGGTCGGACGTGAGCTTTTTGCAATCGCATTTTGCCTATGTGAGTGGCCCTGACGGCCGACTGTCCAATAAATGCACCGGGTCTGACTCTTCCTAGACTGGATCTTTGTGGCAGGATCAGGAATGCTCGGCATTTCCATCGGACTCAACGCTATGTCAGTACACGGAACCTGCACCGCCGTGTTTGTTGCCGTGGCTGCCATTTCCGGTTTCCTTCTCGCGAGTATCCGAACCCTCGGTCGAATCAGCTGGTTGGCCTGGGTTGGATTGGCCTTTATCCTCACCTCTGGTACGCCCAGTGTTTGCCTTGAAACACCCCGTCATGGTTATCTCATCTAACACACATGCAGTTTTCGTCGTTACGATCAGTGTCGGTATCCAGGACCGTCCCGCTGATGCGCCTCAAACAGGCCCCTGGGAATCAGACTGGCAGCTCATCGGCCATCCCACCTTTTCTCAGGGAGTTGCAGCCGTGTCAACACTCATCTTTGCATGCTCGGCCACGTCTGCTTACTTTGCTATTGTGTGCGAGATGCGGGACCCTCGTGACTTTTCTAAATCAGTCATTACTGCTCAGGTTATCTCCACCATCGTTTACCTGATCGTTGCTGTTGTTGTATACTACTTCTGTGGCTCCGCTGTTGCCTCCCCAGCGCTCGGATCTGCGGGACCGCTGATCAAGAAAATCGCCTATGGCCTGGCCTTGCCTGGTCTTCTTGTGACAACTACGATTTGTCTTCATGTAAGCCATGTCCCCCTGACCTTTTTTTGGAACTTGACTGACACTGCCTAGCTTCCTGCTAAGTACTTCATGGTCCGTATCCTGAGAGGATCGGAGCACCTGACTGCAAACTCTCTCGTCCACTGGTGCACTTGGCTGGGCTGTACCGGAGGTTCGACCCTGATCGCATATGTGATTGCAAGTGGCATCCCTGTGTTTGGAGACCTTGTGTCTCTCATCGGAGCTCTCTTGGGATTCTGCCTCGCATATCAACCAACCGGTTGCATGTGGCTGTACGACAACTGGGGCCGACAAAACCGAGACTGGAAGTGGAAGGTCATGGTTGCCTGGTGCGTCTTCATCATTGTTCTGGGTAGCTTCATGACAGTGTCTGGAACGTACGGGTCAATCGTCAACATCATTGACTCGCTCAAGAACTCGGGAGGCACAAAGCCGTGGACCTGTGCCGATAACAGTAACTCGGTATAGATGTTGGGTTCTGTCATCTGTAGCTATAGTTTACCGACGGCGTGCAGAGTGGGAAACTTCACCCTTCAACACTGTAACTTCCAAGATAACTTGGTCGTCTCAGTTATAGTAGAATCTGTAAAGAACAAGCAAGGTTCAAGTGAAGAAAGTGTATTGAATGTTGACAAACGACGGCCCTGCTTTTAAGGAACGACAGGCATGAACAGTGAACGTTGAGCGTTGTATGTGTACACTGAAGGACAGACATCGGTTCCCTCTAATTCCCCAGATTGCTATTCTATCAACGGGATAACACTTTGTCTAAACACGTCAATCTATCTCAAGTAAAGTAAAGTCTTGTACTTCATGACCGTCTCCATGATGCTCCTGAGGCCGACCGAGTCATGGCCAACAAATTACTACACCCTGCAAAGGCGACCGTCGCTCTTCTCCTCCCAGCCTTCACTGCCCACACAAGGTGTGCACCACAAAACATCTTTCGGATCGACCTTGCGCTTGATCTTGAGGAGACGCTCGTAATTGTCGCCCCAGAAGGTATGCTGCCAGTCCTCCTCGAATGGGAAACCCTGAGCCGCATTGTCAACATAATTCCTCTCCTCTTCGATAGAAGCCAAGAAAACTTACCTCGTTCATATACGAACCACCGCCAGGAGTGAGCTCCCGAAGGGCCTGGAATCTATCGTTAAGAATCTTTCGGGTCCTTCCCTCAGCTGTTTCATCGAAAGGCGGATACCCCCACCCAAGCCAGTGGACTGCCCATAGTTAGCGCCCATTCTCATTGCTTGAACTTGACCCGAAATCTTGTTGGTGGTGTACTCACTGGCATGAATGTAGGCCTTTCGCCATGCTGGATGAACAGCATTTCCTCCCCCACGGGGCTTTGCCTTGTTGACTCCCTTTCCAGCTACCATGTATGTTCCCAGCCAACCATCATTGATGAGGATTGGTTTGAGCGCATCAGCTAGTGCATCCAGATCCTTGGTCAGTGTATCCTTGTCCAGCAGCCGTGAAATGAGATACACTGAGCCTCCAGCTTGACCATCATCAAAATTCTCGCTGTACCAATCCGCGAATGAGTCGTATGGTTGAGTGAGAACAAGAAGAGTGACCTGACCTGGCCAACGCTTCTGGATAGTCTCGTTCAGAGGTTGAAAGATCTTGTTGATCTTTGCCGTATCCTGGGTATCAAGTATGATGGTCTTACCCATAAGGCCAGCGACTCTCTCTGGAAGACCGGGGATTGGAACGGGTGGCGGTGAGTCCACGGTGGCCATAAGATAGCCCGACAAGCCGGAGTCCGAGAGGTAAGGGATTTGAGAAGTGGCCCAGGTGACGAGATCCAAGGCAAAGGGTGCTTGAGGGAGAGTAAAAGCCATGAAGGAAACCATGGTGAGCTTCTTGGATTGATGTGTCATGACCGTGACCGAGGTCAGAACCCCAAAGGTCGATCCTCCTCCCTGATGAGTGTAAGTTGATGTACAGCGAAGACAAATGCTCGAGATGTGATAACTTACACCACGTATCGCCCAGAACAAGTCTGAGTGCCTGTCTTCATTGACAGTGATTATATCTCCATTAGGCGTAACGACTTCCATTTCCAGGACATTGTCTGCTGCCAGTCCATAGTGAGGGGCCAAGATTGAATGGCCACCTCCAGTCACGTAGCCACCCAGCCCCACGGTCTTGGCCCCGCCGCCTACAACAGTGCGACCATTTTGGGCAGCAACATTGTAGAGATCAAGCATGGCTGTGCCAGCCCCGGCAGTGATGGCGTCACCGCGTATGGTCTTGCCTGATCCGGAGAGCTTGAATTGGCCTTTGTGGTACTGGATCTTGTTGAGGTGGTGCGTCCAGATGGAGAGAGCACCCGACCCAACTGAGCGCCCAAGATAGTCATGTCCGCTGCTTCTGACTACGAGACGAACGTTTTGTTCCCGGGCTGTGAGGTGTGTGTCAACTGAGGCCGTTCTTCCTTTGTCGCTCATGGCTCACTTACCAAAGTCGACAGCAGCCTTGACATGCTTCGATGTAGCAACTTCAGCCACATAAGACGGATAACCTGCTCCGCTGCAAGGAAAGTCTTCAAATGGGAGACAAGTATAATTTGCCCACAGGTCCCACATAACAGAGACTGGATCCTGAGCATGGAACTCGAAGGTTCTCCACTCTTGCTGAACGTTAGGGCATTGATCTTTGTTGTAGTTTGGCTGCCCGTCATGGCAAACACCTCCGGGAGGGTTTGGCCTGATGAGAGCACCATCAATTGTCTTGTTCAGTCGAGACCACTCATTACTTGACGGCCATCCTGAGTTGCCGGGGAACGCCTTGCAGCTTTTGGAGAGAGGTGTGGCCAATGCCAAAGTCGGCGCGCAAAGCGCCAGGAGTAAGTTGAAAGAGACCATACTTGCGTGCCTAAAGATCCCTCACCACCATGTTTGAAAGAGTTACATATTAATAATTGAGTGTCATTGTTCACATAGCTATGCTAGACGCTGCTTTTGGAACCAATCATCCGCCAAGATTTGATCCTAGCGAGATGATTGTGAAAGAAACCGAAAGAGAGCTAAACTGCGCTCTGAATTTAGCCGATGCACATCAGCAAAGCCGTCTGGACCGACGGCACCGTTCCCGAAGGATTCTTGCAGCGCAGAAAGGGGCAGATTGCAGCTTACCAGTCTTACATACGTGCCGCAGCGTTACATGCCGTAAGCGCTGCAAGGGTCTTTGTCAACCGAAGGTCCCGGAGGCCCAGACCATCACAACTACCATCCAATCCCACGGGCTGACTTCAATGTAGTCATAATGACACTTCATTGACTGTAGAAGACCTTGTTTTCTCATATGGAATGGGTAGAAGGCGTACGTATTGGCATTCTTCTGTGCAACATAGGCCACTTGAGTACTTGTCTCAATATCACTGAGACACATAGAGCTCGACTTGATTCTGACAAAAACTGTACTTTTTATCCGCCCAAAGGCCTTGCCCTCAGACAATCATCTGCGGCATTCAAAACTGTAGTCGAAGCAGTATGGAGCCATATCAACGAGGCAGCTTAGACATCACTATACAAACTGGCCCAGTTGCGAACAACAGCAAAGTGACTGACAACAAGCATAACAGCGATGAGTCTCATTCCAAAGAGAAGCTTGAGACCTCCCAAGGAGATTCCGAAAGCAATACAGTCGTTCCGCCGGCGGAAAATGATGATGGGACCCCGACTCATCAATATGCGACACCACGAGAGCTCAGTCTACTTTCAACAGTTTTCACTATTGCGACCTTCATGATAGCAATAGATGGAAGTATCCTTGGTAAGTCTACTCAAGTCGCATAATTTTTTCAAAAAGACACAATCGCTGATTAACTATAGCGACTGCCATTCCAAAGATCACTAGTGATTTCCGTCGACTCGATGATGTACCTTGGTACGGCAGCGCGTATCTCCTAACAGAAATGGCATTTCAACCCACCTTCGGTCGTTTGTACACTCTGTTCGATGCCAGGATTCTATATTTGACCTCCATCATAATATGTAAGTTGATTCCACCCGAAGAGTCATGGCTGCGTACTCATGTCTAACGCGTGTTTTGTAAAGTCGAAGCTGGCACGATTCTTTGCGCTGCTGCACCAAACTCGGCCTCGTTAATCACTGGCAGAGTGATATCTGGAGCCGGGGCTGCTGGGCTTCTCTGTGGAAGTCTGGCAGTGTATGGAAGGTCAGTGCCTCTACGGGCTAGGCCATTCGGTATGGCTCTTGTTACGAGCATGTATGGCATCGCGGGAGTGCTAGGTCCGACTCTTGGAGGGCTGATCACAGATACGCCTCGGCTGACTTGGCGGTTCTGCTTTTGGTATGTCATTCCTCGACAACTACTATTAAAATGATCATGAAGATCTAACGGGTGATAGGATAAACCTTCGTGAGTGATCAGTTACGACTATCTCAAGAAACCCACTAATCGTGTTTGCAGCCGCCGGAGCCGTGACCTTTGTCATTGCATTCATGATTTTGAAAGCAAAGACACCCGTCCATGGGAAGCTCTCGCTGCGCGAGAAACTGAAGCGACTTGATCTGCTCGGTAGCTTCCTGCTTATAGCAGGGCTGGTGTCGCTCTTCTTCGCACTGCAATGGGGCGGAACTAGATACCCATGGTCCAACCCGAGGGTCTACGCATGTATTGTGGTATTTGGAATACTCGCGTCGGTATTTGGAGTACTTCAAGCAACCAAGAAAGAAGAGTAAGATCATACCGAGCATTGAACTGCTATATCTAACAGAATTAATAGGGCTACTATCCCCACGCGCATCCTTTCGCAGCGCACCGTGGCCATCAGTTGTATCTTCAACATGCTCATGTCAATGGCGCACAACACGCACATGTACTACTTGGCCTTCTACTTCCAGGCCGTGCTCGGGACCAGCGCTGTGATTTCAGGCGTGCGGTGTCTCGCATACGGAATCCCGTGCAGCATCGCCATCATCATCACGGGCGCATGTATCAGCTCCAAAGGCCACTATGTCCCATTTATGTGGTTGGGTTCAAGCATCTTCATCGCTGGATGCGTCTTGCTACACGAACTGGATAGAAGCTCTTCGACAGGAGAGTGGCTTGGCTTCCAGATCCTCAGTGGAGCAGGAATTGGGCTTGCAGAACAGGTCCCATTCATCGCGGTGCAGGTGGTTCTCCCTGACGATGACATGCCGACCGCGTGTGCCCTGGTCGTCTTCTTTCGCTTATTCGGAGGCGCAGTGGGACTTAGCATCGCCTCCAACCTCTTCTCCGGGGAGCTCTTCCGGCGACTGGAGGGAGCGCCGGCAGGGATCGATGCCAAAACTATACGGGATGCGGGCGCGGCGGATCTGGCGAAGGCGGTACCGGCGGCTGCGTTGCCGTTAGTCCAGAGGGCTTTCAGTTTTGCCGTCTCCAGGGCCTTCATCCTGCCCATCGTTGTGGCGAGCATGTCGTTGGTTTTGAGCTTCGGGATGCAGAGGAGATGGATTCCGGATGACCGAGTGCAGCCGACTCAAGGAGATGAGTCCGCTGTGGCTATTGAGACACCCGGAGCCGCGGACTTGGAGCAGAGGCAAAATGAAAAGACAGTTTAGATAGACTATGGAGTCTTGAAGTAGAGAATCACAAAAAAAGGAAAGTCTCCTTCTACTGACAGCGATCTTTTGCCAGTGAAGATGGAGAGCGTGGTGGCTACAAGAGCAGAAAGTATAAAAATCCATACAACAACAGTGTTAGAAACTAGCAATGAAGACGTCGTATCATGGAAGACTCCATCTGGCCTGTACCTCAGTATTAGAGCCACGTGTAGATAGAGAGATGCCATGAGTTCGCGGACCAGACGCAAGACATCGTTGAACGTAATATACCCAAGGAAATATTATCATCTATTGGATTATCATCAACATAGCCGAGGAAATATGGAGGAGGATTACAAAAAGACACGAGCTACAATTCAAGAGTAAAAAGAAATACCAAGAAAAGTCAAGTAGAAACCAAGAGAACACCCATCTTATGCCGCATCGATCAACGTCTTCATCACCAATGAAGCACGCTGCAAGCAGTCTGCCCATGCAACCACCTCCTTCTTTCCAGTGATGACTGAGAAATGCGATCTGAGGAGAAAGAATGTTAGCTTTGCTGAAACACATGATTAGCAAGTAATTTGCTCACCCTCCGTCAGTGACATAGTATGTCATCCAGAATCTCTCAGGGTTCTGCATGATGAAGCAAGACTCGGGAGAGAGGCCATCAGTATTTGAGAACATCTGGTTTGGCTCCACAGTTTGTTCGTAGTGTGGGTTCTTGAAGAGATCGGGCAGTTCTTCACCCTCCTCCACACAAAGCTCCAGGGCTCTGAGCGTTCGCTGGTAGCAGTGGCCCATGAAGGCATCCTTGATGGTCTGGTTCCGATCATTGGCGGCGTCGAGCATCAATTCGAAGCGTTTGCGGGCTGGCAGGCTCTCATCGTCTGCAATGGTACAGAAGTGCGCAGTTGTGGGCGTGTTGACTTGCACAATGTCTGGTCGGCCCTTGTGGTAGTGGGACATGGAGATTGCCTCCCAAGACTGGGCGTTGTAGCCGTAGTAGTAGTAGTTGGCGAGAAGGCACATGAGATCGAAGATGCCCTTGATGGGAAGATGGCGATCAAGGAGGATATCCTTCCCGAACTCGGAGAGGACAATGTCCCTGTACCCAAACTTGGCGATCTCATCCTCAAATCGCTGGCGGACGTGGAGGATGCGCTCCTCCAAGGCAGGGGTCGTCTTGAGCGTGAACTCGCTGGGCACCTCGACGACGCCATTCGTGTGTCCATTGACGTGTCGGGGTGGCTCGTAGGTGTTGATGCCCTGCACGATGGCAGTCTGCATCGCAAATAGAGTCATGGCCTATGGCAGGTTAGCGTTTTGACTTAGAATGGGGAAGTCGAGGAGCAGAAAGACTGACATCAATACAAGTGTGCTCGACGTATGTGCCAGAAGTTGCGTTCTTGCAAACCACAAAGGCGATGGACTTGTCAACCCATCGGTTGAATCCCTTTAGCATCATCATGTCCTTGATTCGCTCTTCCGCGTCAGCGGGTTCTGTGTCATCAAGACAGACAAGGAAAGCAGAGGCTTCGACCATGTCGATGGTTTCTTTGTTGGCTGGCTCTAGGTCCATCAGCGCTTGTCGGCTCTGTGGTGCGACAGTCAGTTAGTAAGAGCACATTGCTTGTAGTTGAGCTTGGATGCAACTTACCTCGGCCCAAGACGTCCGATCGTCGGCGCTGAGAATGCTCGTCCAGTTCTCGTCAGTATCTGGCCGGTTCAGAATGGCATTGAAGATCTTGATCAGCGCCTCAGCAGAAACGTTCTCATCTCCATCCTTGAGCATGACCTTGAAGATATGCCCACGGTGGAGTACTGCCATGTAGTCATTGCCAGGAAACTTGGCCATGCGGTCCAGAGGAACACCAGGGAGACGAGCCGTGTTGAAGATGTACTGCCAAAGATCTGTGCAGTTGGCCGTGAACATGTAAGCCATGGGCTCCCATCGATCCGCCTCGAGATCCTGCTTGCACTGGAAGGCAATGCTGGCGATCAGAGCTGCTCGTTCCGCTTGAGTGTGACCCATCTCTCCGAGAGGGTGGAACGCCATGAAGTTGTTGAATGGTGCGAGTGGCATTCGTCTCTCCAGGTACATGCTCTGCAGGAAATACTTTTCCTGCCAATTCTCAATCTCTGGGTCGTTGGCCTCCTCGTAGAGACGATTGTACAGCTTTCGACCTGTGCTCCCTGGCTTTCTGAACTCAGCCACATCCCTCTCTATAGTCTCAAATTCCTCAGGTGAGAAGAACATCCTGGATCTGTCGAGGTACTCATCGAACATGACATCAAAATCGAAGAGAGGCATCTTGTTGAGGGTTTTGGACGCTTTGCAGCAGTGGAAGTTGTGGTTTGCAGCAGGAGCCTCACTCTCAATCGCAGATTCCAAGGCCTTCTGGGCAACAACGGCATCTTCTTTCTCGACAACACATTCCCCGGTGTTCTGGGAGACAAGCTTGGACCTAAGAATGATGGTCTTGGCCAGGCTGACGATGTTGGGAGCATCCAGAACTTCGGATGTCTGTAGTGTCGCCTCGAAAGTCCGCACGAGGTAGTTCTTCAACTCAATAGCGACAAGAGAATCGAGACCGAAACTCTCCATCGAAACATCCGGGCTGATGTCCTCGACAGGGCAAGCGGTGAACATGGCGAATCGCTGGCAGATGCCACTAACGACGATGCTTTGGACCTCCTCTGGCGTAGTCGCTTGTTGGATCAACTTGCCAATGTCGGTAGCTGCCTCCTTCTTCGTTTCTCCCTCTTGCTCGAGGCGAGGAACCTGGCTGAACATGGGATTTGCAAGAGCAGCCTCGTCGTGGACCGCCTCCATCGACTTTCGGTCGAATCCGAGGATCAGCTGGTGAAGATCATCCTGGCTTACCTCCGGGCTCATTGCATATTTCATGACTGCGAACACTTCGTCAAAGGACATCAGAACGGAACCCCGTCGCATGGCCTCTTGCTGTACGGCGGGGAGAGACGTGATGGCAAGCGAGCCGTCGACAGCACCCAGGTTAAGGGCGATGTATCTGCACTTTGACGACTTTTTGCTCTGAGCAAAGGCATCTTGATAGGCGTTACCCACGGCGTAATTGGACTGCCCAGACTTTCCAAGAATCGCCGTGATGGATGAAAGCATGATGAAGAAGTCAGAAGCCCCAAAAGCTTCATCAAGATTGCGAGTTCCCTGGACTTTGGGCTTGGTGGCAGTGATGTAGTCGTCGTGAGACATGATCTCGAAGGGGTGATCCTAGGTATGAATTAGTTATGCGCTAGAGAATAAACATTATGGGGTGGCTTACTCTCAACACCATTGCCGCGTGGACGACTCCTCTCACTGGGGGCAGGCTGGCGGAACACTCGGCAACGGCCGATCGAACTGACTCCTCATCAGTGATATCGCAACCGATGACGTGTAGCTCCGAGCCCAACGCGCGAAATTCTTCCTGGAAAGCAAGTTGGTCTTCCTCTTGGAGCTTACGCCGAGAGAGCGTAACCACATGTCCCGCGCCATGAGAAGCCAGGAACTTGGCAATTCTCCGACCAAGGTCTCCAAGACCACCAGAAACGACATAAGTGCCATTCTGGTCCAAGGAAAGAGGCTTGGGACGAGCCAAGGTCAACTTGACTTGTGTCTGATCGTCAGAGACAAGAACAACCTTGCCAGTATGCTTCCTGGACTGGATCAGGCGGAAAGCATCCTCAATGTCCGTCATGGGCATGGTTGTTATGGGAGCAACAGGCTTCAAAGTTCCGTCCTCAAACATGGACAAGACCTTTTCGAGAGTCTCTCTCATCTTGGTTGGTTTGAGGCGAGCAAGAACTGTCAGGTCCACAGCAGCAAAGGTGACACTGCTGTCGAAAGGAACCATGCTGATCTCGTTTTTCCGATAGATGTCGGACTTGCCAATCTCGACAAAGGTTCCCAGGGGTGCGAGAACGGCGAAAGAGTCATGAAGCGACTCGCCCGAAAGGGAGTTCAAGACACAGTCAACACCCCTGTTCTGGGTAAGTCGAAGGATGCCCTGCTTGAATGTCCGCAGTCTGGATGAGAAGATGTGACTGGGCGGGATGTTGAAAGTGTCAATGAGCAACTGACGCTTAGCGCTGCTGCCAACAGTGCAAAAAATCTCGGCTCCAATGTTCTGAGCAAGCTGGATGGCTGCCTGACCAACACCACCAGAAGCGGCATGGATCAAGATAGTCTGTCCACGTTCGAGACGAGCGACTTCGACAAGGCAGTGATACGCAGTGCAGAAGATGACAGGGATAGACGCTCCAACAGAGTAAGACATTGTCTCCGGAAGGCGACTGCTGAAGTTGCCGTTGATACGAGGATGGCTAGAGAAGGGCTCGGCAAAGATACCGCAGACGCGATCTCCGACCTTGAACTTGTCCCCAACTTCGGATCCCACCTTGCGAACGATGCCGGTACATTCACCAGCCATGGTGACACCGGGCACCATTTGACCCATAGCGATGAAGACGTCCTTGAAGTTGACACCATACGCTCTGGCTTCAAGCTCCAGCTCAAAAGGCCCAAGAGGCTTTGAAGGGATTTCATCGTCCACGAACCGAAGACTGCTCAGAAGTCCAGGTGTCTCAACCTCTAACTTGAGTGGTCGCTCCGATTGTTGGAAAGACCCCGTCGCCATACTTTGCACATAGATGGCCCTCTGCACCCAGTCATCGAACTTGGCATCGGCGTGGACTCTGGGGATGAGAAGCTGGCCGTCGCTGAAAGCGTACTCATCCTCATCAGATCGTGTCGCGCTGATTGGAGTAGCAAAAGACCTTGCAACAATGTCCTGGAGCTGAGAGACCAGTGTATCTGGGCTGGACATGATGTCGGCCTGCACGTCGAGTGTGACGAATCTCATTCCCGCGTTCTCTCGTCGAACAACTCGAGAGAGACCAGTGATCATGCCCTTGGCCGGATTGTGGACATCAGAGCCGCTTCCTTGACAGCTAACCCACAACACGTTCTTTGCCTTGGTGACCAGCGACACAACTTGAGAAAACTTTTCGGCAGTTGGTGAGGCCAATATAGCATCTGCTGCATCATCAAGGACGATGTAAATACCGTCAGTGCTGACTGGTTCAGATGACAAGGCGCCGAGAGAGCAAGGAAATCCCATGTTTGTCAGCTTGGCCACGAGCAAGACAGCGAGAGACGTAAACTCGCCATGCGACTGAGACTGGCAGATGACGTGGACAGAGGGGAAGTCTTCTCGCAAAGTAGACTGTTCGTCGATAGCTGTGGCCGCAATCAGATGAGATTGCGCGGTATAGCAATCAGGCGAGACACCCCGGAAGCCGTACTTTTCCAGGCGAGCAGCCCACTCACCCTCTGACGAGGGAGCAGAAACGCCAAGGACCAGTCGTCCACCAGAGTTCAAGAGCTTTCGCGAGTTGGACAGACTCTCATCGATGGAACTTGTTCCGTGAAACGCGTTTGACGCGATGATGAGGTCGTACTCGCCTTGTTGAGGAGGATCCTTGCAGATGTCTAAAGTCTTGACATCAACACGATCGCTCCAATCTTGAAGCAATGCCTTGACTTGCTCCAAGGCCTCGCTGTTGGTGTCGGTGTAGCAGTATCGGTCGAGCAAAAGACCTTCTGGACGATCGAGTGCTTGGATCAACGGCAGTGCCACGGCGGCCTCAGTTCCAGCTCCAACTTCCAAGATCTTCATATGCGGCTGCTTGAAGGCCAGGAGCTGAAGATAGTCGACCAGCTGAGACTCTCCCAGCTTCTGAGGCGGAATAAGATCCACATCCGGCTTCCACTCGATGGCATAACTCATCTTGCGATTGAACGGGAGAGTCGTCTCGTCAACTGGAGCTTCACCAATACCTCGAAGTGATCCTCCCGCAATGTTGATTACGGGTACCAGCGGCTCACCCTCAGCTTTCTCCTCAAACACCATGATCTCGATGCGAGCAAACCGGAAGCCCGCCTCGATGATGGTGGTGGAAGCAACCCATCTGGTGCCAGGATCGCTGCTCAGGCGGCAGTCGATGGTCATTTCATCGATGGTTGTAGGCATCACGGGTCCATTTCCAATGCTTCTTCTGTAGAGAGGAATTCCCAGCTGGAAGACAGAGTCGAGCGGAGCTGGATGGATGACATGAGGCTGTTGGTGCTTCCGAGGCATCACGCTGGCCACGTCGGGAATGCTGATCTCGGCAATCCCACCACGAGGGCCGATCTTTGCGGACTGAATACCTTGGAAGGTAGGACCATAAACATTTCCGTTCTCGGTAAAGTTCTTGTAAAGGTCCTCACCGTTGAAAGACGTGTCACACGCATCGATGATGTCTTGAAGGTGATTGAGGCGGCTCGAGACGGTCATGTTCTCTTCACGGAGACCCTCAACCTCGTCCTCCTTGGAGACCCACTCGAGCATAATGGATCCAGAGCAGTGCTCATGCCAGACATCCTCCGGGGATAAAGCCATGATGCGGAAGGTCTCCCACGTACGATCAGTCAAGTGCTTGGCAGGCCTCAAAGTGAGGAGAACTTCGACATCAGATGTCAGACCATCTGAGCGTCGCTCGGGGATCATGATAGACTTGGAGAACGAGACGTTCTTCAGATGTACCTGAGAGATGACACCCTGAACCTTCCTGTCGTTACTGATCTGTCGCGCCGCTTCGATGGCCATGGAGAGATAAGCTGCAGCAGGATAGATAGCAAAGCCATCGACAACATGATCTTTCAACCAAGGAAGGCTGTCGACACCAAGGAAGTTGCGCCAAGTAGGCTCCTGGGTGGTAGTTCCAGGGACCCGCAGACCAAGGAGATCATGCGGTGGGTGCGCGCGGAAGCGATGTTGCTTACTGAGGTTTGACTCGTAGATGTAGTTCGTGGAGTGATCCCAGGGGTATGGTGCGAGATCATCGATCAAGCTCGGAGGTTTGGACCCATCTTGTGCAAGTGTAGCTTCCAACGAAACTGGGTATCCAGCCTCGAACAGTTTGCCTGCCGTTTCCAGAAGACTGATGACAGCGTCACGGCCTCGTACCAAAGTGGACAGGTAGTTGGACTTGAAGCTGGGCAGGTCGAGGCCCTTGATAGTTTGTCTGACAGGACCAGCCAAGGCGCCGTGCGGGCCAACCTCAGTGAACAAAGTGAATGGCGATGGTTCAACTCCAACAGTCTCTGCGCGACAGAGGAGGTCCAGAGCGTTGCCGAAACGGACTGGAGATACTAGGTTGTCAACCCAATACTGGGCACCAAAGTCATCTGCCTTTTGGGCAACAACCACAGAAGAGTAGAACTTGACCTCAGGGTTTGGAGTACGGGCCTTGATATGCGAGATGGACTCAAGGTACTCGCCCGCGACCTTTTTCATGTGGTGGGAGTGATAGGCCGTGTCTACCTTGAGCTTGCGGTTGAAGATAGACTCTTCATCAAGAAGCTGCTTCAGCTCGTCGATGGCACTCTCATCTCCAGAGATGGTTGTGCTGACGGGAGAGTTGACGCATGCAACACAGATCAGTCCCGTCCGGGTCTGGTCGATGTACTTCTGCACATCGTCTTCACCTAAACCAACAGCCATCATGGCACCCTTGCTTGAGATGACACGAGCACAGGCCTTGGACATGAAGCCACGCCTGTAAGAGATCTCCAGCGCTGTCTCGTGGTCCAGAGCCTCGGCAGCGTAGCCGGCAGCTATCTCGCCGCTGCTGTGGCCGAGAACAGCATTGGGTAAGACGCCGAAGCTCTTGAGGAGGTCCACCAATGCAATTTGTATGGCAGTGGTAGATGGCTGAGAGATCTCGGCTTGGCCAACTCGCGAGCTCTTCTCGTCCCTAGATAGTTCGTCGATCAGACTCCATTCTGCTCCCAGCTGCTTCAGGATCTCATCGGATCGTAGCATAGATGCTCTGAAAACAGGCTGGTACATAGTGAGCTCGCGACCCATAGCATGCCACTGTGCTCCTTGGCCAGTAAAGAGGAACACGGAGCGGAACGTAGACATGGCCTTAGTGATACGGGGCTTCTGGCCAAGGAGATCGATCAGTTCTTCATGACCAGCCGCCGCCACACTGAAACGGAACTGCATCTCCGATCGTCGAGTGGACAGGGTGTAGGCAAGGTCGGGGAAGTAGGAAGCATCGTCGTGGGCAGAGACCCATTTTTGCAGGTTAGACACCATTGTCTGCAGGGATGCTTCGGATCGAGCTGACAAGACGAAGAGCTGAGAGCTGTGCGTAGCAGTCTGCTTCCCGTTGACCCCATTGGTTTCGTTGGTTATAGAACCTTCAGAGGTCTTGCTTGGCATAGATTGGGCCTCTTCTGGATGTCCATTGGTGCCATTTGTCTCCTTGACGTGCCCGTTGGTGCCGTTGGCTTCCTTGGAATGGCCGTTGACACCGTTTGTTCCATTGGAGTGGCCATTGATGCCGTTGGTCTCTTCCGAGTGTCCATTTGTGCCATTTGAACCATTCGAAACTGGCAAGTCTTCTGGCTTCTCGTAGGTAGGCGGGGCCTCCAAGATGACGTGGGCGTTGGTTCCACCGTAGCCGAAGGAATTGACAGACACTCGCCGGGGACCACTTGATGAAGGAAGAGGCACCATCTCAGTTGCAATCTAGCGATAACAATCAGTGACAGTTCAAGCAACAATAATTCATTCCCGCATGATGCATACCTTGATCTTACGCTCCTGAAGATGGAGGGTAGGCTTCGGCTCGATGAAGTCAACGTTGGGTGGGATTGCTCCGTGCTTCAAGATGAGAACTGCCTTGAGTAGGCCTGCGACACCACTTGAAGCTTCAAGATGCCCAATGTTTGACTTGATAGAGCCGACGTAAAGGCCGCCTTCACGTTCTCCATTAGGGCAGAAGACTTCCGCGATGGAGGAAATCTCTGCGCTGTCACCTACCAGGTTGTTAGAGGCTGAGTTAAGGTAGCCCAGTGGAGAAGGGGAAGAAGCAAAGAGACCGGGTTAGAAAAGAGAAAAGGAGTATCATACCTGCTTTGGTTCCTGTTCCATGTGCCTCAACATATGCAGTATCTGCTGGGTCAAGGCCGGCATTCTTGTACACCTGACGCATAAGGCTCGCTTGAGAGATGGGGTTGGGAAGTGTGAGACCTGCTGTCTTGCCGTCTTGGTTCAGGCCAGAGTTTCTGATGATGGCGTGTACTTTGTCGCCATCTCTGACAGCGTCGTCAAAGCGCTTGAGAATGAAACTGACGACACCCTCACCTCTGGCATACCCAGCACCGCGGCTGTCAAAGACGTAGCACTTGCCATCTGGGTTGGTCATACTAGGTCGACAAGATTAGCTCTTGTGCATAATATGCAGGCAGCACAGTGGAAATAAGTCGACATACCCAACACTACTCATGGGAATGATCTGATCGGGTGTCAGGACCAATTGTGTACCAGCCACAATGGCCATCTTGGATTCCCTCGCTCGAAGCCCATGACATGCTTGATGCAGGGCAACCATACTTCCTGAACACCCAGTGTCCACTGTGCTGGATGGACCCTTGAGATCAAAGACATAGGATATCCTGTTGGAAAGGATGGCAATTCCGGTGCCGATCATGTGAGCCTTTGGGGTTCTTGCTGTGTCCTTGTAACCCATACGCTCGAAGCTGCGACCATGTTAGCTTGACGTGAAGGGGCCAGTTGGCAGGTAGCATCGTGTGCCACCACAAGGTAACAGGCACTTACTCGGTAGCATAAGCTCCGACATGGACAGAAGTGTCGGAGCCCTTAATTCCTGCAAGTGTCTGGCCGGCATTCTCAAGTGCCTCGTATGTCGTCTCCATCAAGATGCGTTGTTGTGGATCAAGACAGTGAGCCTCATGAGGATGGATGTTGAAGAAGCGTGCATCAAAAGCAGTAATGTCCTGATCTAGGAAGTAAAGGCCCTTGAAGTTGACTGCCTCTTTGGCCTCCGGATCGGGGTGATAGAAGGAATCTTTGTTCCATCTGTCTTCGGGAATCTCACGCCAGCCAGTCCGTCCCTCGGACAGCATATCCCAGAGTTTGTCTGGGTTATCCGAACCACCGGGTAGGCGGCATGCCATGCCAATGATGGCAATTGGGCTGGGGCTCACCTCGGACATGTTTGCAACCAAAAATTGCCCGAAAGAGATCTGAAGAAAGGGGATTTAACAAATACAGACGGAAATGGGCAAGAATTGGACGCTCCTTGGTTCGTTTGAGCTACAGATAATTCTACGATGAAAATTGTGCACGGGGAGACTCCTATTAATACAAGGCTCAGACTACTTATCTCTAGATTCAGCCATCAACAGCATGCACCCGTCGTGAACTCACTGTCTGTGATGAACTCGAACCAGACTCCACAGGCTGAGAGAACTGTAAGCGCACCATTTCGAACAAGGACCAAGCCCTCCTCGCCGATAGCTAAGCCCTCTTGCGTAAAGGCAAGCCTCGATGACCGCACGTCAGCCTTCGGGATGGCGAGTTGACGGGACACGGGCGAAGGAGCCGTGACCCTAGACCTCAACGATGCCTCGCAAAACAGATGTGAAGATAAGGGGTAAGATTGATGGTGAGGTTCATGAGGCCAGTCGAGATCTTTCACGGGCCGGACCGCAGCATATCTCCACCTTAGGATCCGGTTGATAAGCAGTAGTCAGTCATCACTTGCATGTCTTCAAGGAACTTGTGAATTCTGTGAGGTGATAGGTAGCTCTGGCGCAATAGATTGATCCCGAGTCATCCGAACCATGTCATGAACCGTAGGACTCTGTAAATGCCCTCAACAACAACAGCTATGGTTTCAATCCTACGTAAGATGTGTTGCATCTGCATAATCTCGACAAAATCAGCCGCGTGCGTCTATCTTAGACACGGAGGCGCTTCTGCCGGGCGGCACAGGGTAGTACTGCAGCCAAGGAGCGGCAAGCCCTACATGCTTCACGGGACGACGATCCGTGGCTAATCTTAGCTCAAGGGTCTTGATCCCTGCTCTTGGCTGACCCCCATGGGGAAGGGATGCAGAGTGGGGGATTGCTCACGGAGTAATTTAGCCAAATCTCCCTGGGGCCACCAATAGCGACGGTTAAAGCACACACTCTTTGAATTTTTCTCTTGTCTCGAATGCTTGTCGGACCGGCAGAAATCCTCTCGGATTAAACGGCCGGAACATAGGGGAGCCAAGCCGAAGGAGGAGCTGGGCCGCTCACTCTGACTCGGCTGCGACCAACAATGCTTTACGAAGCAACCAACAAACGAACTATTCAACTCCTTTAGCAGTTTTTCCAACTCCCAGCAGCGTTTTCTCTTCAAACACTTCACTTCGACCCTGTGGATGGCTTTAAATACGAGCAATCAGGAGATCATTCATTTCCACGCCAACTAACTCCTCCACCTTGTCTAGAACCGCGCATCTTGACACCGGTCAAAATGTCGGCCCCTGAAGGCTATATCGAAGGGTTCGTCTGCACCCTGGACACTTGCTCCGTCAAAGATTGGGGTTATGTCCGGTACCGGCCGACTGTGGCCGGGAATGCCGTCTTCCTGGCTGTCATGGCCATCCTCGCCATCGCTCAGGTGTACCTGGGCATCCGGCACAAGACGAGGATCTTCATGATCACCATGTGCCTCGGCCTGGTGACTGAGACGGTCGGCTACATCTCTCGCGTACTGTTGAACGGGAATCCCTTCAGCCGAGATTACTTCTTGTGGTACCTCATCACTCTGACCATCGGTCCCGTCTTTATCGCCGCTGCCATCTACCTGACTCTTGGGCGGCTTGTTGTCATCCATGGGGAGGCCATCAGTCGAATCAAGCCTCGGACCTACACGACCTTCTTCTTGGGATGCGACATCGTCAGTCTTGTTGTCCAAGCCGTAGGCGGAGGCATTGCTGCTTCTACGCCTGTGACAAACCAACACATGGTAGGAAAAAGAGATGGGTGCTATTTCTTGTTGAGAACATACTAACAATATGATATTTCCAGATCGATGTTGGAACAAACATTCTCGTCGCTGGACTCTCCATCCAAGTCGCTTGCTTGTTTGCATTCTCTGCCTGCAGTCTCGAGTTCTTCTGGCGCGTCAGGAAGCACCCAGAGCTTCACAACCCCGAGTTCGCCGACCTCGTCCACAGCAAGAGATTCAAGATGTTCCTTTTTGGTATGCTTCTAGGATTCAAGTGAAGTCCCCTTCAATAAGCTAACGACTAGTACAGCTCTCTTCGGCGCAACCGCATGCCTATTCATCCGAACCGTCTTCCGATCCGTTGAGTTGAGCGAGGGCTTCGCCGGGAAGCTTGCGAACCAAGAGATAGAATTCATGATTCTCGATGGAGTCATGGTTATACTTGCATGTCTCGTCTTGACCATCTGGCATCCTGGATATGGCTTCGGGAAGCGGTGGAACGAGGCAGGATTCCGATTCCGAACCTCCAAGGCCAGGATCGATCAGGAGGAAACTCCACAGACCGTTTCTTCTGGTGGCAGCGAAAAGTATTGAGTGCAGGAACTCGAAGAACTAGCAAGTCACGGAAGGGGGGAAGAGAGGAGTAGGTGGTGGGTTAGTTCTGTTGACAGAGATGGGGACTTGGATGGACGGATGGACAAGGGAGGCGTGCGAGAAAACAAGCAGCCTTTACTATTTCTCTTCGTGGCTGATTTAGCTTTGTAAAGCGTTAAAATCCATTCTTTTCAGAACCAAGTACGATGAGGCGACTGGCATGGAAAGCCATCATATGCTCTCATAGTCACTGTCACAGCGAGATGGCCGGCAAGTGCCCTTCCATTCCGTTTTCGTCTTAAAACATTCTTCACTCCTTTCCCCACTTCAGAGATAACCAATATGTGTGAGAAAGCGAGGTCCGACGCAAAATTCGACAACATATCAATGGTTCAATTCACACATCTACTTCGGACTCTCTTACTTTAGCTGAACATGAACAGGCTTGCCTTCGGCGGCCGACTTGTAGATGGCTGACACCACAGAAAAGTTGAACTCGACCCTGCTCCTAGAAAGAGCAACACTCTCACGACCTTCAATCAGATCAACAAAGGACAGCAAGGGACGGTGGTTTGCGTCCTCCCATCCAAAAGCAGGGAACTTCTCCTCCCTAGCATGGACTTTGCCATCGACATCCACATAGTGTACAAGCTTGAAGCCTTCCTTCTCTTGATCGACTTCATCCTTGTAGTCAAAGGTCGGAACCCATTCCCAAGTCAAGCCTCCAGCTGTGCCGTCGACATTGAGAGCAACTTGAGGGTCGCCATGGAAACCGCTCGCCCGCTCCCAGTCAAATGGGATGACAGAACCGTCTTCCAGTGTCAACGTCAAAGATGCACCAGCGTGGGTCTCGACGGATATTGCAGTCTCGGGCGGGTCGGCACCAGTCTTTGGTGTGGCTAACCAGGCATGAGTGACCGTGGCAGCAACGGGACGGAGGACGTCGAAGAACATGGTGAGATCGTAGACACCCCAGTCGAAGATGGTTCCTCCGCCGGATTTCTCCTTTTGTAGAAACCATCTGCTAGATGGCTGGTACTCGATACCAGCTCGAGCTCGTGGCTGGCGGTTGACGAATCGAGCATGGTAAACAGAACCAACACCACCAGTCTTGATCAACTGACGAGCGCGATCCAAGGCTCCGTTTCCGAGATATCGAAAGCTGCATTCTCCAAAAATTCGACCAGAGCTATCACTAGCAGCTAGCATCTCAGCCATCTCAGTCTCTGATGTTGCCAGAGGCTTCTCGCAGAGTACATGGCGGTTGGATTTGAAAGCAAGAAGTGTCGCGGCGTGGTGCAGCCACGGAGGCACAGCTACCACGACAATGTCGTGTTGCTGGCCTTCAGAGCTGGCAAGCATTGCCTCGGCATCTTCAAAGATGGTGGCTTTGGGAAACTTGGCTAGTAATGCTTCTTGAGCATCTTTCGAGGGGTCGGCAGCAAACAGTTGGACATCAGGCCCAAGGCTTTCTGCCGCCACGCCATGCCGCCACGCGATAGATCCAGCACCATAAAGGTAGATTCTCCATGGCGAACTGGTTCCATTGGATTCAGTCATGTTGGGAAGGGGTATGCACAAGCTTGGTAGAGGGGTTTGAAAGATTTTTTTTGGGAAGATTCGGCCTTCAGCCAGTCATGTTGCGTTGGGGATAATGGCGAGCAACAACAGCGTAGATGTAATGTAAACGTACCCAATCTTTCGACCTAATATCACGACCATCGGTAATGCTCACACCTTTCCATTTACCCATGGCAATCCATCCCGATTCTCCGACCGTTGTATCCTAATGATTACGGATGATGACTTGCCGTCTTTTCGAGCTCCGTAGGAGTTGAATGCTTGCCCCTGACTCAGCAGCCCAGACCAGACGATACAAGGTCCCTAATTGCTGATTCCGGGGTAGATATCACGGGCCGGATAACCGTGTGTCTCATGCATATGCACATCTGCACACACATCTCTATCTCCGATGATAAAGCCGCTAACGCGCGTTCAAGGGTTAGATATCGCGCCTATCCGTCCCGCAGTGAGCAGCGTCTACATTTGTATCTTACTGCATAAGGCGGCCCGCTGCACCGATCGTTTAGCGCGATGTTGCATCGGACTTGGCTTACGATGGTCTTACAGACAGGAAGGATTTTTTTGTTGTGTAAGACTCGAGGGATGGGGGCGAAATCACAGACTTTGGACAACAAGGGGTCAACTACGGCAAATGTACGGGTATCTGGATTTCTGAAGGTAGACGATACGTCGTGGTGATAGGGGGAGGTATTTATTGAATGCTAAGAACTGCGTAATCAAGCCGTATCAGCTTCACTGGGGGCTGTTTGAGACTCAAAGCCAAGCTAGAAGAATTCACTGGCGTCAAATATTCTGCTCGATTCCCTTATCCACTCGTCATGGCTGAGCTACCAGAGGTCAATGGAACTGGAAAGGTCCTTAGAGTCGGGATCATCGGTTTGGGAGAAATTGCCCAGGTATCTCAGAGCCTATCTTATCCGTCCCCTCAAACGAAGCTCATCTCTCGTCATAGGTATCTCATATCCACGTGTTGAACAACCTCTCCAGCCGCTACCACATCACTTACATCTGTGATGTATCTCAACAAGCTCTAGAGCATTGCAGCAAGAAGGTTGCTGGAGGAACACCCAAAACTACGACAAGTCCAGAGGAGCTCATCACTTCTCCCGATACTGATGTCATCGTCATCTGCAACGTCAATGCTTTCCATCCCGAACAGGCGATTCTTGCTTTGAAGCACAACAAATATGTTTTTGTGGAGAAGCCTCTCGCGCTGAACTATCGCGACCTGGATTCCATCATCGCTGCAGAGAAGAGCTCTGAGGCGAAGGTCTTTGTGGGATACCAGAGAAGATATGCCGAGGCTTTCTTGGATGCCTTGAAGGAAGTCGGAAGTATGGACAAGATAGAGTACATACGGGTCAGAGGTAAGTTGACAACTGATCGGTGAGTCAAGGCATAAGTAACTGACACTGGGAAGATATCATTGGGCAGAATAGTTCTTTCGTTGACCAGTCCGGCATATTCCCAAAGAAGTACACCGACTTCTCAAAGGAAGCAATTGCAAACATGCACTCGGCTGAAGAAGAGATGGTCAAGACAGCACTTAGTGACGAATGCGGCGTTGAAGCAACGCCAGAAGCAATGACGTTGTTCAGGCTATTCACTGGGTAAGTCACGTTGTCGCCCAGCCCTTGGCATAGGCTATAGTATCCATTACTAAAATTCGGTGTTCCCCTCACAGACTTGGCGTTCATGACTTCTCTGCTTTGCGCGAGATGGTTGGTATGCCCTCACGAGTAGTCGGCGCATCACTCGGGCTGCCAATTTGGAACGTGCTGTTCCAGTACGAGGGCTTTCCAGTCATGTACGAGTCAGGAATCATCGATGTGCCTAGATTCGACGCTCACATTGAGATTTATTCTCGACAAAAGATTGTGCGCATCGATTACGATACCCCATATGTGAAGGGACTTCCTGTTACTATGACGATTAGGGAGAGGATCGACAGTGCCAAGGGCGATGGCTACCAGGAGCGCACGATTAGAAAGACCTACGAGGACCCTTTCACGCTCGAGTTTCTGGACTTTTATCATTGCGCAACGAACAAGACGTCCCCAAAGACTTCGGCTGTGGATGCTCGGGAAGACATGGACTTGATCAAGATGATCATGCAAGCTGCCTACCCTTGATGGGCTTGGCAACTTGGCAGTTTTAGGACTTGGTTAGGTCAACGCCAAGGAGCTTGGCAATGATCGTTTCTTTTCTTTTACTCAACATATCTCAAGATTACTTGACAAATTGTGAATGCACGTTAATGAACTACGGATAGATGGATGAACATTATCCCAGCCATGAGCAGCAAACAGTACTTAACGTTCGACATGTAACCCCACCACTCAGTTCTTCCATCCAATCTCCAACATCTCCTTGGCCGAAACAGGCTTGATTTCCGGAAAGATATCGTTGAGGCTGCGTTCGGGCTTAAAGTCGAATTGCCCCTCATCAAAAAGAAGTCCAAAAGTGGCAAGCATTCCCTGCAGTGCCTCTTTTGGGAAATGTTCATACGCATAGCGGTGACCAGGAAGCTCCGTGATCTTGCCTGACTTGAGTAGCTCCAAAGAGTCATGAGTCTTTTTGAATTCGCCTGTATTTCACAGAGTTAGTGTGTCTCAGTCTGGTTGTTTCAGGGACGACACTTACCCCGAATTTCTTCAGCAAGCTTAAGGAACTCGTTCAGAGACAGCTTGGTGCCAATGACGTATGACTCCCTCTCCCACTTATCCAACGTCAACAAAGCCGCCGTGAACTTGGCGACGTCATGACTGTAGGTGAACACGACAGGGGTGTTTCCGGATCCTGGAATGGCGGCCTCCTTGGAAGCCGGCTCGATGAACAGAGTCATGGGGCTGAGATACGACTTGACCTTGGGCATACCCCAGTAGTCCAGGAAGAAGCCATTGCAGACGATGGTCCACTCCAGCTTGGTCCCTTCGAGCTCAGACATGGCTGCCAACTTAGCCTGAGCTGCAGGGAACCAGGCTTGACTACCAGCAGTCAGAAACCAACTCCGTAGTAGGAAGGGGGCTAGACATACTCGGGACGGTATTTGACTCCGAAAACACTAGGGATGAATCGATGAGTGACGCTCGATGCTTCAGCAGCGTGAATGAGAGCCTTTTCGGCGTCGGGGGGGGCAAGGCCGCCAAGGGCAGAAATGACGGTATCGACCTTGTTTTCTTCCAAGATTGAGATGAGGCCATCAACACTTGCGTAGTCTGATGCGATGACCCTGGCGCCGAGGCGCTCTTCAAGCTCAGCACTCGACTACCCGACGTTAGAATCCATTCTTCGAATGTTAGTGGACTGTCGAACTAACCTTGCGTCCGAGGACGACGACCTTGAATTTTCCTTGTTCCACAAGAGCCTCAACGATAGCCCTGCCGATGCTACCGGTGCCACCAGCTACGAGAACAGTTGTCATTTTGGTGTGTTGAGAAGGCTGAGATTTGGAAGTTTTCGACGATGAAGTGTCTGAGCTGAAAACACCATGCGTAATGGCTGGATATTCACTTTTAACCATCTGTACTACCATACTATCCCACAAAGACTCCGGACTCATGAATAATCATCGCCCCCTCCCACCTAATACTGTTCTTCGGCTTATACTCATGGGAGTGCAGACGGGTGTAGGGTGACTAACCTGATTCCGGGGCTGACCTAAATAGGAAAAGCCGAAATCCCACATCCCACATCGCTTGACCCCCTGCAAAAGCCAAGATCCCACATGGCGTGTCTGTCTCAGTCAGGGATGCTTGTTAAGTTTAATCCCACATCCCACATGGTGAGTGATTCTCTCCCTCTCAACTTACCAACTCGGTCAGTTCTCTCGGACTTCTCAACTTCCCGTCTTCCGATGTCTTCCGATCCATCTCGATTCTACTGTACTCATGCGGGATGCGCCCGCTCTTACAAGAAAAAGGAGCATCTCTTACGTCATGAAAGGGATCACCTGAATCTACGCCAATTTGCTTGTCCCTCATGTCCCTCTTCGTTCAATCGAAGGTGTGTGTCATAATCTTAGCATTCATTTTAGATGCAATACTGAATTTGCTTAGTGATCTGCTCAAGCGCCATCAAGCCATCAGTCATCAGGGTGAGGAAGCCGCTGAACGGACTGAGGAGGGAGGACCATCGAAAGAGACCTCGGCTCCTCCTGAACCCAGTGAGACCTCGTTTATTAAGCTGGATTTTTTGCTTAACAAAGGGCTGTCTGGATTGAATCTTTCTTCAAATCCAACAACCGAGTTGCTCCAATCGTCATCTCGAAGCGAGTTTGAAGCGGCATACTTCCTCCACTTCCATCCACACTGGCCTCTCTTGCATAAAAAGGCCTTTTTACAATCAAAAGACTACCCAGAATTGACTTCAGCGGTCTTAACTGCTGGATTATGGGTGCTCGGTACTCCAGAAACGAGAGACAAGGCCCGGTTTTACCATGATGCTTTGCTCAAGGTTCTTGATGCGCAACTTGTGAGCCTCACGAGTCCAATATACCAGGGCATTCTGACCGATTTCTAGTTCAAGCTTCACGAAGCCTTCAAAGATTCCCCTGAGCCTCAGCCCGAGTTTCTCGCTCCGTTCAAGGTACTTCTTATAGCATTGATTCTTTCGACATATCGTGGAGCAGAGACGTTCCCCTCGGCTATAATCAACAGCAAGCATGTGTGGCAACTATTCGACGCCATGGGCGTTTACGATCAGGCATTGATCAACGATAAAAACACCAATCCCATAATCCGTGAGGGCTACCAGCGGTAAGCGGCCAGTCCTTACCCAGCTAACGAATGATACTGACAGGGAGAGGCTTGCACTCCTGCACTTCAAAGTCCACGTTCATCTCAACTCCCTTCTAATGTCTCACTTTCCGCAATTCAAGCCGTTTGACTACTTGAATCCAAGCATGCTCAAAGTCCAGATTCCATCCCCAGCTTCATGCTGGGATGGTGATGACGCGACATTTGCCCAACAAGGGCGAATAGTCGACACGGTCGCTGATTTGGTCGTAAAATGTACCGACTTTACACGTGTATCGGACCTTGTAGCCTGGGACTTTTGCTTGGGGATGGTCATCGGGTGCTATTTGGTGAGGCCGGCAGACGAGGGACATCGCGAGCTGATAAAACGGCTGGATCCCTTTTTATTCACACATCTGATCAAAGATGAGAGCACAGACGGAACAAATACAAGATAGATTTTGTTCATAGAATATTATTTCTATTGCTCAAGGAGAAACACGAACATATTTATGGATTAAAAGTGACAGCTAATTTGGCGTTTACTTCCCAAGAAGCCCAAGATTCAAGATTCAAGATCCACTTAGTCCCGGTATCCAACCCAATGTCAAAGCTCAAGCTTGCTCCCTTGCCTAGCTCAGCCGGATTCTCGCGCGGAGATAAGACCTCCAAAGACCGAGAACCGCCACTACCTTTGCCTAGGTACACAGCAGAGGCTTCTCGCGGTTCGGCCATAAGACTACGAAATATATTCATACGATTTAAACTTTCCTTGACGAGCTTAACATGGTTGTTAGAGTATGAGAATATGGCCCACAATCATGATTGCTGACCAAGCTTATCAAGAAATTGTACTTGAATGGCTTGATGTTATCCCGAACGTTGGTAGTGCTAAAGTTCCCGGTGGAGAGACGTCTCTCCGTCGGCACGATCTTAGCCTTCCGCCTTCTCGTCTGCGGTCAATATAAAAAGGTGTAAGTAAACTGGTGTGCTTCTAACCATCGAAAATTCCATCTAGACACTCAAACAACCAAGACATCACCACAACAACAACAATGGCAGACCAACCCAAGTCAATCTACCTCACCGCCGATGGCAAACTCATCGTCCAATCCGTCACGGAGAACTACACCCCCCAGGAATCAGAATGTCTGATTAGAGTCAAGTACTCAGGCATCAACCCATGCGACTTCAACTTCTTCTACATAGGCCTTAACTCCTTCGTCACCGGCTTCGAGCTGTCTGGTACTGTCGAACAGACAGGTCCGAACTCCCCCTTTGTCGTGGGAGATGCTGTTTGCGGCATTGCTCCCGTTGCGTTTCCGATGCCGACCTCACTAGGAACCCACCAAGACTTGGCTATCGCCAGATCTGAGCTCCTTTATAAAGTACCTGAGGGTTTATCGCTGAAGGATGCTGGCGTCATCTGCATGGCAGCCCACACCGCCGTCGATGCCTTGTTCAACAGCATTGGACTTGGCTTCCCTGCCGCGGGTATATCGGGTCTTGATCCAGCTGGAAAGGGGATTCTCATTTGGGGAGGCGCCAGTAGTGTGGGCAACATGGCTATCCAAATCACCAAGGCTGCTGGCATCGAGTTCATCTTTGCGACAGCCTCGGCCAAAAATCACGCCACCCTCAAGCATCTCGGAGCTACTCACTGTTTCGACTACAAGAGCCCCACCGTTGTGGAAGACATCCAGCAAATGCAAAAGACACTCGGGGTGAAGCTGAGCATGGCTTTTGATACTGTTGGCAAGGGCGCCATGGGACACGCCTCCGCTGAAGGAGAAAGCACCCCCTCGTTGGCAAAGAGGGCTTTGTTGGCTGACCAATCCGAAGAAATTCGCCTTGTCTGTACCCTCCCCGTTGCGGCGGATCCGGACTACAAGTTTTGTACGTCGTATCGTCCCAGTGGCAGTCTCACAGCCATGGGAGCGCCCCAGGACCCAGAGGCACCCAAGCGCGTTCGTACAGTCATGGAGTATCTCTTAAAGACGGCGGATAGAACTGTCAAGCTGCCAGTTGTCACCACTGTCGTTGGAGCCCAGGCAGGAATCGAGGCGATCAACCGGGTCGCCCGCGGGGATGCGAGCCAGGAGAAGCTGGTCCTTGAACACCCTCTTCAAGGTTAGGTGATAAGCATGTAGTGAGCATTATTACAATTGAGAAGCGCTAGATTATGTAGGACTAACCTATGAGTCTTCACTTAATTTACACCCTCCACTTGCAACAAGACCTTGGCTCGACCACCTCGAGCGATCGCGAAGGTTGGACATGACCATCAAATCTCTGAATCTATCTAAACCAAAAGAACCGCCAGAAGAGAAACTCCCAAGCCAAGGAAACTACCGGTGATCCTGTTTCCAGGGGAGGAACCCACGACAGCGATTGTTGGCTCAACAACTCTAGTTGGCTCAGAACCATGTGGCACTACCACGACCGCTCCTGTGACAGTGATCTCAGGACCACCCAGAGTCAAAGTCGTTCCACTATAGACAGCGACAGTTGCAGGAGCGTACGTAGTTTGGTCGTCTGTGACTCCAGCGGCTGGAACGGCGTAGGTAGAGGTCTTACCGGCCTCGACGTCAACGATCTCGAGGCCAGCTGTTCCAAGGCGGACAATCTGCTCGCCGGTCATGGTTGAGACGACACGTCCAGAATACTCTGTGGGGTCAATTTCGGAGTAGTCATCCTTGGGATTCGAGTTGTTCTGGCCGTTACCGGCGGAACTGCCGTCATTGGAGGAACTACCATCACCGGAGGAACTGCCCTCGGACCCGGGTGCGGCCGAGGATGAGTCGCCGTCTTCAGAGTCATCCTGGCCAGCACCAGCATCAGAATCATTGGAGGGGTTGCTTCCCGAAACGCCCTTGGTATCCTCTCCCTCAGAGCCCCCAGAGCCAGGTTGTGAGCCATCCTGACTGGCATCGGCATTAGAGCCCTCGGATGGAGTGCCTGCCGAGCCAGGCTTGGTGTTCTCTGCCTCAGAGGATGAGTCGTCCTGGCCGGCAGCGGCACCAGAATTCTCAGAGGGAGTGCTTCCAGAACCACCGTTGGTGTTTTCTCCCTCAGAGCCAGGTTGTGCGCCAGCTTCGGCATCGGAATTCTGGGAGGGCGTGCTTGGTGAAGCAGGGTTGGTGTTCTGTTCCTGATGACCAGGCTGTGAGCCACCCTCGCCGGTCTCACTATCAGAATCCTTGGAGGGAGTGTTTGGTGAAGCGGGCTTGGTCTTCTCTGGCCCAGACCCGGGACCCTCGATCGTCTTGCCCCCCTCCTCACCTCCATTTCCACCTACAGTTGGCTTCTCGCCCTCTGCCTCGGTCTTGCCAGGCTCTGGCTTTTCTTCTTCTTCTTCCTCCTCTGGGGTATTCTTGGTAGGTTCTGGGTTAGAGGGTTCCACTTTGGTCGGTCCTGGCTCAGGGGCAGCGGTAGCCTTGGTCGATGCGGCTGTTGTCTTTGGGTTGGTGTCCGCCGTTGTTGCTGTAACCGGGATCAAGTTGTCAAGAGGCTTCACGGCATATGGAGGGTCGAAGAGTCCAAATTTGTTGTTTTTGATACCACAGTGCTTCCAGTAAGGGTATCCCCACCGCTTTGCATCCATTGGGACAGCCAGGAAGGGGTTGCAACGAGTATCATCGTCTTTGACAGGGGCGGTTTGGGTCGCTAGATGCGTCCTGTTGTAGTTGGCGTCGCAGTCTATTCCCAAGTCACTGAGGTACAGCTGCCGTGTCGATCTTCGTGTGGTCGCGTCTTCGGAATCCATGTAGGGTACGAGGGTTGAAACCTGATCCAGATCAAAGCCGAAGATTGCTCGGCTGGTTGATGGCCCGAGGGACCACATTCATTCCAGCCGTACAGGGTGTTGACAATCATGTAGACAGACGGCGAATGGCTATCATTGTTAGCCGGGAGTCTGAGTGATGACTTGGTCAACTAGGACTTACAACGTGTAGTCGGTTTCGGTGTCGACGAATGTAGATGGGTACGAGTGGTTGCCATTGGTGGGCCAGTAGATTAGATCGACAGTACCGGCATACCTAGTCACAGGTTAGCGGATCTCGCCGCTTGTTTGGCGTTCCAACTGACATGCTGCAGTAAGGAGAGTTCCAGAGAGTCTCGCCATCGGTGGTGTTGATATATGAACAGGTGTTCACTGTAATGCCATTCTCGTCGATGGATGGAGCTGCAGTGATCGTAACAGATTCACTCTGTGTTGTGATGGTGCTGGCCGTCGAGTTTGAGGGGGTGATGGCAACAGCTGCGGCAGTTAGACAACCCCTATTTCGGCTCGAAGTGTGATTTCCATACCATGAACATGCTGAGCACCAATAGCTAGCAGCCCCAGAAGTGTCAACATCATTAGAATAGAACCAAAGTCGCGCGGAAATGCAAATCGAACAAAATCAACAACTTGAGAGCGAGTGAAAGTAAAGAGCGACGGTGATCTTAGCAAACTCAATAGCTAAGCGAAGTTTACGGTTGACAGAGGGCAACGCTCTAGTAAAGAGAACGGATAAGGATAGCCGTTCTCATCCACAAGCCCGGTTATTCACTGCTGTTTGTTGGGGGCCAAACCGCCAGGAGTGGTAACGGTGGATACTGCGGCTGAGAATTGGGCTAGTGAAGTCACACCCTCCACCAGGCTCAGACCGCCACGCAGCCTGATCTGAGATTTCCCCTGGACCCTGAAGCACCGGAGATTCACATTGAGCTAAGCCCTACGCCCGGTTAACGTGAGTTGACAGGCGTAGGGTTACTTTTGAACCAGAGTCTTGAAACTTCTGTCAATCAAGGGGTTGGTCGAGCCAATTGCAAACACAACCATCAATCAGTTTATAGACAAGAACAACAACATCAGGCTCTAACCCATGGCGCATACCTGCCTGACGATGTTGAGTTTTAATGCCTCATGTATTGACTACTGTGCCTTTGCTGTCGTGGCTGTTGGCTTGATGCCAATAATGCAGATAACAAGAAGAAAAACAGACAAAATGTACCCGCCTCGGTTAACAACCGACAAGGGGTCAAGACAGCCACACCGGCTTCTAGTGCTGATTCTGGATAGTAAAAGCGGTAATATGGGCACGAAGGAACACTTCGGCGCGGGTTTAATTAGACCAATGCCAAGCCCATGCAGGCTCACAGCCTGCTTCTTACCCCTGGGATAGTGCATCCCGACAGCCGAGCCTGATTTTCTGTCCAAGATCCAGTATCTCGCGATGGCGCTGTGGGAAGGTTCTTTGGATTTTACTCTTCTTTAGCATCATCGGAGGCAAATATGTCATTACGGCACCATCCCTTGGCAGCTGCAGTAGCAAGCTTACTATTGGCCTCATTACCAGCTTGTCAAGCCAGCAGCCCTTCAGCAATCGTTATCCCCCCTAGTCAGTACTTGTAAGTTTCTTGTGCACAAGTTGGAATGAGATCTTGGTTTAACACCTACCCAGCGAGGGGAATGATGGCCCTTGGAGTAGTTTCAACGTGCGAGTCGGTACAACACCCCAAGATGCCCGAGTTCTCGTGTCCACAGCCGCACCAGAGACGCTGGTGATTCTTTCGGAATATGGCTGCTCAGAAAGGATCTTTGACGATGTCCCTACGAATTGCGCTGTTTCGCGAGGCAACCTATTCAACCCAAACGAGTCCTCGACATGGCATAATCTTGGCGTCTTCGGTATCAATGATGGAGAAGTCGGTCTAGGGGCAAATCTGGGATATCAACAGCCGGCGCAATTTGGCTTGGATGTCCTTGGTATCGGCCTTGTGGATGGAAGTGGAGGGATTACCTTGAAGAATCAAACTGTTGGTGGTATTGCTACGGCATCTCCGTTCTACCTGTGAGCTGTGACGATCCATGATGCAGTCCCCGATAGCTGACTTGAATCTAGGGGAATCTTTGGCATCAACAACCAGCCGTTGAACTTCACAACCCTTGGCAACTTTTCTGCACCTTCGTTCATTACCACACTCAAAGACCAAAAGCGCATCCCATCTCTCAGCTGGAGCTACACCGCAGGCGCAATCTATCGTGAGTGGCTTGGTCTTGTACATGTGTTGATTATTAACATGCTCTAGGTCTGAAAAAGGTCTATGGTCAATTAATCTTTTCCGGCTACGATATCTCTCGTTTCACCGAAAACGCCGTCACCTTCACCATGGCTAACGACATCACCCGTGATCTTGTGGTAGCACTTCAAGCCATTACCTACAGCGGCGCTGATCAAGCCTCTCTGCTATCTTCACCAATCAATATTTACATTGACTCGACTGATCCGAACATCTGGCTACCAAAATCAGCTGTCGAAGCCTTTGAAACCGCATTCGACCTCACCCTTGACGAAGACAGCAACCTATACCTGATAAATGATACACACCACAACTCGCTTCTCAAGTCGGACGCTGAGGTCTCCTTCCGCTTGTCAGATGTTCTCGATGGTGGCGATACCGTTACAATCACACTGCCTTACAAGGCGTTCGCGCTCCGAGCAGAATATCCATTGGTTGAGAAGAGTAGCTATTACTTCCCTCTCAAGCTGGCCGCCGACGAGTCACAGTACACACTTGGACGGACCTTCCTGCAAGAAGCGTAAGCTGTTCCCAGACACTATTGTTATGTGACCGATACCAACAATGGTATAGCTATTTAACGGCCGACTACGAACGACACGTTTTTAACGTATCACAGTGCACTTGGGATGGGGGAGCAGAGGAGAATCTCGTCACCATTCTTCCCAAGAGCTCCCAGTCTAGTTCGAATTCTGATGACGGAAAAGATTCAGACCCGTCAGATGACGATAAATCTCCCGACAACATGGAACAGAAATCATTGAGTACTGGTGCAATCGTCGGCATTGTTATTGGAGTCGTCGCTGCTATCGCTGCCGTTGTAGCCTTCTTCATAATCCGGAGACGTCGGCAGCCCGCAAAGCAACCGCTACATGGGCCAACGCGAAATGATGAGACTGATACAAGCGCAGACTCTCCTGGGTTCGGCAAGAGCGAGTTGCATGCGGATGCCATCGAACTCAGACCCCCTCCAGAACTAATGGGCGACGTTAATCACCTCCATGAACTACATTCTGAATCAAAAGATGCGGTAGGCCAGACGGGTAGAGGCTCTCCATTATATGAGCTCGTGGGGAGCGATGTGCCAAAGGTTCCGGCAGAGTATAGTAATCAGCCATCTCCGGCTCCATCAGTGGTCGATGGTGTGGAAGGAGAAAACCGTTCAACTAGCCCTTTGACACAAGCCAGCTCAAAGAAGGGTGATAATCTTGAGGTTCCCAAGGCATAAACTGGTCGGGTTGGGTTTATGTTGGCAGAGGGAATGCAGGCGTTATCTAGATTGGGTGTAAGTCATGTCTAGTAGTATTATAAAGGTGCGAGTGTTTACTTTGCATGTAGGGTTCTCCTGCGAGGGCATCACGTTTACCCAGAACCGTGACAACCCCTGAGCTGGTGATCTTTTACTTGTTAAGGCTTAGTGGCTGTTTTGATCGTCCCCACATGGAATCGGTCTAGAACCCTCAGGGGTTACTGTCACTCTGCAGCCAAGACAGCCACACAGCCATCGCGTGCTCACCCCACTGCTAAGGCACTATCTGAGTGCCCTGGAACTGCTGTGGGCGGCTGATACTGTTACATTGTCGCCTGAGTAGGCTTAGTGGTCTACTCACCACAACTGGTCATGACCCTTGTCGAAGAAGCGATAGAGATATGTGCATTTTTAGCTTTGCAACGTATTCTTCCAAGAACTCTTTCCAAGACTGTTGGAGTATGCTATGTGCTCTCAATACGCCGTTGGCTTCATGTCTTCATGCAGATAAGAATAATAATAACGAGACGCACAATAATCTCTCAAACAGGGAGCCCTTGTTTCATCTGGCGCCATCTGAACCGTCTATTTACCCTAAAGGACAAGTCTATGTATATCTTTTCCCACGCATCTAATCAAACACGTCCATTACATACCGCACATTCCTCTGTTCATCAAACCACTTCTTAGCCTCCTCCAGGCCCATCTCACCACCGGATCTCTTTTCCATCTCCGTCTTCAACTTAATCATAACCTCTCTCACCGAATCAGCCACCGCTCTTGAACCACATACATAGACGGTAGCTCCCTTCTCCCAGAGTTGGATAAAGTCTTCCTTGTCTTGCCAGATCCGATCTTGGACGTGTTTGCATCCGTCTCCGTGTCGGCTGTACGCTCGTCGAACGTCTACCGCACCGAGCTTCTGCCATACATCGAACTCGTCGTGGTAAAGATCATCTTGATCAGGAGCGCGACAGCCGAAGAAGAGCAAACCCGGGGCGAGCTTACGACCTGATTCGATCATGATGGCTCGCTGTTGGATGAAACCCCTGAACGGTGCAAGTCCTGACCCAGCCGCAATGCAGATGATCGGAGTCTGTTCTGGGTTGGATGGGAGGCTAAAAGCAGCAGGCGATGAGCGAATGGCCACTTGTAGCGTGTCGCCGTCAGCCAGAGAGTCGAGATAAGAAGTTGCAACGCCGTTGTAGATGCCTTGGCCTGATGACGCTGGCCCCTTGAGCACGGAAAAGGTGATTGTCGCGCGAGACTGGTTCCATAGTGGAGATGAGGAGATGGAGCTAGAAAGCAAAGTCAGCAAGAGATGCAGTGTCGTGACATGAGACGGAGCACTTACTACTGGCGAATCCGAATGGATGGCAACATCTGCAAGAAGTCTCCGATGGGTAGATCAACGGAGGGGTACCGTTCAAGGAGTTCCAGAACTGATACACGCTTGTTGCTGATCTCCTCGACGTATCTTTCCTCGGACAGGGAGGTAAGAGCAGCTTTGGTGTCTTCATTAGACGCCGCCTCAGCTATGGCAAGTAGGTTCTTTCATAGTCAGTTAGAATTCTATCACGCATAACTTTTCCTGTTCATTCACTTACCCTTTTCGTGGCCGGCTGCGAAAGCTCCACGTAGGAGCTCAACACATCTAATGCTGACACAGACGTGTCGGTGGGGAGAACAGTCGGCGTACTGCTCGAGATCTCAAGATGAGCATCCATTGGAAGCTTGAATCTCCTCAATGCCCGACGAACAACTTCCTGTGGGTTGATAGGCAGAACGGCAAGGTAGTCTCCGGCCGTGTACTGAGTGCCTTCAGGCAGTTCTACTTCGATATGCCTCTTCTTGGACTTGGTATCAGTGCTGCTTGTGAGGACCTTGGTTTCGACAACTGTCGCCTCCTTGACATCCTGACGGAGGGTGAGAGTTCTAAAGTTGGAGCTCTTGACGCTCAATCCCTTGTCTGCGGAACTCTTCTTGGACTCGGGGTTGTAACGCGCCTCGAGGGCAGGCCACAAAATGTTGTCCTCCCATGCCTCAAAGTCGCTGAAGACCATATTCTCAGATGCATCGGTAAGACCAATGTTGACAAGTCGAGTAGCACCAAGCTGCTCAAGATTACTGTCCACGAGCTTGGGAATGCGATGGAAAGTCTGGACCCAATCCTTGTGACCACAGCCAAAGACGGCATATGAGACACCCTCGAGTGGCTTGGTCTCTTGATCAGCCTTCTCAACCCAGGCAACAAAATGCCCGGCGTTGTCGGGAGGCTGGCCCTCGTATGATGCGGTGACGATGACAACAGGCTGATCTGTGGGCAAATTTCCATTTGCCGTGTCAAGACAGTCTATCTTGGTGACGTGGAACCCGTGCTCTGCAGCGTCGGTTGCGACTCTCTGCGCCAAAGACTCACATGTTCCACTATTAGATCCGTACAAGACCGTCATAGGGACACCATCCTTAGCATCAGAAGACTTGCCATTCACCCCATTTGCCTCTTCCCTTTCAGAAACAGGCAAACCGGCCAGACGACGCTCAAGACTCGTCGGCGTAAGGTTGTCTCTCAGGATCGCTCGCATGTGCATATCCTTCGGCTTAATAGTCAACGTCTGTTTGAATCCAAGCTCATAGCTAGGATCAAGAACAAAGTTGAAATTTTGCAAGAGCATAACCATGACGAGCAGGGCTTCCTGCCAGGCAAAAGGCCTTCCGATGCAGGCTCGCATACCATTACCAAAGGGTTTCCATGAGTTGGGAAACTCCTTGTTCAGCCTGGCAAAGTTGTCATCAAACATCCGTTCTGGTTTGAACTCGTTTGCATCGTCTCCAAAGACCGTAGGATCGAGTTGTGATTTTGCGAGGAGGTTGAGAATGGTTTCTCCAGCCTTGACGGGATACTTGCCTCCAAGCAGGGTATCTTCGAAAGCCTCGACCGTAAAGAGGGGGATAGTGGCGTTGATGCGCAGAGTTTCTCGCAGGACACCGTTCAGATACGGGAGCTTGGAGAGGTGTCCAACTTGGATGGGCCCCTTGCCGACGACTTGATCTACCTCTTTCTGAGCAAGCTGGTAAGCTTCTGGGTGTGTGAGAAGCTGATAGAAAGCAAACGAAAGCAGCCCGGAAGTGGTTTCGTGCCCAGCAATGAGGAAGGTGATCAAGTTGTCCATGATACTCTCGTCGGTCATCTTCTTGCCGGTTTTCGTGTCCACGCCCTCAAGCATTGCCGTCAAAAGGTCCTTTCGTGTACTTCCCCCTGCTTTTCGGGCGTCGAGAACCTCCTTGGCGGTACTTCTCATGGTTTCGATATCCTGCTGATACTTCCGGTCGCGCTCGCGGTAGACGATTCCAGGCAAAGGCAGTCGTCGAGGCTTTTCTCCAGCCTCTGTGAGAAAATCACCCATCGCTTCGATAAAGGGGTGCAGAACTGGGGAGTAGTAGCTGTTGAATCTGTAGCCCATGGAACACAAAGCCAGTGTGTCGAGAGTGAGACGAGTAAAGTCATCCGTCACCATGATGGGAGAATCAGGTCCGTATCGTGCCCACTTGAGAGCAAGTTGGGAGGCAATGTCGTGCATTTCGTCAAACATGCGCTGAATTGACAAGGGGCCGAAAGCTGGCATGAGCACTCTGTGGGCGATCCCCCAGTTCTCCTCTCCAAGTTTCGCCTGCGTTCATATTAAAATATACTGTGTTACTGATATTGGGTGAGACACTAACAGTAAAGAGTCCATCGTGAACGCCTTCTCGAATTTCCTTGAAAAACATTAGTTGCAGTCCAAGAACGCTGAGAACAGGTCGTGGCCTACAGTGAGTGCTGAATTGACACACTTCTTGAAGCGCTTCTCATTGCACGTCTCATTGACCAAAGCTTGCGTGGAGACGATGACGACAGTTCGTCCAGGGAATTTCAAACGGTAGATCTCGCCTTAGAACAAATGGTTAGTTCATTTTGGTTGCCTCTCATTTGCCAGGTCAAACTCACCATGCTGCTCAGCAAGCGACACCATAGACCCCAATGGGAACTCGGGATCAATAGATTTGATGTTGCCTAGCAAAGGCAAGCCCGCAGGCGTTGGAATCTCGACTGTTTCGGCCATGATGCTTAGTTTGTAAGGAAAAGGATTCGTTCGTTATTGACGCAATCTTTTTATTTTACGTGATAAGGAACCCCTGAATCAAAGTTTTTTAAGTGCCTCGGCTCATGGCGAATGCATTGGCCAGTGCCGCTCCGACGTCACAATCTTCAAGCTCAACAAGAAGAGCCTCATCATTTTTATCGGCGGCGTAACCATTGGAAGTAATATCTCCGGTTTCGTATTGACGTGTCGGTCTAAATTGTTGGGCTAGTGCTCCGATAGGGTCCACTTAGTCCCGGAGTGCCGAGGCTCAAGGGGCGATCATCGGAGTTTTCTAGAATCACGACAGAAAGACATAAAGTCCGGACCTTGTAGAGATAACATTCTCTTAGAACCCCTTGTATTGTTTCTGGGTTCTCCTTCCGATATAGGGAATGCCTCCGAGCCGACAATAGAATCATGATAACATTATCATATCCAGTACCGAACCCCGAACCTAGGAAGAACCTCCTGAAAAGTCATCCGCAATGAACGTTGTGAATGGCGTCCAAAAAGCCGAAAAGATTCCCGTGGACGCAAAATCATAACCCTCAGAATCATCAAGCCATCGCGTGCTCTCAATCCCCTGCGTCTCAGGCACAACCGTCGGCTCTTGTGAAGCATCCTCGGCTTCCTGTCGAGTCTTCTCGACCATGCTTCTGGCGCGGTCGAATAGTTTGTACGCCGCGTCGGCCGAGATATAAGACTTTCGCATCCCATCTAAAGCCAGCATGCAAAGCGCCAGGTTATGCCTTGCCAGTTGACTCGACGATTGCTTCGATGACGTCAGTTCAAGCAGGTGGACCTGCATTGGCGGGCCAAGGGCAAGGATTCTAGTCAGCCGTTAGTGGGACGGGACAGTACCACGAGGTTCTGGAGCACGTACGCAACTGTCTGGGTGAACTTTATCAGATCTTCCGCCATCATCGAGTTGACAGCACTAGTTGCATCAGAAGCCGCCGCCCGAACTTTACCATTCGCCAATGTCTGCCAAGAGTCGACATTGTGTTCGGGAACGCCATGCGGCATTTCGCGGAGGAACGGTCGGTAAAGAACTATAATTGCCGCCCTACACCGAGTTAGCTTCTGCCTTGTTCACCGTTCCAAAACACTCACTGGACATGAAGGCGAAATTGGTATAAATGGGACGCTAGAACTGGACTTTGATCGTAGTTTCCGTCCGGGAACCAGTTGGCACGGATCTCATTCTCATCTCTCTCAATGTCGTTCCTTGAAGGCTTTGCTCCCTTGATGGTATAGTTGGTCGACAATATTCTCCCCAAGACGCGTGTTACTCTGATCAAGCCTAGCCAAATGCCAAGCAAAGTGCCAAGTTGCTCGGGTAAGTAGTACCGATATTCCGGCGGGCACACGGGGCTGGCGTCATATGGTCCAGGCATCGGAGTTGAGCAGTGATCCAGAGAGATGCGCATGGGTCGGCCTTGGCCCAATGAGAGCCATACTTCGCGGTAATAGATACACCACCACAGACGGCGCCACGACGGTTGAATGCCCTCACGCGCCGGGGATGTAAGCATGTGCAGTCCAATGGTATGAGACAGACTAAGAGCGATGCCGTTCCAATGCCAAGGTCCCATGCGATCTTCGGCATTGGCGTAAAAATGTCCCATGAGGAACACGGACTGAATCAGTGTAAGTTTACTCTTTTCATAATCTGCATCATACAATGCCTGTAAGATTATTAGTAAAGCCGGGTGAAATGTAAGGGGGAAAGTGTGGCTCTCTCACGCACCTTGGCTCGCTGATATGCCGTCCGCTTAAACGCAAGCTGGGAGTCATAGAAACTTTCCGCAAACAACTTGTCATCGATGAACTATGTGAGCTGTTAGAATTATCCATAATCAATATTTAGAAAACGCACGCTCGCGGCAGACACAAACATGCTCCACAGAAGCAACAAGCTGAGATGGCCTTTGCTATACTTGTTGAAAAAGTCCTCGGGGTCTAGGACCGGCTCAAAGGGATGGGCGTGGTGGAAGTAAGCTTTCACGAGGGCTTCTCTTAGCTCGCGAGGAGGTAAAGAAAAACATCCTTTGAACCGAAGGTACTCTATCTCCTCTGGCCGAAGAGACTCCATTGAAGGCGTAGCTACAAAAGCATGGTTGCTATTTGTTGACCGCTGAGGGTTGCAAATGTCTATGACAAAGGCGGGTCCTCGTTTATCACCTATATCCTGTCAGGACCGCTCGTTGTAAAGGTTCATGAGCGGTCTGCGTACCTGGGTAGAATGGAACTCGGTTGACATGGCTCTCACCCTCCTCGAGAGTCTCGGCCCATGCTGAAGTGTCATTGGCGATAGCGGATGAAGCCGGTGTGTCGAAACTTTCGATGTGCTCTGGCTGATGAGACTCTTCTGATGGAACCGTCGGAGCTTCGTAACCAGCGGCCTCATGTCCAACGGCAATGGTTTCCCGACTGGCCACATTAGAAGGGTGATTTTGAGTCTGAGACAAGTGGTTTGGTGGCGTATTGCCATCAAGCTCACTAGGTCTCTCCCATTGGGGTTGCTCATAGTCTGTTGCTACAACGACGGTACCGTGCTGTGGGCTCTCGGATTGCGACGTTTGGACTTCTGGGGTTGGGTGTCCGTGTTGAGAGGGGCCTGGACTATCTTGCACCTCCGATCCAGGCACTTCAGACAAAAGATCCGTATTTCTGGAACTCATAAGCAATCTTAACCATCTCGGATGATAAGCATTCTTACCGTCTCCGCTTGCGGCTTTGTATCTCGCACAGGACGTTGTCCACGGCACAGTTGGCGCACGGGGGACCGGACAAGGTGACTGTGCACCTGGCCTTGCGAGCATTGCATGCCTTGCATGCTACGTGGGCCCTTCTATGCGGCCTGTCATTGCTTAGCGGCATCGTGTTTATCGCTTTTCGTATGGTTGTTGTGCGAGGATGAGGATAGAGTCTGTGAGGAGGATGGAGCCGAGGTAGTTATCTTTGTAAGCGGGACATACACTCTAACCGTTAGTCCGAGTTTTAGGTAGATTTACGGTTTGCGCGAATCCTCCTCTTTGACAACGTATGCCGCCGGCAGTATCGAAGCTCTTTCTCTATGTTCTCGCTAATTGAACCGATGAATCAAGATATTACACTTCCATACTTCCCCAGCACCAAACAGGCAAGCACACTTTGGGGTGTTCACTACTACAGCAGCAATGTCAAGCATGTGAGCGGGCTAGCTATTCGGCTAGTTTGAGCGCCAAGGTTGGACCTGTAGCAAAGTCGAAAGAGCGTGGCATCCTGAAAGTCCGCGTCCGGGACCTTGTTAACCTTGAAGTCCGCTCTGGAGCCGTCACTCAGGTCCGAGGATCCCAAGTTGGGCCATGCGATGGGGTGCTCAGCGGTTGGGGAAGGATCGGATAGTGCAGACGGGGAATGCATGCCCAGGCGTAGGGTGGTGACTCGAATCACCTCGGCCATATGTGGGTCTCGGCCAACTCTAACCACCTATCACCGATCAACGGTACAAGACGTCGATATTCTGGCTGTGATGTCTTCCTTCTTTACCTCGATGTATCAGAGGCCTCGGTAACCCTTGATACTACCCCGCGTCTCACATGGAGCTATTAATCATAGTATAAGTATATCTTCTGTTGATTGTCTGACTTGATTTAAGCTACCACTCCAGCCAATGCTATCAAGATGGCGTCGTCTACTTCCCCTGACTCGTACTCTTCTCTCTCCCTCAAGGACATCTCAGTCTCTCATGTGCCGGCCGACTCTCCCACAGCGACCAAGGTCCTCGTTGTGGCTTTGAACCGACCCAACAAGTACAATGCTGTAACCGAGAACCTTCTCAATGAGCTTGAGACAGTCTACAACCTGATCAACACCGATGAAAGAGTTCGCGCAGTTGTTCTTACCGGTAACGGCAAGGCTTTCTGCGCAGGCGCTGACTTGGAGGTCGGCTTCTCCGGATTGCTAGCTCACAAGAAGAACCCAGAAGCTTTCAACAAATTCCGAGATCAGTATGCTCACCTCTATACCTAACAAGTTTCGAATTACTAACTACTCAGGGGCGGCCGAGTTGCGCTTCTCATTGCAAAGTGCATCAAGCCAACCATTGTCGCGATCAATGGCCCCGCAGCTGGAGTTGGTCTCACCATCACCCTCCCCGCGACCATCCGTGTTGGCTGGTCAGAAGCCAAAGTTGGCCTGCCGTTCTCACGCCGAGGCTTGACTCTCGAGTCATGCAGCGCTTTCTTCCTCCCCAGACTGGTCGGTCTGTCGAATGCAATACATTTGGCCACCACGGGCTCGACATACCTTGCCTCTGATCCGCTGGTTAGCGGCTTGTTCTCCAAGTTGCTTCCCACGCCGCAAGAGACTGCCTCTTACGCTGTAAAACTTGCAGCCGACATTGCCGAGAACACATCCCTGGCCAGTACCAAGTTGATGCGCGACATGATGCTTTACTGCCCGCCCACGCCGGAGGAGACACATGTTTTGGATTCCAAGATTTTCCTTCATTCGGTGGGCACCAAGGACAACGTGGAGGGTATCAAGAGCTTCATGCAGAAGAGGAAGCCCGAGTTTAGCGGAACCATTAACCCCAGTGAGTTCCCCTCCTGGCCGTGGTGGGATGTTGCAGAGAAGAAGGAGAAAAACGCCAAGCTCTGAGTGCGATACCGGCTGCCGTCCGAGGGACAAATAAGAATGTATTCAATAAGCAGTCCATTTTCTCTATTGCTCTACTTTCGTGCCCTCTGAACCGTGTAGAATGCCAGCCCTTCCTGCGAGGTGCTAAAAGTCACCATGCTACCAGCCGGGAAAAAGTAGACGTCTCCTTTCTTTGCCACTGACTTACTCCCAGCACCATCCACCATCTCAAACACGCCGTCAAGTACGACAAGAGTTTCGTTGTATGGATATTTCCCAGTCAGAGACTCGCCTGCAGTCATCCGGAAGAAGCCGCATGACAGGGGATCTACGGAGGAAGCATCCCTAAAACAACCCATTAGCACGGACTAAATCTTCGGTTTGAATATGTAATTCTCATAAACATACGTTCCGTATATATCGCCCAAGAAGGCGTTTTTTGTGCCTGCAACTTGGGGACACTGGAAGGAGTCTTGGGCATTTGGGAAATGCACTATCGGAGTCAGGAATGAGCCAGACATTGTAAAAAAAGCAAAATGTGCTGAATTAGGGCAACTGTGTCTTATCAGTCGTGCGGTGCATTAAGGGCTACTATGTAGTGAGTTTTGAAGCTCATGGGAGATAAAATATTTATGATCGGTTGGTCTTCATTTCTACCACAAATTCGGCAAAAAATTGCGATCCCCCTTAGCATTACCCACCTTTCGCTTATGGGCTAAGTTTCCCGGGTTAGATACCATAGCTCTTTACTGCAAGCGGTAAAAATGGTAATCATGCCGCCACCTCGATGGAAGGGAAAATCTACCTCCTTTCGTCGCCCGTCCTGTCGTCATAGAGTCAAGGCCAACGGCTATGAAGTCGACGGAATTAATGGATCCATACGAACTTGCTCTAAGAGATATGGGCCTCTTTTGACACCCCCTTTATAGTAGAAGCCATTCTTCTTATCAGCGACTGGTTTGGCCTCTCTTACAATATTTATCTTTGAGTGCAAGTTGTAGACGAGTGCCTACGTATCATAGCCATGACACATGCCAACGGGACAAGATGCAATTGGTTGCCCTTTGGCTCCCTACAATACCGTAACCAAAGATCAAAGATTGAAAGTTGCACATGGCCCAAAACAAGAGTTTCCATGCCAGAAGTTCTGATATGTTGCAACCATTGCGAGGACTTCAATTCTTATATGTTTGTAGAAGACATCAGGCACAGGAGCAGAAACCACGAGTTTCAATGAATAACAACACCGATCCCATTGCAGGTTATTGAAGTGACCCAGTTAGCAGCTAATAAATGTATGAAATTAAGCCGGGACACCTTCAATCTCATCATGACGGCCCACTGGAGGTTCAAATGCCTTCTTGCCCCTAAAGACCCAGTCCACTACCGCAATAAGAAACACAATGCCATAAACCACGGAAACGTAGTTCATGTCTTGGGGCGTTATTAGCGCGAGACATCAAGGTAGGCAAGGATTTAAAACTGACTGCTTGCCTCGACTGGTTGATAAGCCGGGAATGAATACCTACATCGGTCTTCACGTTAGCACACTGTTATCACAAGGGCGATTATAGAAAGCAACCAGCACTCACATGACAAATGTGAAGAGAACCCAGCAGAGAAGGACGATATTAGAGACTAGTCCGAAGCGACCCAACCAGAATGGGCCATGAGCTATGTTTTCGCGGCCTCGGATTAGAAGAAATGTGATGGGAATCGAGTAAGACAAATAGGGGAGTACAATGCATCCTGAAAGAATGCTTCTAAATGTTAGCGTCGATGAAATAGTTGTTAAAGCGGCATCATACCTGTTGAAAGCCGCAATAGACGCGAGATAGAGGCAGCCCAAGATGGACGCCAAGACACAGCTTGTTGCGTGGGCATTCAATGGCACGCCTAGACGGGGATGAATTCGTGCAAGGAAGTTCGAGAAAGGCAGACCGCCATCTCTAGCGAAACTCCAGCACAGTCTGGATGACCATGTATGGCAGGCAGCCAAACAACCCGCGCCAGTGCAGATGATGAGCGCTTCAAGGGCAATGGCGCCGCCTTTGTGTCTAAGTGCCTGATGGAAGAGTTCCAGCATGGGTACTCCGGTTACGGTTGTTGACACCAACTCAAAGTTAGTCAGGCTGAAGAGCATGGAGATGATGAAGCCAAATGACGTGATGAAGCCGATGGTTACGGTCCCCATGATGGCGATCGGGACCATCTTTTCAGGGCTGTGCACTTCCTCGGCCAAATGAATGGCCGTGTCCAGGCAAGAAAATCCCCAATTGACATTGATGAGGCCAACGATGACGGCAATGCCGTTCTGAGTCCATCCAGTATTGTTGATGAACGTGGCAAAGACAAACTTTGGGTCCTGGTGTGTTTCTGCCGAAGCCGGAACGGCTATCAGAATCACGGCAAACGAGATGAGGGTTGTGTATAGTGAGATCGAGGCGATGGTTGGGAGGAGTTTCCCAACACAATTAAAGAGGAAGATGAAGGCGTTGGCCAGTTGATAACACACGACAACATGCCACGTCTTGATTTCGCTGGCAAGGAGTATTAGAACTTTCTGCTTGGCTAAGTGACAGGATAAGCGACTCACAAGTCGGGGTGAGACAATTGGTAGCAACCAACTGCTGCCGAAGAGATGGAGAGAGCCACGCTCGCCGAGGCGCAGATGGAGCCCGCCCAGGCTAACCACCCGGTGATGTAGGACGCTGCACGAGCATAACGCCTAGGAGCAAGTTCCGCAGCCCAGAAGATTTGCCCAGCTGCGTTGGGCATGGCACTAGCCAACTCGGATAGAGAGACGGCAACGCCCACAGAGACAAGTGCAAGTAGAATGGTGCCGTAGACGAGCAGGCATGGGCCTCCAGAGTTGACACCAGTGATGAGCGCCGCAGACACTCCCCACCAGGAATTTGTAAGAGAAAAGCCTACTCCGAGGACAGACCACACTGAGAAATTGCGCTTCATGTCCTGGGAGTAGCCCATCTCGGCCAGGCGCTCGGCGTCGCTGTCGGCGCTGCCTGTCCTGACCTTTTCGACATCTGGGTGGTCCTTCATAGTGGCGAGTGATATGGATGCGTCAGATGGGCACTTGTTGTTGTTGAGATGAAAGAGAAGTTCGCAGTAGAGAGGGCCAACTTGTGTGAAATCTGGGGAAGGATATGTACGATTTGAGCGCACTGGGCTATCGGCACAGCCCCTGTCCCGATGATAGGGAATCCGGGGAGCCCCGCACCTGGACTGCAGGGAGATTAGCTAGGCTATCTTGGGCGATACTTGAAAAGGGAAAATATTGCGGCTCTTATCACATGCAGCTGATAGATGCTTTGCTCGTCATTATGGGACTTATGATCCCGTGTCAAGGCATCCAAGCAGAATGTCTACCAAGATAGGAAAAATGTTGATCAGAGAATCTCAAAATGCTTCCGAGAACAGACGGGGGCTTATCCTCCTGATTACGCTGCTAGTCGATCATCTAGCCGAGCTTAGTTCCAAACGGGGATAGGAGCCTAGTCGACATTTTTGTCCGTTTTGGGATTACTTTTGAGCCTCTCACTTGTCAAACCTTCTCGCATCCAGATTACATTAACGTTCAATTTGCTAGTATGTCAAAGCCCAGTTCAGGACATTACAAGTCGCTGGCACTTTGAGACGGGGTCATTCGCATATCAACATGACACTCAACATTCCCCTCATCGCTGCTGTGGCCGCACTGGTACTTGGCCTTTACAAGCTTGTCCTATACCCCTTGTTTTTCTCGCCATTATCCAAAATCCCGACTGCCCACTGGAGTAGCCATGTCTGTCCTCTCTGGATATACTACATTCGCTACAAGAATGTCGAGAACCAAACCATCCATGAGCTTCATAAGACCAAGGGCCCTATCCTCCGCACCGCGCCGAGCCAGCTCGCAGTGAGCTGTTACGAGGGCGGATTGAAGACCATCTATACAGGTGGTTTCCACAAGACCGACTTTTACCATAACCGATTCATCAACTATGGGTACATACACCCCAGTGCCTGGCTACCATGCTGTCTGATCACTAACATTGACCAGAGTTGATCCCATGTTTGCCATGTCTGGTAAACCTCATTCGGATCGCAAGCGCATGCTCTCCCACGTCTATTCCAAGTCCTACATCCTAGCAAGCCCTACAGTTCGAGAAACAACGAGGGCCGTCTTGTTCGATCGCTTTATGCCCATCATCAAATCCTCTGCCGATTCGGGCAAGCCCCTCGAAGTCTTGGAAATACTCGCGGCATATTCGATGGACGCTTTCATGACATACCAATTTGGGCTGTCACTGGGTAGCAACTTCTTGCAAAATGCCGAAGAGAGGAAATGGTACCTCGACACCTTTTACGTCAGACGGCCCTATCTTTTCTGGACTACTGAACTCCCCAAGCTCACCTCTCATTTACGCAAGATTGGAATCAAGCTCGTGCCGGATTGGGTTGAACGGTCAACCATTGATCTCGAGGACTGGCAGATGCGCTTCTGCGACAAGGCCGAGAACCTTCTCGCCGCTGATACACGTATTGCGGCTGAGGACAATCCAGTCGTGTACGCATGGGAGAGAAGCGCCTTCAAGAAGCAGGATGGCAAGAACCAAGTTCTCAATGGGCAAGCTTATCCTCGTCGACTTGAGATTGCGAGTGATATGTACGATCATAACGCAGCTGCCCACGAAACGAGCGGTGATACCCTTACGTACGTTTTCTACGAGCTTTCCCGTCGACCGGAGCATCAGGATCGCCTTCGCCAGGAACTCTCCAACCTCTCACCTCCGCTCGAATACCCAAACGCTCCAGACGAACTCCCTGATCCAAAGTCGGTTGATCAGCTCAGTCTGCTCGACGCTATTCTCCAGGAGACCCTGCGTCTCTGGGTTGCTGTGCCAGGTGGCCAGCCGCGTGTTACTCCCTCTCCATCATGCACACTCGCCGGCTATGCAAACATCCCACCCGGAGTCCGAGTCCAGTCCCACGGTTACACAATCCACCGCAACCCCGAAGTGTTCCCCGAGCCCGACGAGTGGATCCCCGAGCGCTGGCTCAACCAGACCCCCGAGAGACTGTCCGAGATGAGGAGATGGTTTTGGGCTTGGGGCAGCGGAGGTGCCATGTGCATAGGGAGCAACATTGCCACACACTGTAAGTTGCCACTCCCGCCGAGTTTTTGGAGATTACTGACACTATTGAAGCAATGAAGCACTGTATTGCTGGAGTTTACACCAACTACAAGACGACAATTGTTTGCGCACCAGATATGGAGCTAGCCGAGGGGTTTACTGCTGGTCCAAGAGGGGGCAAACTGGAACTGAGTTTTCAACCTGTTTAGATACTTGGGCTCAACTGGAAGCACCTGATATGATATGATGGATGCATGACTCATTAGCAACACATCTCCAGTAGGCCTCAGTCAGGCGGCGTCGGTCAAACAGCCTGGAGGAGAAGAATCTTGCGGGTATCTGTAACAATAGTTTAGTTACTTGTTTGTAGAAACCCACATCACCATTTTACACTTATTGCATTTCAAATGCTTGAAGTAGTATCCTTATTAAGAAGTGATAAGCAATGGAGAGTTCCCTCGCCTTCCATCTTTAGTCCTCGCCATGAGCGATACTCAGTCCTTGGTTGACTCGGCGCCCTTAAACACCGAGCAAGAGTACGAGTATACAACTGCTTATGTGGAGAATGAGGACTCATTACTGTGTCATGAAAAGAGCACCGCTCCAAGCGTGGCTGGAGGAGGAAGAGGTGGCGCTGGTTATATCCAAACTGTTCTTTAGTAGTAGAATTTTTACAATGAATGCACTTCCCTTCTCATATTGAAATAGAATCGGTGTTTAGATCTATGTCTAGTTGTATAGGTAGGCGTAGGCGAATTTCTCACCTTGCTAATTCCAGGCCGCCTTTCTCTTCCTCTTGATACCATATTCATCAAATTCCCCAACAACCATTGCCTTGGGTTCTCGCTTGCCATCTGTAATCTCCTCCCATCTCATGCAAAGCTCCTCCGTGACCTTGTGAAAGTCATCTAAAAGTCCCTCTCGCTCAACTTCTTCCCATACGCGATAGCCACGGGCTGTATCTTGCTTCGCCGTCTTCAGCTCACATTGACCCTCTTGGAAGATCATGAAACGGCAATTCTTGTCGAATCTCTCCCAAGGCTCTTGTCCGTTTGCAAACTTCAGCCACATACTTGACATTTTGGCCGAGATTTCGCGATGTGAAGGTGGAAGGTGGTCTCGGAGCAATGACCAGACATATACATTGTCAAGGGAGTGGTGTGCAAGTCCGGCCCAGTCATTGTCAAAAGGCGACGGCACATCAAAATGATAGGCATAAACAGCTGGGAACGAGCGGATGAGGGTCCAGTTCACAGCCGTGTATAGACCGTCGGTCGTAAACTTTTCAACTTTCCAAAAGCTGTCATCGCGATCATCAGTCGGGGTGATATTATAGAGTGACATGAGCTTCTCGGCTTTGGATTCCGAACCGAGGAAGGATTTGATCCTGTCAACCAAGGTCGGTGCATCCATGGACCGGAAGCTCTTGTTCCAAATGACACACTCATTTGCAACGTCGCCAATCATGATCCTAGTGCACCATGATGGTGGCTTGAAGTTTGCGTAATCGCTGTAGTTTGGCATTGGTTGTCCGATAAGATAGCCATCATCGCAAGGGCTGAAAGTGATGACTGGAATGACGCATACTGGCACCATGGCAGCGGTCAGTTTGTTCTCGTCGACGTCAATAAGGCGCTGAAGACGCTTCCGTGGTGGTAGATCCATTGGAATTCCAAGAGCAGACAGGAGTTTGTCGTATATGCCTTGGTATTCCTCCACAGAAAGGACTCCGCACAAGGGGAGGAGTCCCGACTGGATGATGGTGGATGAGAACAAGGGTTCGTCTCGAAGCAGGTGGACATTGGTGGAGACTGATTAGTACAAGTCAGCTTCCAGATAAAGGATAATTTCAGCCAAGAACTACTTACCACCTCCAGCACTCTGACCGAAAAGTGTAACTCGTTTTGGATCTCCGCCAAATGCAGCAATGTGCTGTTGAACCCAACGAAGAGCTTGCACTTGATCCCAAAGTCCATAATTTCCAGCACCTTCCTCCCCAAATTCGAGGTTATACTCGCGAATCTCCTTACTGGCCAAGAAGCCAAAGACTCCAAGACGAAAGTTGACAGAGATGATAATGGTCGGTTCGTTGAGTTGGTTGGATATGTCGGCCAAGGCGCGACCATCATAAATCGCTGCTCCACCAGCAGCATATACAAATGCACCGCCATGCATAAATACCATGACAGGATACAGAGGTTGACCTACCGAAGCCGAGGGCTTATTGGGAACGGAAATGTTCAGACTCAGGCAGTCTGTCGAGCTGGTGCTGGGGTTGTCGACCCAAGGCCTCTCAGGGCTTGGAATGGGGTAGAAATCTCGAGGTGGCTGACAGGGAAAGGGCCTGTTGCAGAACTTTATCAGCGATTTCTCAATCATACAACATAGTCTATAAAATTGGAACTCTTCATACCCAAGCTTAGTGCCGTCCCATTTCTCCTCAGGCCAAGGGCCCTTGACCGGCTGTGAGCGCCGAAAACGTCCGGGGATGGTCGCATAAGGGACACCCATGTACTGACACACTTTGCCATCAAAGCACAAGCCAGAGAGACTGCCTAGGCCAGGGACCTGGAGTTCAATGGGGCTCCACTCCTTTGGGTTCATCTTGTACGAGATTCGGGCCGTGAATAGTGAAGAAACGGGTCAAATGGAAAAGGAATTATTATGTCATTCAGCGAAAGTGTAGACGTTGGTCAGCACAAACGAGTTCACCATCAGAATCCATCGATCAGCTTTAGTTATACCCGCACATCGACTTGTTGCTTACCAAGTTACCAGAAGGATGTTGGTCGCGAAGTACGCAAGACCGTGATGTTTTGCCTAATCCGGCAATCGATACGGCGCTCCAAGCTAGCCAGATAACTAAACTCTTGCAGGGATGGCCATATCTCCCATTGTCCAATCATGTTTCTGATGATATCTACCCTGGTATCTGGCAGACATGCCCCAAATTACCCCGCAATGAGTGGCCCAGCCGAATCGATCCCCGGGTTGTCTCCGCCTTCATCTTGCCTCATCGTCAAGTTCCCAACTTCAACCTTGCTCATACATCTTAAACGAAGATATTGACGCAAATGGAAAGCTCCAGCACGCCATCCGTCCCGACCTCTACGAGAGGAAGAGGATCGGGAAAGCCTCGAACGTCTAAAGGATATTCACACAATGGGTGCTCAAGATGCAAAGGGCAACGGGCAAGTCCTTCCTGACTTGGTACATTGATATGAGCATTATTGACTAACTTGATCCTCTATAGACAAGATGTGATGAGCAGAAGCCTTCGTGCGGTCGTTGCACGCGTGCCGGCGTCAAGTGCACCGGCTATGGCCCACAGTTTCGGTGGTCAACCAAGTATGAGGTCTTCCGGCAGGAAGCGCCGAAGAAGCCGAAACGACGTGAAACGCCCAAGCGCCAAGACCAAGAGAATTCTGACCTTAAGAGTGTATCCGAGAGCAACGAGTCTCTCATCCCATCACTGCGGTTGGACTTGCAGGAGCAGAATGCGAATCTCAGCCAAACGGATGAGAGACAAGATGAGCTTTGCGAGCCTCTCTTTGAGAACATCTTACTGGACCTCCCAGGAGTCACCGATATTTCTGACTTCTTCAATGAAAACTCGCCGTCGGATAGTCTGGGCACGGCCTTCTTTCTTCAGGGACTTGGTCAGAGCCCATTGGATCTTGGCCAAGGACAACCATTGATCAAGGACGCTCCAGATGTCACCAACGATCAGTCCAGGGTTTATCCTGCCACTGCACTTTCTCCATCACCTTCATTGCCAATATCTCCAGCCTCGCCTCTGCCTCTGCCTCAGCCTCAGGCCCACAAAGGAGATACTGAAGAAGGCACACAAAACACGCCACTTGTCACATCCGTCGTGTCCTACTCCAAAGCTAGCGGACACAAAATGGGCACCGTCTCTCCAGCAAGGCCTCTCAACGACCCAGCCTCCATCCTTGTTGAGTTTTACTTCAAAGAGACTGCGCAGCTCTTCTCTTGCTACGATAGCTCTATGAATCCTTTCAGAACAACAGTATCTCGCCTGTGGAACTCCTCCCCGTTACTATACAAAACCCTCTCGTCCATGGCTGCAGCGAGTCTTGTCAATGACTTTCCGCAGCTCACCGCCCTTGGGAAGCACCTGAGGAAAGAAGCCATAGAAATGCTGGATAAAGGGTCGGGGCCTGACCAGGACCTGTTGCTCGCGATGCTCATGCTCGGGGGCTCGGCGAGCTGGCACAACCCCCGTGATCTTGGACTACCCTTCTTCAACCGGGCTCGAAGGAAGCTGGCATCAATGTCGACGGCCGTGTTCGAGCAACATGGTGTTGACTATCACTTCTTCCACCAGTCGATGACTTATTGGGAGATGCTGCTATCGTACGTGGCAGAGAATGACGAACTTAATGCCTCAATAGATGAGCACGCTTTCTCACAAGGCTGCACGACGCTACACTTTGTCCCGCATCCATGGACTGGATTTGCACGAGATACTCAACATGCGGTGCAAAAGGTCGGCAGGCTTATTAGAAAGCAGCGGAAGATGGCCTTTTCACATCGATTCACGTCACTCTCCCACATCAAACAACTCGAGAAGGACTTGGCCGCGGCTAGTGAGCTTGAGCAGTATCTTTGCAGCCTGTCACATCCTGTCGAAACCACAGTTCTCGACACCGAGGATAGGAACACTCCAGTGTGGCATTTGCTAACTCTGGCTGAAGCTTATCGGTCGACTGGGTTAATTCAGCTGTACCATATCTTTCCCGATCTTCTTGATCACCGACTGGTACGAGAGGGTTTGCTGAATCCGGACCTCAATGAAGAGCATGGGCCTGACTCTCCTTCTGCCTCCTGCCAACTACGCAAAGATTGGCTTACTTCATATGCCGTGCAAGCTCTAAATCTCATGAAGTCAATCCCTCTAGAGTCGGGAACAAGAGATTTCCAACCTTTCATCCTCGTATCCTTGTCAAGCGAGCTCCGGATGTCATCACCGCCAGTGGACATTCATGATAGCGGACCAGGAGCTTCCATGGCGGATCAGATGGCAGGCTTCACTTCGCAAACTATTGAGGTTTCAAGGATGCGTCATTTCATCAAGAGTCGGCTCAATTCGTTCCTTTACACGCTCCCTCCAAGGCCGATCCATGTGTGTCTCGATATTGTTAATGAGACATGGAGGATCATGGATGAGAGGGCTCGTGTTGTTTCGGCAACAGGGAGTCAAAGTGGCACATTCGAGAGCTGTGAAGACGTCTACTGGATGGATGTTATGATTCAGAACGGGTGGGAGACTACAATGGCGTAGAATTTCTGGCCATCCGGCGAAGGCCGTGCCTGATGCACAGAACAAGATGTAATTTGGCTATTCATCTATAGAATAAGGGAGTGTGAATCTATACATTTACATATCTACATGCATTGCCTTGGGTCTTAGTGTGTTTTGTAGTCAATCTACAAATCGTTACCAAAGAGGGAGGGCCATGAAATAGAAGAGAAAGGCAGAGAGAAGGAGTCGCGGGTGACATGGTGGTGAATGATGAAGCACCTATTTATCGACCGAACCAGCACCAGACCCACTTACGCACGAGGCTTGACGTTCTGAGTGGTAGAGAAGAGGTCATCAGGGTCAACTGCGGCCTTGATCTTCTCGAGTCTGGGAAGGTTGGAGCCCTAATACTTTTCCTGAGCTTTGCTGCTGAGGCGCAAATTGGGAACACCAGCGTAGTGCAGGTAATTAGCTGGCTTGTTGTTTTGAAGCGCAAGAATTCCGTCGTCGATGAAATTCATGGTCTTCTCGCTTGTTTCCTGTGTTGTGGTGGCGTAGGTGGACATGAAGTAGCGGAGATTGCGGTGAGGAAAAGGGGTAGCACCCGTGTCCACATCATTGACCGCGCCGCCGTACCAATCAAAGAGGTACGACCAGTAGACGGCTCCAGAGTCTGCGGCCTGCACATGGTCGACAAATCTCTCGACGGCGGAGTCCGATGATACGTTTCTACCGCCAACAGCGAGATCCTTTGCGTAGGAGTAAGCTTGGCCGGGAACATTGCTGGCACCTCGGAAGAGGCCATTCATGTAGTCTATCCAAGAGATACAGCCGCGGACGGTCTTTTCAGCGCCAAATGGGAAATGTTTGTCCAAACTGAGGGCATCAAAGTCCTTCTTGTGCCCCAGAAAGACACCGCTGACGTAGAAGCTGTTCTTGGCAAGATTGCCAGATCTGCTCACCTTTCGAGACGTGCTCTTTTCCGACGCCAGCTTGTTAAAAGCCTTCATAGCGCGAGCGAGGAGGGCCTTGTCGGTGGTCGAATAGTTGTAGCTGAAAGTGGTGAGTTCCTTGAGCATGGGCTTCGTCTGGAACTTGAACTCGGTTGCGATGCCGAAACTGGCACCAGCACCGCTCATGGACCAGAACAAATCGGAGTTGGTCATCTTGGTGGCGCGAGTGACGGTACCGTTGGCAAGGATAACTTCGACCTCTTGCATGACATCGATGGAAAGGCCATTCTCGCGAGAGGTATATCCGATGCCACCGACCGCGATGAGACCGCCGATACCAACAGTTGGAGAAGATCCATGTGGCATGAAGCGTCCGGCATTGTTGAGACCTTCCACGAGATCTTTGAGCAAGTTTCCAGGCCCGACTGTTGCTATGCCCGTGGTTTTGTCCACACTGAGGTGATTGAAGTGCTTTAAATCGACAACGATAGCATCGTCGGCGCCTCCCAAGCCTAGAGGAAAACTCTTTGTTAACAATGGCCAAGCCTCAAATGTTTTTTGCCATGTAAAATGCACTTACACTGGTTGATAAAGTCTCTGCCACCGCTTCGGGGCTGGACCTTGCGCTTGTGCTTGACAGCGCAAGCTAGCACTTCGGAGATCTCATCCTTTGTCTTAGGATACGGGACCGCAAACGGCTCGCACTGCAGATTGAGGTTGTGGTAGTTGACATCTTTGGAGATGAAATCCGGCTCGTCTTGGAACTGTGCCCTCGCTGCGTCGCCCCCGACGGCGCTGGAGAGACAAGACCGAAGATCTTGACGAGCGAGAGGGGCGAGAGAAGTTGCCCTGCCCTCCGTTGCCGTTGCGACCAGGAGGATCAGCTCGATCAGGCTTGAAGATGGGAGCATTGCTAAAGCAAAACCAGATGCAGAGGAGTAGATTGTGTTGAAAGGTTGATGATGAGGAATGCATTTGCAAAGTCAGTGCCATTGACAACTTTATATACCTATTATGTCGAAAACGCCAAGGTCGACGCTGTCGAAATCACGTCTATCTATTCTTCCCGTGAAGCCCGACGACCGAGACGCTTCACCTGATGAGTTCATTCCTCTAGAGCTTGTGATGTTTACTGTAGAGACTCAAGAGTCAAGACTTTAGGACCTGACAGTGGATTTCCATACCCATGCGGGTGTCAGCTAATTGGCCTGTCGGAGACTTGAATAGCTTAATAGGTGTATAAAAACTAACCTTCAGGTCCCAATGTGGGTGTTATTCGCTTGAGTCAAGACTAGGATGATGCCAGGTTCTTCCGCCACTACCTTGTCGGATTCCGTAATAATGTCCGAGCTGCCGTCTCGGCAGTTGCGGTGTAATCACAATGCACGGCGTGCGGACTCCGCAGTAGCTGCCAAGCTAGGCTGGTCAGTACAGCCCGGGCTGCCCTGGGGCTCAAACTCTGTGTGCATCTTTTCCGTCCTTCTTTAGTGTGAGTGATACCAATTGTGATGATGCATCTGACTCATTTATAGACAAGGCTATCTAAGCTTATTACTAAAGCGACTGAAAGATATTTAGTAGCCTGATTAAATTAATAAGAGCCCAGATTTTCACATGCCCAAGGTATGAGCATGCCAGATACCTTGATTATCTGGTGATGCAGAGGATCAAGACCGATTACTCTCATACACTCTCATACATGTTAGAACAGGTGAATGCTACAAAGTTCCGATAGAGAGAAGCGGTGTTTTTATCCAAAGACCCCGGAAATGAGAGAAGTGATGTAGAATCCGGCTTCAGCGGCGCGCCCTGTGCCATGAGTAAACCCGCACTTTCATAGAACTCGGGGTGCTTGGTGAATAGCCCAGGATCTTGTTTATATCTGGACAGTCCGTACTCAATCTGGAGGTGCCTCGCGACGGCCAAGGCAACGCTCGGCGACGTGAAGATATCTGAGATTTGAGACACTGGCAGAGACGCTGGTTCCTGGCCTGGATCCTCGTCGGCGCCAGCCATGGCCTGCACTAGATCCACGACTTTGACGTAAACCTGCAAAGGCGGGGAGTCGGCAACCAACTCGCTTAGCAGTGTTTCGACGACATACACGCCAACGATGTCGCTGACGACTTGATCAATAAAAGGGTTGGCAGCATGGTAGCGGATGAGAGTGTCGCGGATGGACAGGAAGGGCACGCAGTCAATGACAGCAGCGTGGCTGCATTGAAGTTGGAGTAGAGTCGGCTGATATGAAAATCTCGACTCCAGCCACATTAAAGTGTCCAGTGCTTCCTTTGAAAAAGAAAAGAAATCACATCTTTCTCTCCGACCCATCCTACCGGAGTCCTTCGCTCATTTCTCACGGGATCGATCCTCTGATGACCGTCTAACCAACCATCGTCCATACGATTGAGGAATGCACACATGTTGCAGAAAACGATCTTGAAGTTCAACAAAAACTAGTAAACACTAAAGAAAATACGAAGAAAAAAGCAGCTTCGGACTTTGTGAGGTCGGTCGTGGCTGCACTCGAGCGTCCTGTAGGTGCTCAATAGCCAACCTCCCTCAACTATCCAACCACCGGATGCATCTGGGCCCCCCTTGTGACGAGACGCAGGAAGCCTTAGATATCTAGCTTGTTAGGTGAAGCTGCCCAAGAACATCAATTCAATACATCGCGGTATCACATCAATCAACACACGTTAGCCCGCTTCTTAGTCAACAAACAGACCGGCCTTGCGGTCCTTTCTCAAAACCTTGTCCACGTTGGTTCGGAAGTGGTCCAGCCCTTGCCTGGCGGGGTTGATGGCCTCACGGCTGACGCTGACATGAGAAGCAAGCATATCATAGTTGTCGGCGTTCTTCACGGACAGTTTGGGACTAAGGGCAAGGATCTTAGCAAGGCCGTGTTTAATATTAAGCCTGCTTTTTACTCCCATGCCGTCCCTTAGGTTTAACTGGATTATCTTATAGACTATGTAAGAAGGGTACTAGCCGCACGCTTTAGATAAATTATAACTATAATAAAGAGTACTAGTAATTACTCTATAGGGCTTTAAAGGGCGCTATATAATAGCAGGGCTATAAGTAAAACTATTGCTAAACTCTTAAGGCTATTTCCCTCTAGGGATAACTACTATCTCTAAAGCTGCTATGGCTGCCGCCGAGGCCGCTTGGCAGGATATCACACTGTCGATGGCGAGTGTCAATGATACGAACATCGTGACCCTTTCGGTATCCTTCGATTGCTAAAAGGTCAAGGGATCCAAGCCCCGTCCCAAGAAGACTCGTTTTAATCCGAACGCTTTCGGATTGTTTAAGAGATAGAGTTTGGCTAATAGCCTTCCAGGCGCGCCATATGCCCATTTTGTGTTAAAGTTGCCAGATAACAGCACCATCTACGATGTTGTGAAAGCCCATGGAATCTTACAAGGTCAGGCTCGACGGCCGAGGCGTACCGCAAGAATATCGAGGCAAGCCAGGTTGGTATCAACGTCCCGATCCCGGTCCCATTGCCCATGTTTTCCTTCGCCGGCAATAAGAAGAGCATCGGCGGCGCCAATACGAATCGCAATCTTTTGACAGGTAGGTAGGTACTGTACATACCTGCTAAGTTAGGTAGTACATGGATAGTTTAGGCGGGCATCAAGCTATACTAAACATAAGACCCTTGAGAGATCGACAAGAGGACGCAATAGCTCAGGACGAATATCCCGCCACGGGGCAGGCATCATACCAAACTAAACACGAGACCCTTGAGAAGAGAGATCGACAAGAAGACGCAATGGCTCAGGATGAATATCCCACCACGGGGTTATAAAAAAACTTAAGATACTAAAGCACTTATCCTCGGCTTAGCTCATAAATATATTAAATTTATAGCTAAATTAAGAGCATTAATTATATAAGATTATATAAAGATTATAAAAAATTATATAAAAATTATATAAATCTTTTCTTATATTCTTTTAGGGTTAACTTTGGTTCCCTTTTGCCCTAGCATCTGGAAAGAGTTGATTTGGGGCCTCAAGGTTCTTTATGACCCCGTGCCCGCTGCTCGTCAAGTCTCGTGCCTTTCAACGGGCGGTCACACTCACCACGATATTTATCCTAACTGTGGCCTTCATCGTCGTTACCATTCGCCTTACGAACAAACGCGACCGCTCTCATTCCTCAGGTTATCAGCAAGATGACCAAGTTTCCGGCGGTCACACTGACCACGATATTTATCCTCACTATGTGGTATCAAATTAGGCGTTCATCACATTCGATTCCAAGTTGCTCGTCCCTTCACAGGATTTCTATTCTTCCTCGTGAACAAGTTGGCCCTCCCACCCACTGTTGCTCGCCTTTCTGAATAGCCTATCATGAAAGGGTCATTTTTATTGACAGGCGGCAGCATTAAGCCCAATGGCAGGTCAAGGAAAAAGCACCAAGGCCAAGAGTAACGTTGCATGGCTGGCTGCTAATAAAAAATGAAGGGGTGGAAAACTTGCTCTTGCAGTCGGTTTACACAATACATACCTCCATGAGGGGTAGTGAAACCATGTATTTCCTGTGGTTCCAAGCTTCTCAAGGTATCCCAATGGCCCAGATAAGAAACAGGGTCAAAAGCCTTGGGAAAGAAGGGCACTGAAAGAAAGTGTTGAATTAGGAATGGAATGGTGAGCAATGAGAGGAGTACCACTGCCCAACACTTTGCACTGCGCTTTGCTCGGTGGCATCTTGAAAAGAATCAATAGGGGACATGAGAGGGCTCGGAGGTTAATCTAATGATGGGAGCCGCCGAAAAATCATGCTGCTTGAACCAACCCATAGGCCCGAATCTTGGAGAGGACACATGACATCTTTGGGCGTGAAAAAGGGACCACGCTTAACGTAATTTGTGGAGGCCTCTTCGGGATGTAAATCACTGAAACCCCGCATTATCAGCATCAATTGGGCCACCTTGGATTCTAGATTCTCATCGGGAACGCAAGCCATCAACAGCTCTGACCGCTAGCCACTCCAACAATGACCATAACCATCGGTCCCATGGTTCCTGACCCAAGACTCCGAATGTTACAGTCTGTTCTCATCATTCATGAGCTTCTCATTGCCTTGCTCATGGGCGACCAGTGCTTCAAGAAATAGCCCTACCTATTGCCGGGACTCAACTGGTATCCGCGACTGAGGAGCGGACCTTGACCAGCAACGGAATTGAAGCCCGTGCACCAGCCATCGTGAAAGGAACAAAACGGACAACAGAGCTGATCCCAATGGCTGGGATTTCTGGAATATCACATACAAATAGCTACCACAACCATATAACCACGCCCCTACCATAACTAAAAATTTCTCTAAAATCCAGAGTAACTCCATACTTATAGAATCGTCACCTTTCTTAGTTCCCCTTCCAACGGCTCGAAGCATCGTTCAGACTGAGGAGTCTGGTATCGTTCATATATTGCAAGGTTAGGATCAGAGGACCTTGTAATTTCGCACCACTGATACACCATTCCAATTCGCTCATACGGATCCCTTTCACGTCGTCGATACAAAACCAAGGCAAGTTGAGTCTGGCTGTGTAACCCGCTGCCTGTGGCTAAGCCCATGCATAGAACCTTTTCAACACGGCGCATATTCCCAAGCCCAATTCCGAAAGGATCTGCTGGATTGTCAGGGTAGAAACGATTTCCACCGGTCAACGAGTATGTTGTATTTCCCATCTTCAACTCGGGCCTTTGGTCCACTGATCTAATGGCCACGACTTCTCCCCAGACGGCCGGGGCTTCAAGTTTGAGAGACCCTTTGCTGACTTGGCCGGTCTCATCATTTGTTGCCGGCTTACAGTAAGCCTCCAGGACTTTGAAGTGAATTTGAACTTTGGTGTGATCCTTGAAAGGGAACTTGATGGGCGCGTCGATAGATGCCCATGACCATGTAGGAGCGCGCCACTCGTCCGGCTTCGCGTTTAATGCTTTGCCCGGTACCATGGCATCTTTGTTTATCCACAACAAGTCAAATTCTAATGAATCGCTCCACAGACCCGCGAGATATCTAGACTCTGACCGCCTGAACGACATTTTGGTCGCAACGCCAGACAAGGCCGGGAGTTTGTCGTCTGCGTATGAAAGATTCAGGGCCGAGTACGATTGAACCATTTCTAGCCATTGTTTCCTCATCAGCTGCGGCGAGTCGTCGTTGGCTGTCTTCTCATAGTGGGATTTGGCCGATTCCTGTAGCCGGCCGCATTCGCAAGAGCTCATTTCTCTACACTCCCAGAACATTTCCGGGGATGCAAAATGCACGACCCTCGGCGACAGTAATCTCTCCTGAAAAACCCACGCCCGCGTCAACAGGGGCCACTTTTGTGCAAGCTTTCGAGACTCATCTGTCAGCTTGGGATGTGGTACATCCTCCACGGCTGCGACCAGATAAGGTGCGCCGTCGGCCCCATATCTTCGTCCACAGACGAGCTCTTGTCTCACTCGCTGTGTTGAGAACAAGCCGCCACTGGAGTCCTTGGAAGAAGTAGCAGCGATTGTCAGGTAGGCGTTCTCGTATATGTTTGCCATGGCGCTTGACTCACGAGCCCAGTCGTCGCCGTCATCCTGAATGATGCACAAGGAATCGATCCAGACATATGGTATCCCCAATAGCCGAGCGACGCAAATGGTATCTCGATAGGTCCTAGGAAGCTGAGACCAACCCAATTGGGCGCAATGGCGGTCAATATTCTCGGTTGTCGTGGTCAGGGTCCGCCGGACGCCCCAGCAGTGGCTCAGACAGAGATAGCGCCCAGGAGAAGTGTTTGTCTTTGCCGTTTCTTTGAGCCGAACGCCTCTGCCATCTGCTCCAACGTCAATGACTCTTGTCGGGAGCCAATTTGCAGTCGCTGCGGCGCTACCGCATTGATGATTTGATTCGCAGTAAGAGATCCATTTCTTGACACGCTGAAGACACTGCATGCTGCCGGGAACAGCGACCTCGTGTCCCATGCCAAGTTGGAGCCATGGACAGGGGATGTCTAGTCAGGATTAAGTCAACTTGGAGAATATGGGGCGGAGATGGAGTGTTACTAACACGGGACACTTTGAAATCGGATGTCCTTGCCATTGGCGTTGACTATGATATGGGCGTAGTTTGAATCAACCCTTACGGTGAGCCCGGCGGTGTCTCCCAGGCAGTTGTGTTTGGCAATACCCTGAAGGATAACGAAGCAGAGTTCGCACGTGATGGCAGAGTCCCGAAGCATTGCTGAGGTGAACTTTACGACCCGGACAATACTGGAAGAAGGCTCGAGCTCGCCGAGGATATTCTCACAGCGTAAACATTGGCGGGCGAGGGGAATGAATGACCCCGGGTTCGATTGCAGTTCCCCCAGTGTCCGAATGACTGGTAGCTCAGTATCCTCCGGTTTGCTACACCTGATTAGCATGGGAACGGAAAAGCTTGACGAGAAATGAGACAGGCCATTACTCACTACTCAAGAGCCTGAGATGTATCGTTTTCATCATCTACATCCACAAGGTCAGGGAAGTACGGCTTTGAGCGAACCCGTTTGCGTGATTTCCGTGGAGGCCGGCTGGGCGCATCTGTACGCCACCAGACCAGGCGAGCAAGCCACTGCTTCAAGGTTGACATGTTGCGAGAACCAGGCTGGGAAAATTCTGTGAGTGATTTTAACTCGCAGCTCGTGTACGCGCATACAAGGACGACCTGTTTGTAATCAGTGCGGGAGGGGAACGTGATAAGAGGCGAGTGATGCCTCGTTTCTCTGTCGGGGGCGGGCTCTGGCGTTCGTGAAGTGCGCCTAGGGGGCCGCCAAATTCACGACGGCAAAACCCGTCGAGTCAGCCTCACGAGGCTTAAGTCAGATCAGGGCGGCAAGCACACCAATCACAAGACTCAGGTCAACGTGTGCAACCTCCGTCTTCTTACAAATTGATAGGTTTGATTGTCGATGCATTAACATATGGAGACCCTGGGGCTATTAAGTTTTTGGTTCCAGGCTAACTAGCGGATGGGCACTCTATTTTCTATCAGAGGATATCGTACATACGGACAGGAGTGTCCCACAGTGTGCCGGCTATTTGAGGCAGCCTTTGCACTGTACAAACCTCCCTCTTTCAACATCATTGCAGGCATCAATCAACCACGTTTTCAGCGCCCAAGGTCACCCTAAAGCATGAAAAATAGTAGTTAAAAGAGCCTTGTTCTTAAGGGTTCAAGATGAGTCGTGCTTTAGAAATTGAATTCGTAAACATCGTTGATGATGCAAATGGTGAAACCGTGGGACGGTGAATTACGCTTGTCTCTTGCTATCACTACCTAATGAGCGCCAGGAAGTCCCTCGTGCTCTTCCCAAAACGACCATCCCTAGCCCTACAGGATTACATGGTTTTTTGCAGTGAGTCATTGAAGCCGACCTTGTAGAAGAATGGTGGATATCATGTAGTAATGCTCCCCATAGCAGTTGAACCTTTCTGTTCGACAATGAAACGACCTGGACACTGCTGCAGGGCCTTTAAAGCCTTCCTCGACCCTAGTGCGACTTTATGCCTAACCTGAATTTTTAAACAGGGGCCCTGCAACCGAAGCATTAGAGGTCTTGATCTCCTTCTTCTTGGTTGTCTCGAAGGTGGCCTTCTTGGGCCTTGTGCTGGACTTGGTTTTTGTTTTCAAGAGGATAGTTCAAAGACGGGAACCTGGTCGTATATTGGCCTATTTTCTACACATAATGAATATAAATAGGGCCAGATAGATGATAGTTGGTAAGCGGGAAAGATCGACTTATAGTACAAAGGAGGGAAGACACGTGACTTGTCCCTCACTTAATAGTAGAAACAGCACCCATCTGGAATGTCAAGACTTCTATCGTTTCCATTGGAAAAAACATCGGATCTTTCACTTCAGCCCTTTAGCGGACGTCATGTCCAGGTTGATCCTCGTCATGCCCATCTAACCATCACCCCCCGGGCCCCTGTCCCTGCACGCCCTCGCATATCACTTACATACCAATGTCTTTGATGGCATTTTTTCCATGTAGATAAGGAATATTAAGAAAGAGGCCACCCGCAATGTGAACGCGGCCGTGGCCGGCACAAGCAGCACTCGTCCACCACCGGACAACTCGTCTGCTATGCCCAGGCATGCAACCCTAGAACTCTCCGGAGTTCGCGGCTATCGCGGCCTGTTCTCTGTCCGTGTCCGTACATCCAACCAAAGAATCATAATTCACAGCCGGTACCGATCACCCCACTGCTGACTCAATAACCTGGAAGCTATCTTTATAGTAAGATCTAAATACTTGGTGATCTATCTAACTCTATTAGAAGATCCTTAGATAAAGGTTTATTAAAGACGTGGAGATGCTAGATGGATTATTTCTTACTCATTCCTTGTAATACTATCTCTACGCTGAGGCCTTGTTGCCAAGTTCTATTAGCTATTTCTAAAGAATTAATGTGTTCTTGATTATAGTTGCAGTCCGGCCCTCGATGGGATAATTAAGCCAGAAGACCGCCTCTTAATAACAGTTTTGCATTATACATCGTCGCGATAATCGCGCTATTCAAGACACTATGTAAGTATTTGTCTCCTGGCGCGAACAACGTTAATCTCAGACGTCTGTCGTCAAGTCCCATCTAGACACCTGCTCTGAATGAATAGAAGCTCTTGCATTCTCAATGGCTTAAACGGCCAGAACTCTACAGTCAATAGCACCTATTCCCCGATAAATAATTGCATTCCACGGCAGACTTTCTTCACAAACACATTTAGAAGGAGAGCAGGCAAGGGCGTCCTGTGACGGCCAAGTCACAGCAAGTGGAATGAAGATCTAGAGAGCCAGGTTTGGCCACGTAGTGCAGTGATTACAACTATTCTTCTCAACCATGTGACACACACTAAGACGGGAAAGGTACTCTCTAGATGTTTACATTACCATCGCCATTGGGACCAATCTTGCCCCCTCCCCAGATAGTCCTCTTCTTGGACTTTGTGGACTCTCCCTTCTCATAGCTCCAGATGAGATCCCCCCAGCCGGGATGATCGGCCGACGACGTGTACAACTGCCCTCCGTCCTTGTCATAAGCTTGCTTGGCCTTGGTCGTCCAAGGAGCGTTCCGACCGCGAGCAACCTTGTAGGCGTAATATATGATGTCCCATGCTGATCCTGTGAGCTTACCGTTGACCAAACCAACGCCACGGTTCTTTTCACTGATCTCTGACCATGGCCCATTAACCAAGATTGCCTCGCACCGATAGAAGTTCTTGTTGTATGGCACGGTGTTTCCGAGACTATACTTGGCTAGGTACTCAGATCCCTTGAGCAACAAGTCGCCGCCCTCGCTCCAGACATCATGACCCTGAGACTGGATTGTGCGGGCGGCATATGCAGCCCATGCTACACCAGACTGGGCGTGGCTTTGATCACGACCGGCTTCTGCTGACTGACCTGTGGATGGGTCAACGTTGCCATAAATACCCGCGCAAGGATCGTTCAAGTATGCGTTGAGAGCGTAGTTGTACTAGTCGACGTGAGTGATTTGCGAACGAATGCTTTTGGCGGAGGTACTCACCATGCTGACATCGTCCAAGTAAACGGCGAAATCCAGAAGAGCTTTGATGCTCGCCATACCATAGTTTGCCTGACCAATTATGATGGATTGCCGCGCAAATAACCAGTAGAGCTGGTTGGAGAAACCGGCGCCGCCCTGCCATCTAGCGCCCACCTCAGTCCAGTTGCCTTCCCATCGCATAATCTCTGCCGCGTTGGCGAGCATGCTTCCTTCAAGACCGACCAATAAGGAAGTATCCAAGCCAATAATATTGGTGAGATTGGTTCCCCAGGCATCAAGAATGGTGGTCGCTCGATCCCAGTGGGCTTGGTCCTTGGTGATATACCACATCAAGGCGTTTTGCCAAGCGGCCCGAGTATCTGCTGTAAATGATGTATAGTTGCTGCAAGGCCCACGGCAGATGACTGGTTTCGGACCCTGCATGGTGTAGGTGCTCAGGGAGTATTTATCCGTGCTGAAAGCCTTGTATGCTGTCTTCCATGGTTCCTTTTCGCTCTTGACATTGTTGCGGATACGCTCGAGATCGTCGTGGGTGTGCCAAAGGCCAGGGTGAACAAATTCGCCAGGTCGTTTCTTGGCGCCTGGCAAATTATTTGGAGAGATGACAGGGCCTATTTAAAAGATCATGTTAGCCATGTTGAGCGACATGGTGCATCGCGGAACAGCATTTTCACGTACCATTGAGGGCGGGGACGTTGGACGTTAATGCCTCAGCGGCAATGGCGAACAAACCCAAGATTGCAATGATTAGCTAAAACGGTTGTAAGGATGCAAGACAAATCAACGAGTTACAATGAATCTAAGGGCTGCATACCTTGGCCATGATGGAGTGTTGTGCTAGCCGGAGCCTCTCGCAGAGGCAACGACTTGGATCTGCAGGAATGGTCTGGGGATCTAAGGCTGCAGGAACAGCACACACTTTAAGCTCCAAGAAATACAATGACGCAATTTGTAGCTACTGGGATCATCAGCGGGATATTTTCCGGCCGTTTTCCGACATCAACAAGGCCGGAGACATGCCACAATCCCATGCCTTCCCCGCACGCCTTCTCCGGCAACAAGCTACCGAACCCCGATGGCCCGAAATTAATGGAATCGGACAAAGCCCGAGAGATATACCGTAGTGTCGAAACTATGTCGGAAGAGAAGAATGTCCTACAATGGGCCGGTAATTACACTTGCCCGATACCTGGTGCAGCATAATCCTGGATCAGAAGGTAACTAACTCTAGATCTACTCACCCGGGACTGTGAATGGAAAAGCCGCAGCAGAAATCTTGTTGCAGGATTTGTCTTTAGATTTTCAGCTAGAAACCAATTGCCAGATAAATCAGTTCAGCATGGACGTTCTCAAGCGCCACCTTGCCGTAGGTAGCTAAGAGTGAGGTTATAAGCGCTTGTAAGATGTTGACTTCAGCTCCACCATGGTCGCTGTGTTATCTTCAGTTTGCATGAATATTTTTAAAGCCAGGTTACGTATCCAATTACAGGACTTGATTAAGTACTTGAAACATTTCGCTTGCCGTAGCATTCGTGTGCAACAAGTGAGTCTCAGCCCTCCCAGGCACTTCATAACATCAGGCCTGGGCTTATACCAGCTAGAATTGACCAACTCACTCGGCATAGGTTCTAGATCACGAGACCTATGGCGCAGTGTCTGTTCACGGCAACGAAACAGGAATTCGTCTCAATTCACATGAAACGTTTGCGAAACAAGTAGTTGGAGTCCCTACCATTGGTCAGTTAGAGCATCTATAGGAACTTGCTAACATCATGACCGAGGGGGCCGACCATGATCGCCTTGATATGCACAGAATGGAAAAATAGAGTATATTCCAAATAGACTTCCCAACCTCAGAAGTTAACCCGCCCTGTGACTAATTTCCTCATCAACTCACAAACACTCCAACAGACACCCTTTGGCCATCCTCCGTCCATAATTAACTGAGACACCGGATTAAGTGTCATATCGGAAGTCGGGGTTCTCTTTGTCCGTCATATCAGCAAACGCATTGCGATGCTGGACATGATCCTCTTCCTTTTCACTGCCAGCGTCCGCGTGAGACACCTCAGCGGCGGCCTTCTTCAGAACGTTTCGGCGAGTCAGCAGCAGTCGAAGAATGACGAGGAAAATGTTGAAGAGGCCGTAAAGGCAGAAATGGGCGGTGAAGCCATGCTTGTAACGAGGCGCGTCGGACTTTTGGAAGATCTTGAGCGAGTTAGCTATGGTCTAAAAACTGGCAAGGGTCAGGCATACCTGAGGGGCAGTCATGTTGCCAGCAGCCCAAGCAACAAAGGTAATAGCCAGTGTAGTCGACTTCTTGGTCTGGCCGGCAATGTTGCGAGAAATGAGGGAAAAAATCAGATTGCCTTCAGCAAGGTAGAACTGGGTACAGTAAAAGGCAATGAGCAGTCCCACACGGTTGGAATGGTTTGGTGGGATGCTGTAGATGACTGCCGTTCCGATGATAGCAGGGCTAAGAGAAATGTCAGCCGAGGACTTCATGGCAACTCGTGTATTAGCGACTTACACAGTCCATGCGTGCATCACCCAAGCGGTTTGCCCAGTAGCCGTTGCCAAAGTAGCACTTCCAACCATGACAATGATGGTAACCGCACCTTGAGCAATGTTGAGGAGCTGAGTCTGGAGGTAGGTGAAGCCGAAAGAAGAAATGATCAAGTTCGAGAAAACACCTAAACCGCCAATGATGAGAGTCGAAGTGAGCTGAAGCATGACATAGCACCAGACAACTGGGTCCGTCACGGCTTCAACAACTTGGTAACGCTTGTACGACTTGTTCTGAATACCGGTTTCGTTGGCTCGAACACGCTCAACCATCAGGCGCTTCTGGTCCTCGTTGAAGCACTTGGCCTTCATGGGGGAGTCGGGAAGCCACCATCCAATAAAGACGCCCCAGACACAGGTGGCCAGGCCGAGGACGAGGAAGAGAAGCTGCCACGAATAGATGACTCCGTTCTTGTAGTGGGAAACTCCCCACGCAATGATACCACCGACCTTTGAACTGTTAGCTCTGCACAATAAGCCGCTATTGCAAGGTGTTTCGTACCATCAGTTGAACGCCAGTCATGCAGTACCAGAGAGATGTAAGGATAGACTGTTCCCGTTTCGTGTACCACATGCTCGTCCTAGAAGCCATATTAGACAAGTCAGAGAACCATCTTGCGATGGAAACTTACATGATGATGAACGAAGGCTGCACACAAGACTCGAAAACACCCAGAAGAAACCGAACAACCATGAGCGAGGCAAAGTTCTTGGCAGCCGCGGAGCAAGTAATGACACACCCCCAGCAAAAGACATTGACAGCAAGATATTTCGCGACGGGGAGCTTCTGGAGGAGGAGGTTGGTGGGGTATTCGCCAACGAGGACGCCCATGTAAAGGATTGTGCCGAGCCATCTATCTGTGTCAACTTTGCTCACTAGTTGTGATAAGGTGTTGACTCACGAGAACTGCTGTCCATGAAGATTCGCATCTTCCTGGATGTTCATGACGGAAGAGAAACCGAGGGTTCCCTTGTCAAGAGACTGGCAGAAATAGGTTCCAAGCATACAGGCCAAGATGCGCTTGTTTACAGTCCAGAAGAGTTCCTTGTTGGTCGCGTCGTCAATCTCAACAGGAGCACCTGCATAGTTGGCGGTCTAAACTCTGCAGTTAGAATAATGTCCTAGCGAGAGCTAAGATCCAATTCTGCCATACCTCGATGTCTGCAACATTGTTGCCCTCCACACCCACTGCTCTAGCAGAGGTGATGGAGTCAGTGTGCTGCACCTGAGCGTCTTTCGTCATGTTTGCGTCCCGTATTGTCGATCAACGTGTATTGCAAGGACAGTCGTGAATGTCTCGAATGGGACAATCTTCAGTCAAGCCGGTGCGAGCGCGGCCTTGATATTGTTGCAGCTTTGGATCTTGTTCTCCTGCCATTGGAGTGTCATGATCCAACACAACGATCTTGCGGGGGGGTTGCAGTCTGGAGTCCGGGAGAATTATCGGCGTCACTCCGAAGACTTGCTCGTTCTGGACCGGTCCCGCTTACTAGTCACATCTAGCGCCCTTTGTCAGGTCAGGTGTCGAAACATCCCAGACCTGATGGCTTGTTCTGGGTTGTTTGATGCTATCGGCGCTGGGCCGAAACTTTGTCCGAAACATCAAGCGAGACTCAAAAGTCGCGTCATGTCACCATCCAAGATCAAGCGCGCCAATGTCCGGGGAAGGGCGATCATTGAACCACCACCAGAAACTCACGCGACATGGAATGTCAGGGATCCCCGCATTGTGTCCTTCTCAGACCAAGCCATTGACAGAGGAACCAACTACAATCCTGGTAAATTCATGCCATGTTCCATGGTTGTCGACAATGGTAGCATTAGGACCAAAGGTAAATCTTCAGGTCATCGTAAACCGCATCACATTTCTAAAACTAGAGTAGATAGAAAGCAAAGATCAAACATGTTTATCGTCTACAGCATCTGCCTAAGAACATTCATCTCTAGAAGCTTATTTCCAACAAGAAGGAAAAAGTAATCAGCATAAACCAGTCCATGATCGGCCCATCGGCGCGGAGCAAACTTGAAGTTGTTAATCGTCGCTCCGTTGACAATCGTTTCCCCCTCGCCAACATCCCACTCCACGTGCGACACGGGCACACCAGAACCGTTTTCAACAGTGTCGATGGACCGGGTCTTTTCCTTCCCATATGCTAAAGGGTTCAAGTGTCTAGAACAAACAGCGTCCACGATTCGTAGTGCATGTTCAAGGTAGGAAGACTTCTCGCTACGGTTGAGAAGCATTTGATGAATGACCAACATTCCATACGCGGCTACAAGCGCCGCACTCGTATCAGGAGGTTGCTGCGTACTGCCAGTGGTTCCGGCAGCGTCAAAATCCCATGGAGGAATCTGTGTGTCAGGTAACCTCTTTAGAAAGTAGTCGGCACAGCGCTTAGCCGTGTCAAGGAACGAAGCCTCGCCACTCCATTTATACGCTTCGGCAAATCCTGCGATCGCCCACGCCTGGCCGCGAGACCAGCACGAGGTATGGCTATAACCCTGGTTTGTAAGGCGCTCTTTGAGGGTACCGGTCGAAGGATCGAAGTTGACGACGTGGCAGGTGGACGAGTCGGCGCGGACGTGATACTTTTGCGAGGTACGTGCGTGGGCAACCGCAATGTCGAAAAGACGAATTGACTCTGCTCTAGAGGGGGTTTGGGATGCAGCCCAGAAGAGAAGCTCAAGATTCATCATGTTATCCTAGGCAGGTGTCATGTCAGATATGGAACCAGCAAGAGGTAGGCTCTACTCACGATGATTACCAGAAAGTCTTTGCTGGTATCTATAAACGAGTAACACTTTGTTTGGCACTTATCCCAAGACCTCATACAGCCGGTGGTCTCGCTGAAGCGATCAGCCAGAGTGTTTGCTGCTTTCATCATGGTGTCAAATGCCCTTTGATCACGGTGAAGATCCCATTGCACACGAGCCCAAGGGAAGATCATGAACCCGAGATCATGCGTGCCGAGGAGGGAGGCATTTTGGTGCAAGTTCTCGGTCCACCATTTGCAAGCATGTCTGTGGATCACTGTTAGCAACTCCATCATGGGGAGGGAGCGGCGGATACATACTCGAGCTGAAGAACATGAGGAGCGGCTCCCTTTTCCGAATTGTAACCAACCAAGTCCAACTCGCTTCGAAACTTCCGTGTACGTTCCAGGAGGAGGTGGAGGGAACCGGGAAAGAACCCTGAGGTCCAGAATGAAAGATCCCTATAGACGTATCCGGTGCTTCCTGGCTTGGTGTACTCTGGATACCATGTAGGTGGCTCGGACTAACTCGATTGTCAGTGGATGAAGCCTGTACCACAGACTAATGCGCCATACCGAGTCGAGGTCTCTTTCAGCGATACCCCAAATCTTCGCTCCAACAGAAGGAGAGTAGAGAAGGTCAAGGTGTTTGAACGTGCTTAATGACAAGCCAGAATTCGCACGCGTACTCTCGCCGTTTCTTTCTTTCAAGCCGTTGATAAGCTGGTCGTCAAACTGCTGATGGGCATTAGTTTTTAGACTCCAAGAAGGTTACAACGACTGACCGAAACTTTGCGCTTCTTTGCCAGTTGATGGGTGGCTGTGCCCACAGATTGGAGCGTCATCTCCAGCAGAACAGGCGATGAGGAAAGAAAAGAAGGCAGCAAGAGCAACAAGAAAATTTCTATGGCATAAACGGGTAAAGCTACCGGCAAAAAAGGGACAAACAGTAAACCCAAGATATAATAGAAATGCGGCTTATTGTAAGCCTATGAGAAATTATTGATTTGAAGGACTTTTGTTCAATACATTTGCTTTCATATCGGGCCCGGAAAAGGTCCCGGGGATCCTCCCGGTGAGTGGATGCGCCGGTGAGACGGAGGTTCCACCTTCCGTATTTGGACCACAGTCATCTGATGGGAACGTTGGTGTTGGATTGCACTTTTGCCGCCTCCAAAAAATGCAAAAACCAAAACGAACATCAATGCCTGTTCCTAGAGACCTTGCATCGGGCTATCCGGCAATGCGTGATCTGGGAATCGAACCCAGGGCTCCCCGACGTTACTCGAATGGCAACGGAGAATTTTACCACTAAACCAATCACGCCTTGATTTGCTGCACGTGACCATGTCCTTGCAATTGGACCTCACAGCGAGTCCAACCACCAGTTGGGCAAGGCAGGAGGCGTCACGACAACAGCAACAACCAATTAGAAGAGCACCATCTTGAAAACTAGGAGCGCACAAATAATCATAGCCTGCGATACTAGAAGGATACAGATTTGACATGGTTATTCACTAACTCAAGCATTTGCATGCATGTAAGGATGTTCACTGCCGGCGCTTGAATGCCAACAAGACTAAAGTGCACGTTCCATGCTCTCGACTAGCCGTCATTCCCATCGATCAAAGTCCGGAATATCTTCCTCATAGTAGGTCTCCCAGACCTTCTCAAAGCCTACTTCGGGTGCGTCATATGGCCAAGGCTCGCCTTCTCCAGTCGCAAAAAGCGCAAAAGACGCGCCGCTAAACACAAACCAGCCTGGTGGTGGAAACGCCTGCCAAGAAGATGCGATTGTGGTGACATAGGTCGGCTTGTCACCTGCAACGCTGTAACCGAGGTGATATTTAAGCGGCTCAGCTCTGATGTGCAACTGGAAGCCCTTGCTGAGGCCTTTTGTCTGGTTGAGGGGTGTTTGCCAATACTGTCTTTGTTAGTCATAGTCTCTTGTCGTAGTGGCTTCTGGCAACTTACTTCTTGCGTGCCATTCTTGTTCAATTCTGTGTAGATGCACATTCCTGTCTGGTTCACGCATCCTCGGATACCAATATCCTGGTGTTGAAACTCGGAAAGATAGGACGAGATTCCAATTCGGTTTCTGGGACCCAAGTTTCCGCGAAAACTGGACAGCTCGGCTGACCATGTCATGTTGAGAGACTTTTGTTTGCGCAGTAAAGCCGCTGGAATATCGCGATCGCTAAGGCCAAAGACGTTGGGCTTCAGAACCAGTCGGCCTTTCTTGAGTTCGTAATTCTTGGTGTAGGGTGTTCGAAGCTGATACCATGATGGGTCGAGCTTCTTTGTCGAAAAGTCATCGACCCATTTGGGAGGAGCCTGACGGTGGCCAACTTTTGGCCCAACTTGTTCACTCAAGAGGATTGGGTTGCCCTTATTGAAGATTGGCCATCCATCCTTCCAATCAACTTTTGTAAGAAAGGTTTCGCGTCCTTGGTGTTGTTAGTGATGCCATCATGAATTGGTCTGTTGCGGTGCGTACCTAGGGGAGATGTGCCGTTGACATTACGGCGAGCCAGGAATGAAGCGTACCAATCTCCATCCGCAGTCTCAACAAGGGTAGCATGACCGGTTGACTGAACAGTCAGGTTGGTAAAGCCCCATTTCCCATTGAACAGGAGAGGGTTGTGTGGACCGCTAACGAAGGGACCAGACGGGGACTTGCTCCTTGCGATGGTTGATCGGTGCTGCTGATCTGTGCCGCCTGAGGAATGTCAACGAAACTGATGCGATGACTTGGACAAAAAGACTTACCCTCCGCAATGAGCAGATAGTACCAGCCATCTTTGTGGTACATCTTGGGTCCTTCAGGTCTGGCCGTGTTGTTGTGCGGCAACGTTCCGTTCCAAAGACTGACATATGGCCCGACGCAATTACCCGATGACAAAGAAACCTCACACTGAGAAAGGCCCCAAAGTCTGTCCTTGTTATTGTTTGGAGCCATCAAGTTCAGATATGTCTTGTTGGATACGGGATCACGGAAGAGCTCTGGGTCAATACCCCATGGTTCAGCCCAGACTGGGTCCGACCAAGTTTTGAGATCGTGTGAGGACATAAACCAGACTCGGGGCCAGACGCGTGCAACGGGGTCGTAAGTCCATCGAGTCATGGCCGCCAGCCAGAATTTTCCATCGAAATAGGCCAGGCTAGGTGCCCAGGCTCCTATTGTGAATGTGTCAGATAATTAAACTGAGGGCTGGAAAAGTAACGTCCTTACCTGCTCCAGTGGGCGTGCCATAGAGTTGTAGCTGCTCAGGTCTTGTCAAGGCATGAGATTTCAGCTTCCAGTTAAATAAGTCCTTGCCTAAAAAACATCAGATGATAATAATAACAAACAGATTGTGGACTCGTACTGTGATAAATGGGAATGCCAGGCCAGTATTCGAAAGAGGAAGTGGCAATGTAGTAATCATCACCAACACGAAGGATGGCTGGATCTGGATTCCATCCGGAGATTATTGGGTTCCAGATGGCATGAGCCAGTGAGGTGAATAGACACCAGCTCCAGAGTAGGCGAGACATTGCGAATGACAGGTGCGCAAAAGGTACGGTACTGGACATGAGCATCGGCCTTGCCACAGGTAAATAAACCCGAAGCTACTGTGTAGTAATAGAGCCATCAATTCCATTGAATACCCCGCCTCAACCCCGGATCTTCAGACCTCGCTTCGCGTTTGCAGGCTAAATGAGTATAGTGGCGGAGGTCGCGATAGTTGTCGGCCCAAGTCCGAAAGAAAAACGACGGGCAGAACACCGCACAACGTCCCGGGAAATTTCGCCTCAGATGCCGGCACTCTGCCAAACTACCAAGAAAGAGCCATAGTTTCATTTAGGGTAGGATGCTCATCGTGGTCTTTTTCAATGCGGCAGATGCCCTCTTGCTTGAAAATTGAAAGGACACTGCTGGATGCTGTAGGGTAAGGTTCGGTTTGGCCAATTGGCATTTGCTTCTTCACAGAACAGAAAGCAAGCAATACAAGCTATGAGTGAGATACTTAGTTAATGGATATGGCCATTGAGTGTTTACTATGTGAATAGAATAGATTTCGATTATTGAGAATCGTTTCACATACGCAACGCAAGCTTCCATAGGGTGGCCAAACATTGGTGTTGTTGTTTGGTGCTCCCTCACAAGACGAAATAGGTTGCTGAGAGTGGGTTAAACTTGGAAATGCCAACTACGTCATCGCACTCTCTTGTGGGACAGCTACATCTAATCGGGTTCAAGCCTGAACCTGAATTTGTTTCACTTGGCCTATTAAATCTTCTCCCTACCCCACAGCCCCCCCTTCATTTAATGTCCACCCACTCTTTCCCGTGATCCAGGAACATCACGTCTCCAACTTGGTCCAAATCTTTCCCCAATATTCAAGCTGTGGCTTCCTCCAATCATCCTTCTCAACCCAAGAGTTATTCACCTTGAAAACAAAATTCTCATGACCCTGTCCATACTCTGGCCATCGAGGGGCCCCTTTGACTCCATGATGGTTTGGATTGAGGTCATGGACAAAGGATATGAAGCTTCGAGACATGAGCTTTGAAAGTTGGTAGTACTCGGGATGCGGACCAATCCAGTTGGAATTCTTCTTGCTTGCACTTGGCTCCTGGTTGAAAACGAAGCAGATTTCCGCATAGTGTGTACTGGATACGGGAGTTTCTGTAGCCACAAGTTCTTCCTTGTCATCCCACGGTGCCTGATCAAAACGGTATGTATAGACGGGCTGCCGGTGGCGTCGGGATAAGGAGGTGAAGTATTCGGCTGTTGTACGTCGTCCAGCATGGATGACGTAGTCTCCTGCAATGGCTGCCCCACGTTTGTACTGCTTCCCGTTCTGTTCGAAGCGCTCCTCGCCCGTATTGAACGGGCATCCCTGAGCGGGATCATCTGGATAAAGCTGCATGAGGTTGCGGACAGTCTTGGTATCAAGCCCAGACCCCATCGCGGACAGATACTTCGTCACGTCCTTATCAGTGTTCAACGTTCCTCGTGGACCAAAAAAGCTGGCGGTTCCCTCGTCAGTGTTGGAACCAATCAAGATCGCGGCCCTGGCAACTTGATTCTTCTTGAACGACGTTGAAGGGAGCTGAGTAAGGAATTCGCCATCTAGGACGGGTGTGACGACAAATGGAGCAAACGCCTTGAAGAGAGTCTCGTACTTGACATGACGAAGACAATGGAGGGTATCCTTGTGTTTGGAGCAGCCAACAGTTTTTGTGACATTGTTGTAAATTTCCTGATAGTCGCCTGCCACACGTTGAACTATGATTGGGTCAGCACAAGTTCAGCCGAAAGACTCGGGAATATGCTTTTACTTGAAGGACCCAGGGCTGAACCACTTTGCATGATGGCAGCTCTGAACAAGTTCTCGTTGTCGCCTCCAAATCCGACAAGATGATAACCCACGCTGAAAGCTCCGGCAGACTCTCCAGCAATGGTGACCTTGCGAGGATCGCCGCCAAAACCCTGAATGTTTTCCTGAATCCATTTGAGAGCCAGGCGCTGATCAAAGAGACCAATGTTCAGCGCTCCGTCCTTTTGCATCTCCTTGGAGGCGAGAAAACCCCATCCGCCGACACGGTAGTTGATCGAGACGGCGATGATGGGCTTGCCTATGCTGACTGAGGCATTGACAAGATATGAGGTGTTGTAACGAGGATCAGCACTGCCTCCAGCCGTGAAACCTATGCTATCACGTCAGATCACATGCTATGCCGATGCTGGGTTGCTCATACCTCCGCCATAAATCCACACACAAACGGGAAGCTCTTCATCTGCGTGCACACCAGCTGGCCGTACGATATCGACCGTCAGGCAATCTCAATTGATCTTGTTAGCAAGGCTTTGATGCTACTAACATCCTCCATTACACACTCACCCTCTCCCAAGTCAAGACCTTTATCAAACCCAGCATAACCGGGACAAGTAAGGCTTCGCTTGGTAGCGTTTCGCACGCCATACCACGATTCGTTCAGTGAGACGGGGTGTCTCAAGCGTAGGCCACCGAGAGGTGGCTGCGCAAAGGGAACCCCAAGAAAGAGGTCTTCATGGAACTCGGGGAGATACAACCCCCTGAGCGTCCCGTTCTTGGTCGTGGCAATTGGAGGGCGTCCATCGCAGGTGGGCAAACCCGAGACCGGTGAAGATGCGTAAAGAAGAGATATAAGGACCCAACCCAACCAAGTCATGTTGGAGTAACTGGCCATATTTCTTGACACTGTTGGGTTGAAGCGATGTTCTAGTAAAGCATCCGAATGTCTACCTGTTTCCGTCTTGGCTTGACACCTCCTTCTTATCATGATGGCCCGAGGCGGGGGAGTTGGCCGGTCACGAAGTCCGACAGTTAGTCCGGCACTAAATTTCATGGTCTCTGAAAGCCCCGATGGCGAGAAAGTTTACGGAGCCCCAGGCTTTCGATGCGGAGATGATGGTACCGACATCTCCGGCCCATAACCGGATTATTGCATGAAAGGAGAGACGGATATAATTACATTTATCTTGTGGCCTCTGTTGATTGCTAACATCAACAACGCGGCTTCTCCAATGCCTCTCATTTTCAGCAATCATGTATCCTCTCGCGTTAGGTCATCCTACTCCCATTCTCTTGTTTCTTTCCTTTGTCTCCCTTTTTGCTCACGGACATGCCCGGATTCTTGAGTCCAAAACTCTCTAAGAACTTTGCTTCACCCAAATCTCACCTCGGACCTCATGTCTATTAGCACTAGATGAACGGCAACATCAACAGTGATGGCCTCGACAAAGATCTTTCGGCCATGGCAGAGGCTGGACACGGCGGTGCCCTCATCAAAGATGTACAAGCCGGCCTGCCAGAAGGACCCATCACCTATGCCAGCCGTGAATGGCTTGATTTGGTTGTCTACGCTGTCAAGGGTCTTGAAAAACGTGGCATGCAGGCGGCAATGCGCAACTCTCCGGGATATTCTGGTGTTGGCAGCCATAACCTGCCCGTCAATGAGACCATGAAGGAACTGATCTGGACGGAGAGCCGAATCACTGCCAACTCCTCCAGCGACACCATCCCGCCCAAACCTTTCAGCAAGTTGGGCATGTATCAGGATCTATTCACCCTGGCATATTCAACCGGGCAAGGAGAGGGAAACCTGGTGTTCGGAGACGCTGTGCAAGAAGTCCGCATCAACGAGACTGTCGTCAAGACAACCGTCACTTCAAAAATTGATAGAACGAATCCACTGGGACTGGAATCAAAATCTGCGAAACCCGACATGGCCTTCAAAGAACCCTTTATAGCTCAGGCTATTCCAATTTATCGTATACTAGAACTGCCTCTCAACGCTTTCGATGGTGCCCGCGACTATCCCCCTCAATGGTCGGTTTCTGTTTTCAACAATTCTGTCAACTGGACATCCGTCTCAGTTACCGTATCCGCTCCAGCCTTGGGGTAGATGGATGCCCCGGACGTCATTAATTTCAGCCAGGTCAAGGCCAAATACCTTCGGCTGGTTCCATCTGCCCCAACGTGGATTACCGGCATCGACGTGTCGTCTTCACCTAGGTTGCCAAATTGGGCTGTCAAGTCTCATGGAGCCCCTGGGACTGTCACGGTTGCCTCGTTTCCAACTGCTGATCTTCCTTCTATCGATCATCTTCTATCATGGATGTCAGCTCGCATCTCACGACTGACGGGAAACTGAAGTGGCGTCCGTCAAACGACGAGACTCACACCGTCGTAAGGATCGGCTACACAGTGACGGGACAGGAGATGCCGGCAACGCCTGATCGATACAGAGGTAACTCGACCCTTTCATTGTTTTTATATACTTGTCTGTACTAAATACAGGCACCACCTCTGCGCCAAGAACACACTGATGGGTAATCTGTCCAGGACTTTCCGTGGACCTCTTCCGCCCGACGTTTCCACCTGGACCGAGCATCCATTCCAGCTCAAAGCAACTGGCGATCGAATGATGACCCTTGGACCTAATAGATTCATCTTTCACAGCTATGTTCATCAACCTGTGAATGCGGCTTTTCCTGGAATGACGTTTGGGTCATTTGGCACGCACTTTGAGCGGATGAACACTTGGGCAAAACAACAAATCGGCTGGAACAAGCACTTGTCAAGAGTGTCATATATCCTTCAGAACACCGATGCATATGTCGACGTCGCTTGCTTCATTAGCGAAGAGCCATCACAAGCTACTGTGCCTTACAACAGCCCCTACAATGTCCCACTGTCCTATCAAGCAGACATCTTTTCTGGGGCGAATCTTCTAGACCTGAAAGCCAAAGACGGCCGAGCAGTGTGTCCATCTGGTACATCCTATCGGCTTCTGATTTCCCCGGATTTGCCGAGCGCAACCAAGCAAGGTATCACAAAGGTGCTTGAGCTAACTCAAGCTGGTGTGCGCATTCTTCTGCTTTCGAGCACACCAACACCACGAGGAGCTGGTCTAAACGACCAATGACGATGTATCCAACCTCGCCAAGTCTCTCTGGGGTCTTGCTGGCAATGTGTTCACAAACATGACTGCTGCCGAAGCCTTGAAAGCTGTGGATCTCGCACCAAATCTGGAGTTCACGTCATCTCCCAACGACGCTGCAATCTACTACACCAACAGAACTGATGGCTCTGAAGGTGTTTTCTTCGTCAGCATCGGTCTTAGGGAGCACGTCGATGTCGTACTCAGCCTCAGAGGATAAGGATATCCAGAGATCTTGAATCCCACTACTGGGGAGACTGTTGACTTTGTCATCAGTAGCCGATCAGGCTCACGCACGAATCTGGCCCATTAATTTAACCCATCAGAGTCTATCGTCGTTGTCATTCGACAAAAGGCGAGCAGAAGTCTTGATTCAGTGTCCAAAGACGGTCACCAGCTCTGGGCGGCGACACCTTTTGAGTCTTTCGTGACAACACCTCACCAAAACATATCGTCTTCATTTACTGTCACACTATGGGCAAAGCCAGAAGTTGCACAGTTTGGCACTTCAAGCTACATCATCTACCCCACGTCATCATACGGGAATGGACATGCCTCAATGCCACTCTCTCTGGGAACCAACGGGGCTCAGATCGGAGAGGCCACAACTTCTAGGCCTAAGACTGTCATTGGTCTCACTGAGACTGCTAACAACTTTACCGTCTCGGGGTGGACTCATTTCGCCATCGTGTATGAGAATAGCACGCCTTCACTATACGTCAATGGCGAAATGATAAGCAAGGACACAAAGCCAAGCAGCATTGTGCATCCAGGTCTGGGACAGCCAGATGCACCAGCGCGGATGACGAAGCGTTCCGACGGTGACCTTGCCGGACTTGAAGCTCATGATGAGTCTTTGAAGGCAGCTGATATCAAGGCATTGTTTCAGTAGGGGCTTCCATAATCGGACTCTCTATCGTCGATAGAATTGAAAGGGTTAAACAAAGCCCTTTTTCGTCGCGGTGGGAAATACACGTTTTCTGCTGGGGGCGAGAGGACCAGCGTTGAGGTGCCTTATCTTCCAGTTGTCTCTCTCAATGGAAGTTCGGAAGTGTCGTTTCCCGCCGATCGCTTGCCCAAGAAGCGTGGGAAAATTACAGTCGAGTTACCCGAGCTCAAATCCTGAGGGACCACGAAGATTTCGATATCACTCATTTCTCTGGAACAGCCACCTACAAGACCAAGTTCCAACTGCCCAAGGATCAAGGTTCCAAGATAAGCACGGGTGCAAAGACGCGTGTATTACCGAACCTGGGCCGAGTGGAAAACATTGCCTCAGTCAAGGTGAATGGGAAGGATCAAGGTCTCGTCTGGCTCCCGCCCTACGAGGTAGACATCACCTCGGCTGTGAGATCCTCTCGTACCAACACACTGGAGGTCGAGGTCACAAACTGCTGGCCAAACAGGCTTATTGGAGACGAGAAGCTACCGGTAGAAAACAATTACAACTCGACTCGGCAGAATTTTGCTATCGAGGAATGGCTAGACTGGTTTGCCAAGGGCTTGGAGGGCAGAGGATACAACAGTGGGGATGAGTTTGGAAACGACGGCACCCGTAAGCCTGAAGAGAGAGTGACTTTCACTTCTTGGAAGCACTACGATGAGTCGAGCCCCTTGTTCGAGAGCGGACTTCTGGGACCTGTCACTGCCACTGCCACGGTAGCTGAGCTTGTGGACATAAAGGTGTACGCGTAACTACCGGTATGTAGCCACTGTAGGCCTGACCATCAAGCCAGCATGACCCCGTGGGGTCATTGTTTCAACCCCTGGTCAACCTTGTGAGCATGTTTATGAAGTGCCGGTAGAGCTTGTGACCAGCTGCCGTGCGGTAATTGAGGGGTAATTTCGCCCCCATATCCGCGCCACTCGCACCAAGGGAATCACCCATGATCAACGATTTAGCCACATCTTGTGCCATGTTTTCACCATGCACTATTAACCGTCGGGTCGGAGATGAGCCCGAACATTCCTCCGGGAGCCCGCAAACCCCTGACGCCATGTCCATGCGCTCCGAGCTACCCCAGCTCACTTGGACGCTTGCGGAATAGTAAATGCCACCAAAGAACGCCACTGCGGGGACCCATGGGGTTGTGGCACGATCCCCCACATGCCAGGGGACCTCACGAGAGACATTTCATCATCTTGGCCTCGGACTTTGACATCTCCTTCTCCCTCTCCCCTCCTCTACCCATTTGCGATATGCCCAAAAGCCTCGAATACATACGCAGACAACATGGCAAGCCCAAGTGGCTCAATCGTTGATGAGCACATGCGAGGTGACGATGAAAATGCCTCAGGAAATGAACGACCACGGAAGATGGCGCGCGTTAGTACTAGGGAAGAAGAGGGCCCTTCGTGCAGCTCTTGCAGGAGGAGGAAGACCAAATGCTCCAGAGACCAGCCGTGTTCCAATTGTTCCAAGATTGGTACTACTCTCTTACGCTTAAGCTCGGCAGTTGTTTCAAGGTAGACTAACTTGTGTTTAGGCGCCAACTGTATCTACGACGGGGGTAAGATGAAGCCCGGACTCCGGACTGGTGCTGTGGAAAGTCTAAGCCAGAGGCTCAGTATGTCACGCCCAATATCGAGTGCGCTTAGCAGCTCCCTGACATGACATTTCAGCCGCCCTCGAAAACATGTTTGTTGGACAAGGCATCATGTGGCAGCAGATGCTGAATGCCATCTCCGGTGGTGGTGCCCAGCCTCACCTCAGCGAGTCACTACCCTCCCCGCCGATGGGCTCACTACAGGAGCAGTCTTCAGCATTCAAGCAAAGGCTGTCTTTCCTGACGTCAGGAGATCCGGTTCAATTCCAGGGCAACAGCATATCGACCTCAGCCACTACCAAAGCCGCCGCATTATCAGGTATCGAAAACACGGATCCCTGTCTTTCCAACACCCCTATGCCACCGGATGAGCTTGTAGACTCGCTGGTGGAAATCTACTTTGAAACTGTACACCCTTGGATTCCCATGCTGCATGTTCGGAATTTCAGAGCTGCTCTTGCATCTCCTGAGCAACGAGCCGGCATGACGACTATTCTACAAGCTATTGTATCTCTCTGCATCAGGTTTTCAGACGATCCCCTACTTAACGAGAATCCATCGTTGCGGACCTGGTATGCTACGAGATGCAGGCAGGCCGTCATCCTCAAGAGTATGGAGACATTCTCGGTCCGAAACGTTCAAGCACTCATCATCTGCGCCTTTGACACGATCGGTAGTGGACACGGTCCATCGACATGGTCCATGGTTGGAAGCATGGCAAGGACCGTGGAGCAGCTGCGCTTGAGCAAAGAGGAGAGCGATGTTGCTGAGAGTGCTTCAGCAGGGAGAAGTCTCATGAACAGAATGACATTCCTTCCTCCTTGCAATGGCTGGCAAGAAGCTGAGGAGAGGCGACGTGTTTTTTGGAATGTCTTTCTGATGGATAGATTCTGCAGTATCAGCACTGGATGGAATCCTTGCCTCACCAGCGCCGACTTCCATCGCAGACTACCATGTGAAGGAGCCATCTGGGAAGAAAGTGAACACCTTCAAATACCGACCCCATTCTTTGGCACTTTGGACCAGATGCAACATCCAGAAGCTCTTCCTGAACTTCACATGGAGAGGGAGGAAGAGCAGAACTCTCTAGGCGGATTTGCATACTGCATAGAAGCCACAGAGAACCTCAGGCTGGTCATCTTCTTCTTTCTCCAGCACGAGGTTGACTTTGGTAATTCTCGTGATATTCAAAAGTGGCTCATCAGATTTAAGCAGCTGGACTTGCGTCTTATGCAGTAAGTCGAAACCATTTATTGCGTCTACTAAGCTTTCTAACAGATGTTCTAGATGGAAAGCACTCCTCCCCGAAACATGGAGAGAAGCTTGTCTAGTCAACGACGATGGCAACCTTGACCCTAACTTGGTGTTGGCCCACATCACCCACAACACTGCTGTGGTTCTCCTTCACCAGGGTCTAGCTTATCCTTCCTCAGACTGGAAGTCCATACCAGCCAAGCTCCCATCTGTCTCAAGTGCGGAGACCTGTCTGGCTGCGACAGAAGAAGTATCACGTATCACTACAAGATTTCTTCCAACTTCACCTGTCTTGGCAAATCCACAATTCGCATTCTGCTTGTTCGTATGCGGCCGGGCATTGCTTACACATGCCGTCTTTCAAGAGAAGCCAATATCTCCCGTGTTTGATTCCATCTTGCAAAGCCTCGATGAAATCTCGAAACGGTGGAATGGTAGACATGCGAGCACGAGTTCCAACTTGGCGTCAAAGTTCAAATCACGCCTCCTGCAAGCACGTCAGGATGGTTACCACGGCGCTGCAAGTATTCGTGAAGAGGCCTTTTCTGATAAGAAATATCCAAGCTGCGAACAAGAGGATAACTCACCGAGCAGCTTGGCCTATTCCCACGCCACCGCTTTTCAACTTGGTCTCGACGCTAATGCTACTGCAATGGCATTCAAGCCGGCGTCAAAGAGCTCACCGGATAGCGTTTCTTTGGCGTTCCCACCTTTACCCGGGTCACTACAGGATGCATTCTTGACTCAACCAAGTCATGCGATGCAGCAAGTCATGGATTCTTCCACGCAAGATACCATTTCCGTGGCAGATTGCTTCACAGATCCTTCCCTCATGGCCGATCCATATCCATTTCTGGATCAGACCATTATACCTAGCGACAGGGTGACGTCTCTGAGAGGCTTCATGCCTCAATGATATGAGCTTAATAAAAGTTGGATTGTTTTATATCTTCATGTCATGCTTTAGGCTATTGGGTGGATGGCTGGGTTGGGTCTAGTATTCTTGTTCTATCACCACGTTGCTATGTGCAGTTGATACTCTTCACAAGCTATTTCCTAGCTGGCAATGAATCTGTATTCACACTCAGAGGCAAAACCTCATGAATTCTACTCCTAGGACTGAGTATCTGTCAATGGTTTTCTAGAAATATCCGACTCTTTATCTCTTCAAGAGCCTTGATTCTTAGTTCGAGCAACCATGTGGCCCATGTATTTGTCTTGAGGATTCAATGACTACCTAACTAGACCTATAGCTATTGGCATGCCGTTTCTCAGAAATACCACAGCGGCTAGGCAACCTCCATTTACTTCTCAGACAGCACCAACACCTTGGCTTGATCCACCTCGATGCCCTTCAATGCTATAGTGGTACCTAGTTTCCCAAGGTTCTTCTTCGCCCACACGTCACGAATGACTAACTGCCGATGCCCTTCACTCAAACCCGGCACTTCCTTAACCGGCAACGAAATATCCAGTGAATCTGCACCATAGTTCTGCACCAGGATAACATGTCGAGACTTGCCCGACTTCAAAGGTCCGGCCCACACCTGATACTTGCCTTCTCGTGACAGACTCGGAATGTAGTTGACAGCAACGCCGAGTTTATCCTGATTCAAGGCGATGATCTCCTTGTTCTTTAGAACCTCGAGTGACGATTCCCGAATGTTGTTGACATCGGCACCAATAATGAGAGGAGATTTCAGGGCTGCCCAGAACGAAAAGTGTGTCTCTTCCTGGTGCCTTGTCATGTTTCCAACACCCACCTCGAGCATATCCATGTCCGCTGTTAACGGTTAGCAGTTGATTCGACAAGAGACAGAGTTGAACTTACCCCAAGATCCTGGCTTCTGAAATCTGGAAATCTCACGCATCTTGCGAATCATCGTCAAGACACTAACGCCAGCGTAACCCGTATTCAGACAGTAGGCTGTTGCGCAGCCATTGCTGTTGTCTTTCTTGTACTCGCTGTGGATATCTCCAGACATGCGGTAAGAGTCACTGAACTGATCGGCCCAGAACCACGGGAACTGGTGACCCCATTCGCAGAGTGAGTAGAAGATATCACGGCCCGTGTCTTTCAACGCGTGTGACATGCGAAGAAACCTTTCCTGAACTGACAGCGTGTTGGCTTGAAAGCCTCCACAATTGTCGTATTTGAGGTAATCGATGCCCCATTCCGCGTACTGTGAGGCATCGAGTTCCTCGTAGCCGTGGCTACCAGGTGCAAAGTCGCAACCATAGATGCCCGCGTCACTACTCGGATATTAGATGGTGCCTTTATCGTATGAGAGGCCATCGTGGATTGGAGAGAATCGGCCAAGGGTTCTGGTATGAACCATTGCTCACCTGTAAATGCCAACCTTGAGACCCAACTTGTGGATGTAGTCGGCAACGGGTTTGATACCACCAGGAAACCTGGTGAGATTGACCTGCTGCCGGCCTTCCTTGTCTCGCTCAAGAGTCTGCCATCCAGCATCCATGAGGACATAATTGTAGCCCAAAGAAGCAAGTCCAGACTTGACAATTGTGTTGGCAGTAGATTCAATGATGCTTTCGTTGATGATGGCCTTGAAGCTGTTCCACGAATTCCACCCTGGAAGAATATTTAGCTAAGGGGAGAACATGAGGAGCCCTGTGTTTGGGGACTTACCCATCTGTGGCTTGGTGGCCAATCCTTGGGCGGAGACGCCCGATGCGAAGGCCAAAGGAACAAGGCTGAGTTTCATGATGTGTATTCGGTCAAATGAATGAACATGCCCACGAAGTAGTTACACTCAATGATTGGGATAATGAAAGAGTTTTTTATAACATGATTTGAACAGAAAGATGGTTACATCATAAGACTCGAGTTCGGGCTTCGGGGCAATCCTGGGTGATGTTCCGAACGTCGCATCGGAGTCGGACCGGTCTTTGGCCCTCAACGCCAAGCCCACGAAGAAGCCGGATATTTGAAGCCCATGTGATGCTCCTCTGCTCTCGAAAATTCCAGCGTAGACTTGAGTGTTTAAAGCGTCGCCTTTTGTATTTCCATCGAAACAATGAGATTCTACTCCATCTTCCTCTCAGCCCTGGCGGCATCGACATCTCTTTGTGAGGTCGTCGATCGCCAGCCCCTCACCTTTGCTCCGATTCCTGAAGATATCTATGTTGCCCCAGCATCGGACACTATTTTGGAATTCATCCAATCGCGAGAGGACCTGTCCATTCTATCGTCAACACTCGATCAACTAGGAGGTTTGTCTTGAAGCTGATGTAAATCATCATCATGGCTAACCTGCGCAGGGTTTGTGCAAGCCCTCAACACCTCGGCAACATGGCAATACACCTTTTTCGCGCCATCGAACAAGGCCTTCAACAACACTGGAGAGTACTTTGAGACTTTTGCGAAGACGGCCAAGGGGAAGTGGTGGCTAGGAAATCTGATCCAACACCACTACGTCCCAAACGCAAAGCTCAAGACCTCCGACTTCAACTCTACCACTATCCGACTTCAGACCAGCACGTACCTATACGTGAGTGCGAAGACGGTTGGTGAGGACTTGCTGCTCAACAGTGCTGCCACAGTCACGGAAGGAAACCTCCCCGTTACTAATGTAAGTAACCCTCTGTAGGACTGTTTGACCAGGGCATTAACTCTCCCCAGGGCATCGTTCACATTATTGACCGTATTTTGGATCCATCTGCTCAGATTTTCGAGTCAGATTTGCCGCAGGTAAAGCAAGGGTTTATTCCTGGCAGTTGCTCAAACCCACTGCTGCCTTACTGTTGAATGAAGAGGCGAAGCCCAAGATGCTGAAGGGGTTGACCAAGAGAGGGGCGATTGACTGTATAAGCTGAGGAAACGTCGCTCGATCTTGCTGTTGAATAGTAAATAACACCGAGTTCCGATTTTTCTTTGAATTTCTCCATTCACACACTGGTTGTTATGGCTGTCCTGTAGAATCATGTTTGTTCATGACCGTGTACATTGAGTGCTGTGAGCTCCTTTGCGGCTGTCTGTATATGAGCATGTGGCCTGTTAGATAACGTCTGTCTCATCGCCTGCAAAGATATGTCCACAATAAACCGAAGAACAGTACCCATCAATATAGACATGAATTGAGACCCGATAGAATGTAGTTTCTGTGTCTTCCTCAGCAGTGTCTTTAAAAGCAACGTAGCACGGGATTAGCCCATGACTCTAACGCGCCATAATTCCTCGTTGGCGAACGACAAAGCCGAGGTTTGACAACAACGTGAGTAACCACTCAATGGAAATATAATTTCCAAGGTCCGAAAGAGCATTGGCCTTCCACAGGTGCGTTAGGTGACCCCTTTGTTTTCAGCGTAGCAACCATGCACCAGTCTGGCCATGGGTGGAATAGCCGGGGCGGGTATGACGCGGGTTGCATGGTTCCTTTCATTACGGCTAAAGGGAATGTTTCATCTATAGTTCTTCATAACCGCCATTGGAGAAACTTTCGGATACCAAATCTAGATAGTAGGTTGTTGATCGATCTTCGGGCTATGTTAACCCATCCAGGGCCGGGCTGCAACTATAATAAAGAACAGATTTTCAACACATCATAGCATCATAACCCAATGCTAACACAGTGGGTATTAAAACACCTATTGGTCGCTATCTGCTAGTTTTACAAGCCTTGCTTCGTTCTTGAGTGGCGGCAACAGATCAATGCTGGTAACATGATAACCACGGGCTAAAATCCGTAATCATCGTCTCCAAGCCATATACTAGGTTCTCGTTTCCGCCGGAGATGCACTGCCTGTCTGGTCCGCTTCTCTGTTTTCACCACGCTTGAGCCAATTCGCTGGGTTATATGGACTTCCCTTTTTGCTTCCCTGGGCCTTCATCCTGTCTTCGCCAATCTCTCCACCAATGACTCTTCCAGTGACGCCTTGTTCCATCTCATCAAGATGGTAATCACTCATTAAAAAGCTACAAATGAGAACCGGGACGCAAACGCAAACCGCGATGGTGAGCAGAGTACTCATGGTCTCCTGATAGCTGCGGTTGATGGCCATGCGTTCGGGGCCATTCATGGGATATGACAAAGCCACGTTGATGTCGTCAAAGATCATTGTCGCATTCTGCTTCGCCTCTTCTGGAAGATATGCAGTCAGCTTTGCAGGAATATTGCGACCCCAGACAGCGCCGCTAATGGCAGAGCCAATAGCGGAACCAATACTGATAAGTGTGAGGAAGATGGCCGTGGCAGATCCGAGATTTTGATGTCCAGCGCTGGCTTGTACACCAAGTTGAGCTGGCACATTGAGCATGCCCCCACCAAAGCCGATACAAATCTGAGTCCCAATGATAGCCGAGAGGGAGGCGTCTTGGGTGCGATACTTCATCATCAGTCCCATGCCCAGGATGTAGAGGCAGGATCCCACGACCACAAACCACTTATACCGGTTCGTAAACTTGATGAGGAATGACACGATAAGAGAGGAAACAGTGCCTGAGAAGCTGAAAATCTGGACCATGTAGGTGGCTGACTGTGTGTCGAGGTCCCAGACGACAAGTAGGTACGAGTAGAAATATGGTTGAACCGAGAGGTAGAATGCCACTACCAAGCTATTAGATATGACGAATCTGTGATTACGGGGAACTCACTGAAATAGAATGTGATCAGAACACAGCCAGCGCTGAACGTCCGAGACTTGAGCAGATGCAGAGGCGTCAAAGGATAAGGCGCCATGTTGGCAAGAATCTTCCCAAATGTGCCCTGGACGCCATATTTCTTGCCAAGACGAGTACTCATCTCCCAGAACGGATAGACGACGACAAAAACAGCGCCCAGCGCGACCATGGCGATGATGCTCTTGTTGCTCCAGCCATTCGAAACTTTGGCGGCGATGGTGCAAGGGACCAGGATCAAGGAGAACCCAGCTGCCAGGAGGAGAATTCCGCCAATGTCCATGTCCCTCCAAAGATTCAAGAGAATCTGTCCGGGGTTTCCTTTCATCGTCGTGCGTGACTCGGGAGCAAGGCCCAGCTTCTTGGCTCGTCGGCCGTTGAGGAGGAGAGAGATGAGGAGAGGTAGAAACGAGACTGGCAAGAGGATAGCCCACATCCCATAGGCCCATCTCCAACTGCCAGAGCTATTCCTGATGCCAGTACCAATGCGCTCACCGATCCATGTTGTGACGAGGAATGGCAGGTCTGGCAGAGTAGAAAAGAGGGCACGCCATGTTAAGTCGGTGGTATCGGCAATAAAGACCTGCTGCAAGATCAATAGACCGGTACTGCCCGCTGCGTAAAAGATTTGAGCCGATGCAAACGTCTCGACATTGTTTGACGCCGCCATTTGTATATAGCCCAGAGTGTAAAGGGCGATGGAGACACAAAAGGCTTCCAATCTCCCAAACACATCAGCAACCTTTGCCATTGGCGGCTTAACCACAGCTATTACGTTCCATTAGCCACGTAAAAGTGTGTGGTCGACGTGACAAATGCATACCAAGGATGACAGCTTGAACCACGCCGATAGTCGAGACCAGTGAGTGACTTTGGAATGAACTGGCCACAAAGATGAGGACAGAGCCCGTGACTTGACCCTCCAATGATGTGATGAAAGCCATGAGCAGCAAACTGCAAACATCGAGTTAGACACCCATTGAGTGGTGTAAATCTCTAGACCTCAATTCAGGGATATGTCGATTAGGCGCTCTTCACGTACCTGGCATAGGCGACAGCCAATGAAGTCTTTGTCCAAGTCTTTGAGATGGCTTCGATACCTTTGACACCGTCAAGAGCATCCTCGTTCAATGATTTCCTGTCGTCATTGGTCGGTGGGCGGCGCTCAGCGGCGTGATTTTTGTGTTTCTCGTCGTCATCCATTGTGGTCTCTCGATGAATGGATCCCATGGCGACTCGTGCAGTGCAAAGGGTCCTCAGATATGTGTGTCAGAAATGTGCATCTGCCCTCTCGTAACTGAGTATTTGGGTAAGGTGTGAGAAATAGAAGGGCCTGGCAAAGGGATCGACGAGATTGATAAGTGGAGGGGAAGAAGGATCGACGGCCAGTGAGTACACAATGCTACGTCAGGGGGCAACATGTGGTTTAAAGACATTGCTCTGTCACACTGAAAGCCCCAGGTAAGCAATTACCCGTTGCATGCGTGTGGGAGTGGATTTGGAAGGATAATGACCAACAAGCTAGACATTCAGCTGCTGTTGGTTCTAAGGAATCACATTGCAGATATGGAGCCACTCTCAGGCCACCAACATTGGCGTTGCCGAATTTTTAACCCCTTTGTAGTGCTTCTCCCGATCTCGGCCAACAAAGTGTATGACAATTGACAGTTACCACACAAACGACCTGTTCGGGCCGAGTCGAAATACGGCATAAGAGCATATCCCATCCTGCTTTTCAGCCAGCCTTGACAATTACAGAGGTCAGATGAGCCCTATTTTATGCTTATCCAAGCCACCGAATCATCTTTCCCCTCGGGCGGGTCTGATTGGATAGCGTCGAAAAGGATCTGCGCCAAAAGTCTTGGAGCTGAGATGCATCTTATCAATCACAACCATTCCTCCTTCCTTGGCCTTTTCTCGGCAGAGACGAAGGATTCTGCACTGTCACGAAACAGGGATGAGGATATTCAATTTGTAACTTGTGCACAAGTCATTGCTTGTTGGTGATTCGCAGGAAACGCGTGGAGGGTCACACATCACATGTTGCCTACCGTGAATTTGTGGGGGTCCATGTTCCACAGTTAGCTAAAATGTCTTGATCAGAGCGGGGAATGACCTTGTTGAAGAAAGGATCTCCAATATTTGAGCTGAGTCGGAGGCAAGGAACACGGCTCCGATGGTGCAGCGCGTCGGTCACTCCGTCTTGACGTTTGTTGGTCAAATAGCTCCCACTCTGTCCCGCCAATACCACAATCCGCATGTTGATTTCGCGTGTTGTACGAGCATCTTCCTTACAGTCGTGAGTGTTGACGTGGTGATACTACATGTCGCGTCTACGAGACCGGAATGACTAGATGCCGACTACACCACGCCAAAGAGGGCTTTGCTTTGGTGAATAGAAGTGTTGCTGTCAAGTAGTGACTGAATATTAAACTGACCGGCGCAATATTAATCAGTGATTTGGCAGCTTCAGAATCTGCTAGTCACGATCCCGGTCCAGATGAGCTAGCGAGCAGGGTCTATCACATTACTTGCTGATAGTGACTGGGAGGAGTTGGAGATACATATGAATATGTATGGACCATTAAGGTTAAATACAAGCAACTATTCACCGTACTGAGAGTGATATAAAAGCTTGGCCGCAGTAACCATTTAAAATAGCAGCAAGAGCAAAGAGACACGATCTACCAAGCCATCAAAAGCCCGGAGTGCCTTTTACACAACTCAGGAATCCATGATGAAAATAACCAAGGAGATAAGAAAGGACCATACTCATTGGTCATGCAAATTCAAGGCTAATACAATCTTTGAGGTCGACTGCATAGTAGGATACCTCAACGTACCTTCACCACGGCCAATGGCAGAGAAAAGCTGCGAGTTTTGTCGTCATCGCCGATATGTAGGCACCGTGGCATTGAACAAAGACTTTGATGAGATTGGCCGCCTCGCTCGGGTTGACCATGAGGGTACTGAATGGTGGGAGTATTACGTGAAGCCGATAAAGCAGGAATTGATAGTATAAACGATAACCCTTGTTTTTTTCACCTCTGTCCGTCGTGAGCATCCAATACAAGTTAACTTCTGACCTTTCCAAGCCCCGTGCAAATGGCCACAAAGCCCAGTTAAATCAATGACTGGTTTAGTGAGTTATGAGCCTACGTTTCTTTATGAAATACTCAAATAGGCAGATTTCACATTACCAATAATTCCACCTCCCTGTTAGACATGTTATTAAAGCAACAATGAGAGAGAAATTGTGGCCCGCTTTCACCATCATGTCGTTGTAGGGTAGGTACTTGCCTGGAGGCGAGTAGAACACCCGCAAACATCCAGTCTCCTCCTTGAGATGCTTGCTTCTAGCCCAGAGGTGCATATCAAGTGTATCAAAACGATGTAATAGAAGAGATTCCACTAGCAAGAACCTTTGAAATACAGTCCTACGAGATAATGGCGGGCTGTCAACTGTCCGACTGCCAATAACATGATGTAGGATCTCTTTGGCGGAAATCTCTCTACGATGAGAAGAAGTTGAAGTAGCAGCCTAGGTTGCGTCCTTGTCATTTGATTTTTTCGCACTTGCTGTTTACTCAGTTCCAAACCTGCTTTCCGGCTTGGAATTTGTGGAATTACAGCATAGACCATTTTTGGGTTGCCCGAAATCTGCATGAATCCGAAGCTAGCTTGCCGGCTTCATTAGCGACTGCTATCGCTTCAATGAAGCCCGTGAACCAGTCGGAGATGGCGAAACTAGGCATTGTAAAATACGAATCAGGAACGACGAGTTGTTGCCGATAAGTCTAAACGGCATCGCGACTCCACAATAATGCATTTAGACCCTATAGCATAGCCTTCAAGGAGGCCGAGTGGCTGGTGAAATTAAAGCCCGATACGGGGAGGGCGACCGACCGTATGCTACAGGCCCAACGTCAGATCGCCAACCCTCACGCTCGCCAGCACTGCTTGGGTTCATTTAAGCCCGCAGAGCACCGTAGTAGGCTAGTGCATGTGAGATGGAAGTGGCTAAGGTGCGGCAAGAGTTGTCCAACGCCATCGCCAATGGCGTGTGCGACTACAGGGTTCATTCCAGGGCATAGATAGAAGGATAGCACTCTGGGGTGGTACATTGAGACCATCTGGCCAAGCATGACGGATCGTAACCACATGCCAACTGCTCGAAAGTGGCCCCATACTGATGGATAATTTGGAATTAACTACTGTAAACCAATGTTTGAGAGGGTTCTATATTCGCATGGTTCGTACGAGCTGAGACACATAGATCCGTTCTGTCTGAGCATTTTGCTTCTGTCGCAATCTATCTACAAAGGGCCATGAGTTACAACGATAATATATACGTCAATCGATGCATGGCGATATTATGGTTCAGTCGCATCACGCCGTGGGCGCCATTTAATGCAAGAATCGCAAACTACAAGGATCATCTTCGGTAGCCATGTTTGAGTTGGAAGACATATTCATTAAAATACCAAGATTTGCTCTTAAAATGGAGCATCTAGGGCCTTGACTGCTAACTAGCACCAAGTGCTACCATTTTATGTAACAAAAGATCTCTCGCCATTATGTTAGACTAAATATATAAATCGTTTCTCAACTTCCTCTCCTACTTTCCCCAACTTCGCCCAATCCCTATTTAGCTCATTCATCTTCTGGATAATATCTATGTTCCGAAGTGATTCACCGCCCCCTGGCTTCTCCTTGTCCTTCAGCACCCTCGATCTAATGTAGATCACGTTCCAGCAGTCTAACAGAACTTGTCGATATCCCCCAACCCAACTGGACATTGCAGGCCATGGGGCATTTTTAGGCCATTGGTATTGTTTAGACGATTCTTTCCCCTCATACCATTGAGATTGTTTTACTTTCAACCCGAGTATTGCTCCCAAGTCTTGGCCACAGCTCTCCCAGTTCCTTTCCAATATGCCCATCACCTGATAAAGCAAATTCGCTGGAAGACCCCCAGTTTGAAGGAACCCCAGCTTGTTATCCATCGCCCCATGAAGGAAGCAATCGCCAACCAAATTGAATGCTCCGGGGTTCCGATCATAGGGCCAAGGATTGAGATTCGCTGGAGGTTTCACACGCCGGAGAACGAACGGCAGTTTGCCACCAGGAAGGATATGTATCTCATCATCATTGGCAATGGAAGCCGGACCCAGGCCCATCTTGCCCTCTTTTGTGATGAAGAAGGTTCGATTGGTAACGGACAAGCGCATGACTTCAGTGAAAGCATCCAACGCTTCGGGCGAAGGTGGTGCTGCGTCTGGGTCCGCCCGGTCAAGTTCCTCTCTCTCAATATTGTGTCGATACCAGTAGCTTATTGCTCGTTCGTCGTCGGGCCCAAGTCTTTTGAATCCGGTTGTAGTCTTTTTGACATCTGACAGAATTGTAGACACAAATTCATTTCGGCTAAACGTGAGATGCTGTGACAACTCTGCTTGTGTGTGCCAGGCAGTGATTGCATCTGAAACTGCGTTCATGTCTGAAGACGAGTAGAGGGGCGGCATTGTCTTCCCTACTGTTCCAATGCAAGAACCACTCACTTTCAAGCAACCTTCCCATCTGAGGGGCTCAAATTCGATGATGCTGTAGTCTATCAATGTTTCGATTTCTCGTTGGCCGTCCGAGTGGCAGCATTCAATCACCCTGTCGCAGTCCATTTCGGCTTTTGGATGGGCGGATTTGTACCACTTAAGGATTGTCGAAAGAGGAGGGGGTGGAAGAGATGCCGTATCACGTGAACGCTCCAGATTCATGGCTAAATTGGCCATCTCGACTTCAATATGTCGTCCGATTCGGTCATCTTCCAGTATGCTGCCCTTTACGGCTCCGCAAGCTTTGTAGTGGTTAAAAAGTCGAACCCGTTTTCGGTCATGCTCGTCAAATGTGGCACTCCAATCTGGGACCCATGACGGCAGGTCTCGCCTCTCTTTCCGGCCGAGGTCTCCCGTAAGCACTGATAGGGAGTGACTGTGTAGGATGATGTCGATAGTTGCCAGCATGTACGTTTCTCGGACCTCAGACAAGTAATCTGGCCGGATGCCTGTATGTTGGTCACACAGGCCGAGCAATGCATACACCTTGTCTCGCTCATCAGAAGCCTTGCGGTTGCTGAAATCCCTCAGAAGTGACAGGATGTTGGGCCTGTCACTTTCTCCCCACGCTCGGCGGAAGTTGTCAATGTCTTGTACTCGAGAGAGGAGATTCAAGACTTTGATATCATCCCTCGAAACTGGGCTGTCATCGTCGATTCTAGCTCTCTGGAAGTGTGTCAAAGCAGCCTCGGCGGCCATCTCCCATGGAGCTGAAACATCCCCATATCTCAATGTAATCTTTTGTGCAATCACCGCCTCTTGCACAACCCAGATACGGTCCCACCAGCGGGTTGTGAGCATCTGTCGCAAACTCTCAAACATGGCGGTGAGATAGACATCCGGAACTTGTCTCAAGGCCTCGAACGGGTCGGGTGCTCCGCGAGATTGTGACAAGATTCTTAGGAGGCAGAAAAGGTCAAAGGCAGTGACCTGTTGCCGGCGGCCTGGCGTGGTCCAATTCGAAAGAGCCTGGTTCGTCAAGTTGTCGTCCAGAGGTGTATTTGTGAAAACGGTACAGGGCCCAGGGTCCTTTTGCTTCTTGGAACCCTTCATCTGACGGCCCGGGCCGCCACCGAGGAAGACGATGACCTCGGTGGCCTCGCTATAAATATCTGCCATGCGCAAGACTTGCGTAGTCCGCTCTTTCGCATCAGCTTGGTTGATGCACTAACTTAAAGTCAGAATGTAATTTCCATAGTACGATAAGCCTACTCACCACTGCGTCAACCCAAAGAACTACAGGCTCGTCCTGTCGTCGGATGTGCCTGAGAGCACAATCCAGGTTGACCGTTATGGGAAGCAACATGTTCCCAACCTGGATTTTCGGCGGATTTGAGCGGCTTTCGAGACCCCATGCATACGACAGGGCCTTGTATTGCCTTCTCCGACTCTTCTTGACCAGTAAGTCTATGCAAAGCTCGCAAGAGACGGGGTCTTTCCATTTTCCTGGGAGTAGGACCATGAGTCGTATCTCATTGGGCAACAGCGGTTTTGAGTAGATCGTGGGCGGAGCCATGTCCTTGAAGTGGTTTTCCAGCTGGTGGTATTGCTCAACAGCTAATTCAGAAGAACTTGTGAGATGTCGGCTTCAGACACGCCGACTTGAATTTGGGGAAGTGGAAGGAAGGTTGACCAGGAAATTGTGCGCAAACAACGGCGTCATGATAGGCAACACAGAGTGGCGGAGTCGAAGGCTGAGTAAGGTTGACCACACCAACATCTCCAGCAAATGATGACAGCACATCTTTCTCCGCTCTGCCTGGAGCCTGGCCTGGGCAGCCAGGCGTTTCAGGGGAGGGTTGTACTTACACTTACTGGGGTCTTTATTGGTTTCATCCCGACCCAACATGCAGTCATGCAACCATGACCAGTAAAAGCGGTTCTTTCAAGTCACAGATTTTAACTGGTTGGCCCAGGGGCCCAACGAGCAAGAAGGCCACTTCCAAGAAACCTCAGGCGAGACACACATCGGAATTTCACAGTCTTGGCTAAAAAGGGCATAGTGAATTATCGGTAAATGCGCCTATGGCTCCTACGCACCCCCAGCTACTATAGCTTGGCAACCGAAGATTCCAGGAACTTAATGGCCCTCCTCAGACTCTCCACAGCCAGGACTTTGTCCCCTTCCTTCCCTTCGACGTTGACATTACCGATCCTGGAATCAAACCCATGCTCCGCATCCTCGGGGAACTCGGTGACGATTTCGCTCGATGTCGTGGCCCGAAGCTTCTCAGCTGCGGTCACGCTGTTCTCAATCGGCACAGCTGAATCATTAACGCCGTGGAGCAGAAAGGTGCGGGGAAGATCAGCTAAGTTCCCAAACGACAGTGGGAAGAGCTTCTTGTCTTTATCGGGAATCGCCTTGATACCCTCCTCGGCAAGTGCACGACTAAGGCCGTCGACGCCGGTTAGATAATCGGGGAAGAGGGCGCTAATATGGAGTGCCGCTGCTAGAGAGAATCTGGGATCATTTGCTGAATCTTCAGTTTGAGGGCAAGCAGAGATCGACTTTCTATCTTCGTTTTGCTTCTTCTTGGGGAACTGCTGAAGGACGGGCTTCGTGTCGAAGACGGGTTGGCCAAAGATGCTAGATCCAGGTGTCGTGTAGCGAGATCCAGCAGGATCAAGCATTCCATAGATGGGAAGCAGGGCTTCGGGCTTCTGCTCAGCCAAGGTTCCTGTCGTGAGTGCCAAGTAACCTCCGGCACTCGAGCCCGACACCAGGACCGAGCCGATTGAGCGGCCCAGAAGACCTGGAAGTGAGGTCCGAACCCATTCGTAAGCATCTGCGGCATCCTCAACAGCGCTGTGTGCCGTCGTCTCCGGAATTAGACGGTATTCGGGTGTGACAAAGATCCATTTGCGAGAGGCACAGGCGTGAACCAGCCAGTAAGGCAGGAAACTATATCTGTCACCGATAATCTGTTTCAGTAAGTTAGCAGCATGTCATTAATGAGGAACTGGTAACTCACTAGGAACCCGCCGTGGTAATGGACGAGAACGGTACTAGGAGAACCATCCGTCTCTTCCGGATAGACGACATCAACAGAAATGTCGCCATCCGAGGTGGTCTTGTAGCTGAACGTCTTTGACGTGTAGCCCGGAAAGCCGGCAAGGGGAAAGCTATCCATATTGACAAAGATTTATAAATACGTGACTAGGCCTGCTACTGCAAACATCAATGCAGGTTTATTGTCCTCTTTATAGCAGTGATGAGGAGTGCTGAAACGGATTCCGAGTCGTGATGTGCGGGGAACCGAAACCCCGCAGAGGCTCAGTCGGCCGAGATTCGGGGTTCGGAAACCGGCTCCGGATTTCCGGGAGCGGATCATAAAAGCAGACGATGCCCTCAAAGAAATGGTAGTAAATGGAGTACAAATAGATACTGATCAGGCAGCAATTCCCTATCTCTGAAGTACGACATCTCAGTTTTCTTGTGTATATACAATGGTGCGGCTTTTGCTGCTTACATCTTGTGATGCAAGTCGTTCAAAACACTTCAAGAGCATCGCGACGAACTTCACTTATTAACCGAAGGTGTGTGTTAGAGTTGGCCCTTTACTTGCTCTTATCTCCTCCCATCATCGCCATCAAAGCCTATTCAGAGTTAGCATAACATTTGTGAGGCGAGATGGAAGGGCAGGCCTACATCAGGGTTAATTTCGATGCCTGCGTTTTGCATCTCGGTTGTCAACTGGAAACTCTCGTTAGTCTACGACTATGTAATGTATCGAGCATCAAGGTAACTCACAGTCTGTGCTGCATCTCGGAACTCTTTGTCCATCAAGAGCTTCATCACCTCCATCTTGCTTGGGGGCTGGCCAGGCTCAAATCCTGTGCGAGAATAAATAAGTAGCTCATCACAAGCTGGAAAGATCTCACTACCTTTGCTCTTGATGATGTCGCCAACCTTTTGCATGGCAATGATAGCAGGGGGGTGTCGGCTAAGCTTCTCAAACGTCTCCCTAATCTTAGGGTCGTTCATCATCATCTCGGGCAGGTTCGGGGGGTCCGCAGAGGCGAAGCGTCGGGCCGTCACGTGAAGAGGCCGCATAGCGACGCGTGACAATGGTCGAGAGACCAATCTGAGTCTTGAGGCTGCAAACATGGCGAGGGTGTTACTGGGATGGATCGGGGGATGGGGCTGAAGATGGTGACAGGCCGAAGATAAAATTACGACTTCCGAGGGTCAACGGCTTTAGCTTGTGTGGATAAAATGGGGTTCAAATTAAGCCAATCACCAGTCAGTAAGCTAAAACTGGACGTTGCCGGCGGTGCCTGTTGTTAATAAGTACATGTGTCTCGGCGCCCCGGTCGCCCTGGGAGAAGTACTTTTTATCGCTCTTCCAGGTGGTTTCTGTTTGCAGGCTAGCGCCGGCCCTCCCACTCTGGCTCGTTTTTTTTTTTTTTTTTTAGAGAGTTCCAACGGTGGCTTGATTGAGTAGCTACTTCTACCTACCCTTGAGTTCCGACTCTCACTTTAGAGACAACGTAAAATAAAGAATTATAAGTTGGCTGTGTCAGTATAGAACCTAACTCGTTTACTCTAAATCTTATGCCTTTTCTGCATAATAGGAATATCTCTGGAAGGAAGTTGGGCACTAATTAGCTTTGAACGAGTTTTAACCATTGCTAGCTTAAAATCCATTAATGAAACATGCAACTCTGAGTTGGCGACAATCCAAGGTTGCTATCAAGACAGCATGTGGCCCGTGCACGGTCACGTGCCACTGACGTCACATGGCTAGTTATCAGCCTAACCCTCGGCTTTTTTCAGCACACGCAGCAAGATGCCATTTCGTGATAGCCTCACTTCCTCGCAATCAGTATTCGATTACAACGCTGACTGCGGCGCCAATCACAGCCTCAATTGGAGCTCAGACCAAGTCTTACATCTGTCACAAGAGGGCCCCTTTCTCATCATAAAAGAAATCAACTAATCTGGCATAGATCTGGCTACGACTGGATGGGTGAAGCTAAAAGCTCACTTACATAGGATTTGACCCGCCACCCAAGATAATCATGGCTTGGCCGGTGCCAAGAGAACGTAGCATCTTTGTCTCAACAGCGTTTTGGCATCGTGATGTGGTGCTAAAAGGAGGAGAAGCAGTTGTGAAACTAGCCTAATGGGGCTAGGCTAGGAAGCCAATACAAACGTTATTTGCACAGCTCGCTGCGCACGCAAGGCTCGCCATTTCAAACACACAGCTAACAAATTATACAATACCGTATCGACTCAGCACATCCAGTAGGAACTGCGGATCCCCCAAGACCTCACCTATGCCTCTTCACTGGCTCTGCGCTCTTAGTACTTTTTAGTGCCAGTCTTTGGCTTGCCTTGCAGCCAGCTAATGATTAAGAATCGACTTTTTATGACCCGCAGTTCCTACCCAATGTGCTGTCGATACGGTAGGTCTCAGTCAACGTTAACGGTTGAATCAATTTGTTATTATAAAGCGATGTATTGTTAAGCCATACTCGACGGAACTTTTATGTAAGTTCCCGAGAAGTATCGCTCTTTACCAGGACTTGCAAAGATATAAATCTAGATTAATCCTCCAGCACGAAATAACAAGATCAACAACTCTTCCACACACAGCAGTACTCGACTTTTCTAGTTCAAATCACAAACATGGCGACGCAGACCGTTTTCAGACTCACTCAGCGTACATCTCTTCAGGACCTCCATGTCAGCGAGGAAGAGGTTCCAACCCCTTTACCCCAAGAGGTCCTCATTCGAATTCGCAGCGTGGCGCTCAACTATCGCGATTACGCAATCGCTACGGGAAAATATCCTTTCCCAGTAAAAGACAATGTCGTCCCTTGCTCTGACTTATCAGGAGACGTGGAAACCGTCGGAAGTCAAGTAAATGACCTCAAGCCTGGCGATAAGGTGATTGCTTCCTTCGATCTTGTCACTCAGTACGGTCCGATTCAAGGCTGGGATCACGGCCTTGGCGGCCCGCGCGATGGTGTTCTTCGGCAGTACATCACCTTGCCTAGTAGTGCCATTGTCAAGGTGCCTGCGGACACGACCTTGAATTATCCACAGCTCTCCGCGCTAGTTGTTACGGCCACAACCGCTTGGAACACACTTTATGGGAATGTCCCCATCAAGCCCGGCCAAGTAGTTCTTTTCCTTGGTACAGTCCCCTTGGGCGAGAAAGTTGATTTAATGACTAATGACTCTAGGAACTGGCGGTGTCTCAATCACTGGCCTGATTCTAGCCAAAGCTGCTGGCGCAATTACCATCGTCACATCATCATCAGATGAGAAACTGAAGCACGTCCAGCAGACTTATGGCGTCGATCATACCATCAACTATAAGGCCAGTCCCGACTGGTCTAGTGAAGTGCTGAAGTTGACTGACGGTCACGGCGCGGACTACATCATTGAGAACGGCGGAGCCGGCACCATTGCGCAAAGCTTGAACGCGGTCGCATACGGAGGTTCGATTGCTGTTGTTGGGTTTCTAGCGCCATGCCCACAGGATGAAATGCCGGATGTTGCGGCACTGGCACTTGGAAAGGGAGCTGTCGTTCGCGGTATTATGATTGGTTCAAAGCAGCATCTTGAAGACGCCACCCGTTTCTTTACGTCCAAGAATCTGGTTGTTCCCGTTGAGAAGGAATTCGGATTCAGCAGAGATGAAGTCATTGCCGCTTTGGAATATCTCGCTAGTGGTCAGCACGTTGGCAAGATCTGTATCAAGGTTGATTAAGCACAGGATGATAGAAGGCACCTCCGAAACAAATAGGCCTACAGTTCTTATATGTGATGCTACCTCTCCTTCTATAGACAGAGCTTCCTGCGCTTTCATGACCCGGGATGTGGTTGGCCTGCAACACAGCGGGGCCGATTCTTCCATGCTTCCAAAGATGGATGTCTGATCCGCAGATCCCGGTCGCTCGCACGTGAATGAGTGCCTCTCCTGATCTCAGGGTTCTGATGGGCGCATCGGTGATAGATAAGCCATGGTCCAAGGTGACCTGTAGGGAGAGATTGGATGGCGTTGCCATTGTGATGGCTGATGAGAGAGGTTGTCTGGTACACAAGAGTCTGGTCTAGCAGCTGAACTTTTTAAGCTGATTGCTTAGGAGCGTTTTCTGCGGCATCTCCTTGCTTGCGCGAGGACTGCCAGAGCGTACCCATCTCCACTATTAAAGCACTATCTAAAGCTCTATAAAAATCATATAAGAATAGGTTTATCTTTTATCTTAATTTTAGTGAGCCTAGGAAGATACTTATTATAATTAGTCTAGATCCCAGCTCAGTATGTAATAGCAGTCCCCGCGTAAGCAAGGAGATATAAACTCCAGGAGGAACTGTGCTAGAGTACATCTTAGGGGAGCCAAGGCATCGTCTGAGAGTGGCTTTAAATCTGCTCTGGTCTTGACTGACTGTGCCCTTGACACTAGACCTAAACTCATGGTCATATATAACTCTTAAGAGGGGCCCAGACATGCAACGGCATCCATATCCGCCTACTCGCCGCTTTAGATCGCAATAATAAAGACTAAAATTATTCATGTCAATGAGCATCTTAACAAACACTTATAAATAGAGTTTCGACTGCAAATGTAACATGATAACGTTGCCATAGAGATGGCGCTTGTACTGCATCATGTTTCTAACTTTGTTGTCTGCCTATTAGCCGCCGGAAGAGGGCGCGGAAATGGATCCTTCGGAACTGACGTTCCTCAGGCATAAACCAATCCCTGATCTACCTCCTAGCCTGATACCTCTCCACCATCCTCGTCTGTAACAAACCACCCAACTCCAACAGGCTGCCTGCCCTTGTAATCTCCAGCACATTCACCTCCACAACAAGCCTCTTAGTAATCCAGTTCCTTAACTCAATACTGACCAAGCTGTCAATACCCAGATCCGCCATCGGCGTAAGCACATCAAAATCATCCTCAGACCTCAGCATGAAGCCAAACAGCGTCCGGCCCACATTCTGCGCAATGAAGCGCGTCGCCTCCTCTCCGCGCAGCACAGCCATGTTTACAGACGCAGCCTGCAAGAACCTCGTCAGCTCCTCGTCCGCCGGGTCCGCGCCCGCCGCCCCCGTCGTCGCCGCCGCCGACCAGCCCGCATCAGCCTCGAGGTTGCGGTAGACCAGCATGCGGGGGTCCTTGCGGAAGACGACGCGGTTATTCGGCGCCAGGATCGGCAGCGTCGTGCGCAGGCCGAAGCCGACCTGCGAGTGCTGGACGAAGTGCGCGGGATCCGTCTGCGGCGTGGGGCCGGGGCGCATGAACATAAGCTCGGCGCAGTCGAGGAAGTCGCTCTCCTGGGAGACGTGGGATGCCGCAGCCTGGAGCTTCTCGAGCGCCTCCGGGTTGTCGGCGACCCAGCCGACATCGCCCATGACGCCGATGTTGACGGTGGAGGCGGGCAGGCCGAGCGAGTGGCGGTAGCCGACGAAGGCGTCGATGAAGGTATTGGAGGCGGAGTAGTTGGACTGGCCCCACTGTCCGAACATGCAGCCGAAGGAGCTGAAGAGGAAGAAGAATTCTAGCTTCTCGGAGAGGAGCGCCTTGTGCAGGTTCCATGCGCCCTCGACCTTGGGGCGGAAAGGCGCGTTCCACTCGTCGAAAGACATGTCCAGGAAGCTGTTATCCTGCAGGACCAAGGGCGCATGGAGCGCACCGGCGATCGGTCTGCCCGCGGCCTTGACGGCCCGCACGACGTCGTCGTAGTTGACGACGTCGCCTGACACTCTGGTGCTTGTGCAGTCCAGGGACTCCATCTCCTTGAAGAAGGCATCGTGTTCGGGCTTCTCAGCGGAGCGGGAGAGGAAGACAAAGTGGCGAGCGCCGCGCTCGGCAAGCCGGGTGCTGATGGATTTGCCGAGACCACCCAGACCTCCTGTGAGGAGGTAGGCGGCATCAGAGCGCGCGCGGAAGGGCTTATGTATGGCCTCGGATGACAGCTCGGTGTCGGCGCTGGCGGGCATGGAGATGACCATCTTGCCGATCTGCTGCGCCTTCTGCATCAGCCGGAAGGGGTCAGAGATCTGAGCTGCGTCAAAGATCTTCATGGGCAGAATGGGCTTGATACGGCCCTCCTTGGCTTGCTTCATCATGCGGTCCATGAGCCTGTGATATTGTGTTAGCAGCCTGACATGTTAAGACTAGGAATATCTCTCTTCTAACTCACCTAGCAATGGTATCTGGTCGCTGGTTCCTCATGGCACCCAAGTCAAAGCCGATGAAGGACCTGTTAGTCTCAAACGGCTCCATGGCAAGCTTGGCCTGCCCGATAAAGTCACGACGACCGATCTCGACAAAGGCGCCACCTTCAGCAACACACTTCCACGAAGCATGCAGCAGCTCACCCGACAGCGAGTTGAGAACCACATCGACACCGCGATTGTCCGTCATGGCCATCAGACCAGGCAAGAAGCTCGTGTCACGCGAGTTAAAGATGTGATCACGCGGAATGCCGCAGTGCTCCATGAGGTACTGCACCTTCTCGTCGCTGCCGACCGTGCAGTAGACCTCGCAGCCCACCATATTACACAGCTGAATCGCAGCGAGACCGACACCGCCAGCGGCCGCATGAATCAGGACCGTCATGCCCTTGGCTAGCTGAGCTGCGTCTAGCAAGCAGTACGACGCCGTGGCGTAGACGAGAGGCATGGTGGCGCCCTCTTCAAACGACATGTCGTCTGGCAATGTCGCACAGAGCTGCTCCAAGACATTGAGCGATGTGGAGAACGTGCCGCTCTCGCAGACGGCAACGCGGTCTCCGATGCGGTGCTTGGTGACGTCGCGGCCAACTGCTGTGACGACACCAGTGCAGTCGTAGCCCATGCCGCGGGCGATCTTGACTGGCTCGGCGATGATGCCGATGGCGACCAGGACGTCCTTGAAGTTGAGGCCAACGGCGCGGACCTCGACACGCACCTCATCGGGAGCAAGCTCCTCGACGGGCAGGCGTTTCCAGTACAAAGCGTCGAGCAGACCTGGCCGCCAAGTGTCGAGCTTGAGGTATGTCTTTTGCTCCGGAGCAGAAACGGCTGTCTCAGTGCCGCTGCTGGGCGCGGGCTTCTTGAGCTCGGCGTCCATGTCGAGATAATGGTAGCGTCCCGCAAGAGTGGTTCCTGCTGAGTATACCCACTCGGCCTCGCAAGTCGTGTCGATATCCGACTCCATGGCGTTGCTATCGCGGCGGCGGAACTCGCCCATCACACGCGCCACAGTCGGTGCATCGATCTTGAGGGAGCTGTCCTCCGTCTGACCACCCATCTCGAGAGTGGCAAAGTCCATACCGAGCTCGAGACGCAGGACTCTGGCCACGCCAATGACGGGCGCGTAGCGAGGGTCGGTGCAGCCGGCCTGGCTGGCACCCGTGACCCAGAGGAGGCCACATCGGCGCCCCTTGGCATAGGCGAGGAAAGCCTGGAAGCCGTGAAGGTCCGACTCGCTCAGGTTATGGAAGAAGGGCTTGTCGACGTCAAGCAGGGCGACAACGTCCTCGTCCATCCCAAGATCAAGAACCGCTTGTCCGAAAGGATGAACGACGACGGGATAGCCGGCACCCTGTAGCTGCTCGGACACGGCACGTACCTTCGGCTCAGACGACTCGCTGACCTGGCCAGGGGTAAGCAGCGTTACTCTCGGTCGCTTCGCATCCATCTCTTTGGGCGTCGTGACGATGTTGAGGCACAGACGACCATCGAAGAAGACAGTCTCAGCGCCGCAGAACCCAGCACTCGTGAGCTCCTTGTCCCACCGCTGTTCGTCCATGTACGGCTCATCTGGGCGGCCATCCTCGGCGCCGAGCCACCATCCCGGCAAGACGCCCATGATCATGTTGGGCCACTTGCTGACGGGAGACAGCTCTTGCAGGAAGAGCCGCCCACGAGGATGGCAAAGCTTGCGGACGTTCTTCAGCGTGTCGAGGATACGCTCTGTGGCGTGGAGGACGTTCGTGGCAATGATAAGATCATAGCTCTCCAGGTCGTTCTCGAAACCCTGCCCGGCCGGGTCCTGCGAGATGTCCAGCACGCGGTACTCGAGGCCCGGGAACTCCCGGAAACGCTCTTGCGCGGGTGGGAAAAATCCCGGCGAGATGTCGGTGTAGGTGTAGGAGAGATACATGCGCTCGCCATAGGCAGACTGCAGAAGTGGCAGAACCTTGGCCGTGGTGCCGCCCGTGCCGGCGCCGATCTCGAGCACTCGCAGGTTGGGCTTCTTGTGCGCGACAAGGTCAAAGAAGCTGCCCATCTCTGTGAGCTGCATGCCGTCGTAAACGTCGTGCAGCAGCTTGTTGTCCATCAGGATGTCGAGACCGTCGGTGGTGCCGTTCATGAGGCCCTCGATGTCCTTGACAATTCGACCAATCGCTTCAGCAGCCGCGCGTGTTTGACAGTCCATGAGCTGGACATATGTCTTGTCCATCACCTTGTTGCGGTAAGCGCTGTCGTTGCGAAGGATGTCCTTCTCTGAAGCATCGAACAGGGCCTCGAGTTGCGTCTCCGCGGCGAAGTCTGCCGTCCATTTCTGGAAGAGCGCCATGAAATCCTGAGCGGGTTTCATGTTTCGCGTACGCTCGGCCACCTCGATGGAGGTCAGCGCAAGGTACTGGTCAAGCAAGTGGAAGTCTTGGTCGGGCGGCAGATCGGGAGAGAACAGCATGTCGACATTGGCGAAGTTGATGTCAGGCTTCCATTCGAGGTGGACGGCGCCGTGGCGGAATCTGGCGCCGAGATTGCTTGAAGCATCGGCCTTAGTGGTGTTGTCCACCACGGTCAAGCGGAAGCCCTTGGCTTGAACGGCAATCTGTCCGTCACAGACGGCTGTCAGGTCACCGGTGTAGGCATTCCTCCTGCACTCGGTAGCCTTCACGCGAATGGACATGTCTTTGATGGCAGACGGTCGGCAGTAGAGCTCGTCAATGTAAGTGGGCACAGCCATGGAGCCGAGATTCCTCGTCAGGCCGCCGCACAAGGCAAGCACGAGAGCCTGGGCCATGCAGTCCAGGGCGCCGGGATGAATCGGATAGTACGACTCGGCATCACGAACGTCGTTAGTGATATTTGCCACAATCTCTGACGTCGACGGATCGGCCGTGATGTTGGCGAGGCTTTGGAAGCGCGGACCGTAGTCTAAACCCGAAGCGCGGAACTTGCGGTACCATCCCTTTTCAGAGACGGCCCTCTGCAGCGGTGACACGTCTGGCGCCGCGCCTGGCTGGAAGTCAGAGCCACCACGAACCTGACCGAAGATATGCTTGATCCATGACCCGGCACCACCATCCGCGGCTTTCCGGAAGCTGGAGATGGTGAAGTTGTACCACGGGCTGTCAAGCGAATTTGTGAGTGCCACCCTTTCAAGCTGCGTCACGACCTCAATCTTAGAGTCGTGCTCCAATGCCAAAGCCACCTTGATATGGACGCGTTGGACCGAAAAGTCGTCCGCGCCCGTCAGCTGGCGAATCGCCTCGCCTGCCATGGCGATGTAGCCGACACCCGGAAGGACAACGTCGCCAAAGACCTCGTGGTCCCTGATCCATGGCACGCTCTCTAGGCGCAGGATGTTGCGCCAGGCCGGGCTGTGGTCGGTGCTCTCGATGATGCGGGAGCCGAGCAGCTCATGGTGGCGGAACTTCCGAGACCGGTAGTCCTTTGAGAGACGGCTCTCAGCCCAGAGTGACTCCTCGTAGTGCCACGGGTACAGGGGAAGGTCCGTGAGGAAGTCACCCTTGTCAACGATGGCGGAAAGATCGAGCGGCACGTGGAGGCTCCACAACTCGCCCATGGCCTGGAGGTAAGCCCTGCTACCGTCTTCGCCACGCTTCATGACGTTGACGTAGTCGGCCTGGGCACTCGCGGCTTGGAGAATCTGCCGGATAGGACCGGCAAGTGTCGAGTGCGGGCCGACTTCGACGAACGTCTTGGGCGACTTAGATGACGAGAGGACGCTGTTGACAGCCGTAGAGAAGCGGACGCGAGAAACAAGGTTGTCAATCCAGTACTGGGGTCTAAGATCCTCAGCGTTGCTGATGACTTCGCCCGTGACACTGGAGTGGAAAGGGACTGAGGGCGGCTGGGGCTCGATGCCCTGAGCCTTGAGAGAAGCCAGGTAGTGCGGCGCGCCGATGCGCATGTGGTGAGAATGATAGGCGCGATCGACCTTCAGCTCGCGGACAAGGACGCTCGGGTGTGCCTCGTTGATCCGGCTCATGACAATGTCGAGTGCGCTCTTATCACCGGTGAGCGTGGTGCTGTCAGGGCTGTTCTCACAGCCGACCACGACACCCTTGGTGAGGTATGGCATTACCTGCTCTGACCCCAGGCCAATAGCAGCCATGCCGCCTTGGGTACCTTCAGCCACAAGTGCCTTCTCCACCCACGGCATCGCCTTGCCACGGTAGTAGGCAGCGAGGATGGCCTCGCGGGCGGTCAACGCGCCGCTGGCATACGCGCCGGCGATCTCACCGCTCGAATGGCCGACGACAGCGTCCGGCGTGAGGCCACTCTGGCGCAGCAGGTCCACCAGGGCGATCTGCAGTGCCGTGGTGCACGGCTGCGCGAACTCTGCCTGGGATAGACGGCTGGTCTTCTTGCCACGCATAAGTTCCTCCATCAGCGACCAAGTCGGCCCGTCATCTCCGAGCGCGGATAGGTATCCGTCCAGCTCTTTGATGCTCTCCCCGAAGCTCGGGTAGAGTTGGACGAGTTCCTTGCCCATCTGAGCCCACTGGGCACCCTGGCCGCTGAAAACAAAGACAAGCTTCGGCGGCTCACGAGGGGCAGAAGTCCGGGTTGAGAACTTGGCGCTCCAGTCGTCCACGCCATCGGCAACGGCAAAGGCGCGATGGTCGAAGGCATCGCGCTTTATGGCGAGTGAGTAGGCCACGTTGGTGAGTCGGTTCGGGTGAGCGACGTGGTATGCCTGCTGGTTCTCAATGATCTTCTTGAGTGCGTCCGCATGCTTTGCTGAGAACAGGAGCAGAGCGGGCTTCCAAGAGACTATGGTCTTCTCGGCTGCGGATTCCTGGGCCATACCGGCGCCGAAAGAGTCCGCCGAGGCAAGAACAGCATGGGCATTGGATCCACCGACACCAAAGCTATTGATGCCAACGACTTCGTCGCGGTCTTTGGGCCACGGGGTAGACTCGAGCGGCACTGTGAGCTTGCGTGACTTGAATGGGACTTTCGAATAAATTAGTCAATATTCAATTTAGCAGGAGTGCTAGATCATCCAAGACGTACTGCTGGGATTCGGGGTCTTGAAGTTGAGATTGGCTGGGATGATCTTATGCTCGAGGGCCAGCGTCATTTTGATGAGACTGGACATCGCTGAGGCACCCTCGCCGTGTCCAAGATTGGTTTTCACCTGCAATGAATCATCAGTACTCTGGAAACTCAGGTTGATGAGGAAAACGGTCCCAGAAACTCACCGATCCAATATAGATCCCATGATCGCCAAAGACATTCGCGATGGCCTGAACCTCAATAGGATCGCCGACAGGTGTGCCAGTTCCGTGGCACTCCACCATGGCCGTCCTAGAAAAGTCGGTGATACCAGCCAGCTCGTGGGAGCGGCGCATCAGGGCCTCATGAGCGGCGGCCACGGGCGCCGACATCGTTGCAGCCCGTCCACCGGAGTTGAAGCATGTAGACCGGATCACGGACCGGACGGGGTCGCCGTCGCGGATGGCATCGCTCAGCTTCTTAATATAGACAGCCGAGACTGCCTCGCCACGGGCATAGCCGTCGGCGTCGGCGTCAAACGTGTGGCAGTAGCCGCTCGGCGAGGCAACGCCCAGCTCCTGCATGGTGGCTGTCATGCGCGGGGAAAGGATGAGATTGCAGCCTCCAACAATAGCGCCTTCGCACTCTCCGGCGATAATAGCAGTGCATGCGTCGTGGAGCGCGATCATGGAGCTGGAACACGCGCTGCGGATGACGGTACTGTAAAGAATGTCAGCTGAGTCTCTCGTGGACTCGCCAATGACGCTTCAGTGGCTTGGAAAGACCTCGGTCATCATCTTACCTGGGACCCATAAAGCCGAATTCATAGTGGATGCGGTTTGCTGCCATGTAGTCGCCCGAGCCGGACTGACGATGGCGACTGAAGTTCTCGACGTCGCGCTGGTCCAACTCCAGCCAGTCGCCCTCGAAGCTGCCGACAAAGACACCGATCTTGCGACCGCGCAGCTCTGACGACTTCTGTCCGGCTGTCTGCAACGCCTCGTACGCAACCTCGAGCAGGAGTCGTTGCTGCGGATCCATGGAAGCGCACTCGTCCTTGGTCGCCGACCAGAAGGACGTGTCCATCTTGGCTAGGTCGACATGGTCGAGGAAATAGCCAAACTTGGAGGCGACGTGGCCGGACTTTCCAGGGCCAAACCAAGTGTCGACGTCGTAACGCTCCTTGGGCACCTTGCATCGTCCGTTGCGCTTGTTCTGCAACAGGTCCCAGAAGGCTTGGGAGTCGTTGATTGAGCCCGGGAGTCTCATTCCCATGCCGCAAATGGCGATGGGCTCATACAGAGGCTTCCCGATGGAAGCGCTGGCATGGCCATTGGCATAGCCTTTTGTGCGCCCATTGGTGTGTCCATTGGTATGGCCATTGGTGTAGCCATTGGTGTACTCCGATTGGCCGTTGGTGTGGCCGTTCGTGTACCGTGAGTGGCCGTTTAGCTGACTAGAAAATTCCATGATGATCGTCAAAAGTACACCAGCAAATAATACAAAGATGGGTATGGTCCGTAATGTTGAATTAAGTTGTGCGTCCCTCGGTGAGACGTGACGCTTGCGGACCTAATAAAGCTCATAGATTGCAATGTTTACTCGAGTCAAAAGGGCTCATCATGGGCCAGTTATGAGCTTAAGTCACGATGGGAATCAGTTGATTATCTCACCTAAGACTACCCCCTACCCACCATCCTAGGATCGGTCAGGAATTCCGTATCATTGTCCACTTAGCCGGCATCTACCGACGTGGGGTGCCTATTGCGCAGGAGCGGAATTCTTAGGGCGAGGTTGAAGTCGGATTACCGAGATAAGACGGTAGGTCTCGGGGCTCCTAACATCACTCAGCCGCGTGCTGACACCGAGCCCGTAGCTGACAGCCGATCGCATATCGGTGTTCCGGGAATCAAGCGCGACAAAGATGATACCCGGGTCTCTAAATCGATGCCTGCTGTAGATATCAGGTTGGGCGGGGTTGGGTAGTTTCATGTTGAAAGCCAGTCCGGTCGAGAAAAGCTGCGTACCACCCCCGCGAACAACACAATAACCTACAGCGCACACGGCACCAGACTTGGACACAACAACAAGATGGCCATCACGAACGGCAATGGAACCAACGGTACACACGCGCCACGTGCGCACCCTGGACTTTGGATCATGGGCCTAGGTCACCAGTATGGGGCTTATCTTTGTGGACCTGAACGGCTGGAAGAGCTGGCCACGCGCTTCTACGACGTCGAAGCACCTGGGTAAGATGCACTTGCCACCAAAGCCCAGATGTTCAGCTGAATGAAGGCAAAAGAGGAATGATTGTGATCTGGAAGTGACTGACATCCCAACGTCATTGTTCAGGCTCAAGAAGTTGCTGCAAGTCAACCGAACTTCCGGCATCGACCAGCGACCGAGTGTCCAGGACATGAGCTCGAGTCCCCTCCTACATCGTCCTGAAATGCCGACAATCACTGATCTGAATGCGATTTGGTACAAGGCGGGCGTCGATCTGTGTGCGCGAGCCTGTCGCAAGGCGCTGAAGGAATGGGGTGGTGACTTGTCCGAGATCACTCATGTCGTCGCTTGCACCACGACTTGCTATGGCAACCCGGGCGTCGACTTGATTGTGGCAAACAGACTTGGTCTCGGGCCCGAGGTACAACGCGTACTCCTCGCTGGTGTGGGATGCGCGGGCGGCCTGTCCATCATGCGCAATGCTGCTCAGGTCGCCCTCGCCGCAACAGCACAGCACAAACCAGCGCGGATCCTAGCTTTTGCGTGCGAGCTGTGCACCACCAATGCGAGGCAAGAACTGGCTGATGCTGAGGCCAGCACAAGCCCAGAGGATATCAGCATCGCGGCAGCTCTCTTCTCGGACGGTGCGGGTGCATTTGTACTGTGCAACGATGCTGGACTTCCAGAAAGCGGACGAGGCCCTATCTTCCAGCTCATGGATTGGGACAATGCGACCATTCCAGACTCAATGCAGGAGATGGGCTGGGACCTTGTTCCGTCGGGCTATCGGATCACCCTGACACGCACGGTGGCGACGGCGGCAGCCGCGGCGGTGAAACCCATGTTTTCGAAGATGCTGCCTGCGTTTCGCGACAGAGTCAGGCTCTCGGATGCGACAGCCGCCAACCTTGACTGGGCTCTGCATCCCGGCGGCAAGGCCATTATCAGAGGGGTGCAGGATTCGATGGGCCTGACCGAGGAGCAGCTGTTTGCGACCAAGCACGTCTACAAGACGCGCGGAAACTCATCGAGCCCCACGGTTTTGGTTGTTTTGGACACACTGAGGAAGGCTGAGGGAGGCAAGGATGATGTGGTGGCAGTGGCTTTTGGGCCGGGTATGGCGATAGAAATGTCCTTTTTGCGGCGATGCCACCCCGTGGATGATGATTCGGACTAGGCAGCGAACATGTAAGATACACGTAACATGCGGAATACGTGTACACAACATATTATGCACATACCTGAACAGAGTGATGACGCCAGAGTGTGCCTCTACTGACATCACACGGCCAGAAGCTACTTCGCAGAATTGGGCTCGATTAGGTGGTTTCGGCGGGGAAGAGAGCCCAGCGTTTCTAGATAAATAAATAAACAACTTCCTCGAACTCGGTGACCAGCCGAGTTGAAGAGGGAAGGAAAGGGTTTCCTTCGTGGGGCTGGCCAGATCGAAATGGGAGATAAATCCCCGCAGTTTCGATCACGTGATGTTTGTAGAACCCTTCTAGAAGGAACGACGCGAGCGGCTAACGATATCTGGATAGGCCCTTCTTTCTCTACGTAAGCCACATATTGACTTAAATTCGTCATCAGGCTATAAAACACAAGCCACCCCCTTTATTAAAAAGATACTAGCTCCTTTCAATTTACCTGCTTAACCTTTCCCCTACCTTTACCACCTTTGCCAATATAAAGTACCGTTAAGTAACTCAGCCTATGTTTACCCACACACCGTTGTTGACGAAGCAGGTGATGTTAAGCTTCTCCTCCCACTCTTGGATTGGCTGAGGCCCCTTGAACGTCGGGTACTGCTGCATAAAGCGAAGGAGGACGTATCCAGCCCCGACCAGTGCAAGTTGCTGGCCTACATATCACATAACACATTCAAGTCAGCGAATATTCCTTCTTTTGCCCACGCCTTGGGAAACATAGGGGTGGAAGCAAATATTTACTTACCGAGACAGATGCGAGGACCACCACTGAACGGGATGTAGCTCCACGTCGGCCTCTCCTTCTCCCAACGCTCAGGCCTGAAGTCAAGGGAATCCTTGCCCCACAAGTCTTCGCGTCGATGAAGCGAGTAGGACGAGAAAGAGCACTCGTGGCCTTTGGGGATGAAGACGGGAGATCGTCCGTCCGGACCACCGCCCACGGGAAGGATGGTGTCCTTATTGGCGACGCGAAGGTTCTGGGGAACGGGAGGATACACACGAAGCACCTCCTTGATGACCCAGTTCAGGTACTTCATGTTCCTGACGTCATCGTAGGTGGGCATACGGTCTCCCTCCAGTGTATTGGACATCTCCTGGCGGAGCTTCTCCTGCACTTCAGGGTACCTGGCCAAGACGAAGAAGAGTGTGCTAATCAGGGAAGCCTCAGAGCCAACCGCTGCCAGGACTGGATTCGTGCATCGTTAGTATCACAATCATGACAAGGCAGAGACCAGGACCAATGGTGCATGCACCGGAGAAAGACTTACGCAGGTTGAGAACGTGATCACGGATCTGCTCCAGCGGCACGCCCTCGGCAGCCAAAGCGCGGGGAACAGTGTACTTGTTGTCATCCTCCACGTAAGATCCCTCCTTATGGTCACGAATAGCCTCCATAACGAAGGGGTCGACGCCCTCATGGAGCACGCGACGCGCCTCCTGGAGCTGGCCATCGCGCACAAGGAAGGACATCTTACCGGCACGGAGACGCTCCGAGATCATAGTGTTAGCCCTGTCGAGCGCCCACAAGAAGCGGCGGCCGACGTGGGCACGCTCCTCGGTGAGCACGTCGAGCGGACGCCCGGACAGCATCTCGGTGCCGACGTCGACCATGAAGCGCTGCGTCCACTCCTGGAGCTCGACGAGCGAGCCAGGGGGGTTCTGGCCGCGCAGGGACTCGAACCAGATCTGGAGGTGCTTCTCCCAGACGGCCGTGTCGGCGAAGTAGGACCGGGCGAGCTGAGGCCGGGCGGCGGTGCGGGCGTGCACCCAGTCCTGCCCGTCGGCGGCGAAGATGCCGACGCCGACGAACTCGAAGGTCGCCCAGCGACGACGGGGGCCCATGTCCCTGGAAATGCCCGTTAGTGGACATCATCACATAGGAGGAGAGAATGTTACGACTTACCAGTCGGCAAACTTGGTTGCCAAGATGGCCTTGATGTTCTCCGGGTCGCAGGTGACGTGCATGAGGTTACCCAGGAGACCCACTTCGAAAGTGTTGCCGTAGCTCTTGAACATTTTGTCGAAGTACTCCAGGTTGCGGTGGTTGCGGATGGCCTTATGCAGCGCGGTGGCGTGCTTCAGCCCAAAGATGGGATCCCATGCCATGGCATGGGGCGCCGGCTTGCAGCCATGGGAGCGGCGCCTTCGATACACTGTCACCTGGAAAGCGATGAAGTAGGCCACTGCCGCGGCAAGAGCCACGGGCAGTAGAGTCAGAGTCAACTGCATGGCGATGGCTGGCGAGTGTTGCTTGCCCTCGCTGTAGTAATTGTGTGATTGGATGGGTTGCGCAATGGTGACTTGACAAACTGCTAGAGTTCAATCTATGTCAACCTGAATCATGGACTGCTGTTGGAATCGTCTTCGAGTAGAAGGTAGCATGGTAAAAGAGCCAGCCTGCTTCGGTTCTGCGGAGGTGTTCCAAATATGCGGTCACTGTCAGCTCGGTAATCCGAGAGGGGGTGACGTCCGGTCGCAGCCTGGCAGTCGCTCGAAAGTCCGAATCAGGAACACGGAATCTCGAAAACGGACATCAGCTCTACAGCCGAGAGATGAGCAGATGGGCAGCGGACGACCCCGATGCCGGGTTCGCTGTCTGTTATCGACACCTTGGCTTACATACACTTAAATGTATGGAAACACCGTTGGCAGTAGAGCATGCAACACCCATTTTGCATTTTTGTCACACCGCAGCATTGAATACACGACCATCACTATGTCTGTTCCCTCGCAAACTTCTGTTCTCATTGTGGGCGCCGGGCCGGCGGGATCGTACGCCGCCTGCGTGCTCGCTCGCGAGGGCGTCGACGTCGTGCTTGTCGATGCCGATAAGTTCCCCAGGTACGTCAAATCATCATATCATTCAAGGACAAGGGGATGAACTAGTCTTCAAAATTTAAAGATACCACATCGGTGAGAGTATGCTGGCAGCGATACGGTTCCTCTTGCGCCTCATTGATGCCGAGGAGGCCTTCGATAAGCACGGCTTCGAAAAGAAATTCGGCGCCACATTCAAGATCACAGACAAGAGGGAGGCGTGTTAGTTTTCCCCAACTGCGACTGTTTTTGTTCCATGAACTGCAGAGAGGAGGCAGGACAAGATGGCTGATCATGGTTGAACCGCACACAGTCACCGACTTCTCCGAGGCGCTCGGCCCCGGCGGTCACTCATGGAACGTCATCCGGTCCGAGGCAGACGAGCTGTTGTTCAAGCACGCCGCGAACAACGGAGCCAAGACATTCGATGGCACGAAAGTGGACAGCATCAACTTCGAGCCCCTCCCCGATTTCGAGATGGGCGAGGGTTCGCACCTGGCCAACCCAGGCCGTCCCGTATCGGCCGACTGGTCGCGCAAAGACGGAACCAGGGGCAACATCAAGTTCGACTACCTTATCGACGCCAGCGGACGCAACGGGATCATATGCACAAAGTACCTGAAGAATCGCAAGTTCAACGAAGGCCTAAAGAACCTCGCCCAGTGGACCTACTGGAAGGGCGCGAAGCGCTTCAACGTTAGCAAGCGCAACGAGAACTCGCCCTTCTTCGAGAACCTCGATGACGCGAGTGGCTGGGTCTGGGCTATCCCGCTGCACAACGGCACATTGTCAGTCGGCATTGTGGCCCGCCAGGACCTTTTCCTGGCCAAGAAGAAGGAGCTTGGGCTGTCTGGCCAGGAGTTCTACCGCGAGTATCTCAAGCTTGCGCCGCAGATCAGCGAGATGCTGTCGAATGCAGAGATCGTAGCCGATGTCAAGCAAGCGTCGGACTGGTCGTACAGCGCATCGGCCTACGCGGGGCCGTACTTCCGCGTCGCCGGCGACGCCGCTGCGTTCGTCGACCCGTACTTCTCGTCAGGCGTGCACCTGGCTCTGAACAACGGTCTCGCAGCCGCTGTATCGATTCAGGCGTCGCGTCGTGGACAGGCGGATGAGCGCGCCGCTGCGAAATGGCACGCCACCAAGGTCGCCGAGAACTACACCCGCCTGCTCCTCATTGTCATGGCAGTGCAGCGCCAGCTGCGCCTCAAGCATGAAGAGCTCATCACTAGCAACTCCGAGGACGGCTTCGACACCGCCTTCAAGGCCATTCAGCCCGTCATCCAGGGTGTGGCCGACACTCACGAGTCAGATGCGTCGGTGCAGAACAAGGCGGTGGAGTCGGTTAACTTCGCGCTTGAATCGTTTGAAGTCACGCCCGAGCAGGAGAAGTTGATGACGGAGAAGGTCGTCCAGGCTGCGCAGAGGGCGCCCGAGACGCTCCAGAAGATGACGCCTGAGGAAGTCGACATCTTGAAGCGCATGAGCCATCGTGTGTTGCACCGCAACACAAACCGGAACAACAAGGGCCTAGTGGACTTTACAGGCCAGGTTATTGATGGATTCTCGGCGATACTGGAGCGCGGCGATGTGGGCCTGATCAAGGTAGAAGACTAGATGGTCACTTGTAGTAAATAGCAATTCTTCGTCGCTTCAGGATCTCTACAGACCCGACTTGGTTCCTGAGACAGTGATAAGGTAACATAGTATACGTTGATTTCTCTGCTATGCCAAGCTCCTGGTGTCTATCTCTGCCTGACTGCCTGTCCAGTGTCACGCACGCAAATGAGGGGAAGAAAGATGCAATCGCAAGCACATAATGTTAACCATAGGCCATCGGACCCGGACGTCCCTCGGGTATAGTTTGTTATTCTTGAGAGACGCTTCTTAGCACGCCGCGCTTTTCTTCACTCATCTTCATAGGTTAGACAATATCTTCACACAATGTGGACAATCGTACACATCATCATGCCGTCGTTTTGTACTTGTGCTTTTATCACCAGTGACCTTTTACTGCCATAAGTCCAACCACCAGAGACATGCTCTAACATTTCTCTCATACTAGATAATAAGGTATCAGAACAAATTGCTATCTATCTACCTAACCTCTAGGTACCCACCCTTATATCTTTATACACTCTAACACTCCCATCTCGCTAGTTTCCCCAGGAACAACATTCGTAATACGCAGACCGGCATTAGCAGCCAGGTTTTCAAACATCTCAATGGTACGCTCCTTTCCTGCGGTAATACACATGAACAAGTCCACGGCGGCGGCCATGGGTGTTGGCGGGTTAGTCATGATACACTCGACGATCAACAGCCGACTGTCAGACGCCATGGAGTTGTGGATCAGCCGTAGTACCTGAAGCACGTCCGCATCGGCATAGTCGTGCAAGGTACGGCGGATCTGGTAGACAAGGGCTCCTAATGAGAGTAAGGTATGTCAGTCTCATTTCGTAGCGTCTGATATAGGTAATCCCATATAAGCTTACCTTTGACAGGCTCATCCTTGAAAATGTCGATCGGCACCTTCTGCAACGCCTTGATCTCCTCCTCCTGCCGCATCTTCGCGTTATCCTCCAGCACATGCGGCAAGTCCTGCAGCACGCACCGCTCAGCCGGCAAGCCGGGTGTGTTCCGCAAGATTGACAGCAAGGACTCGCCGTCACTACCCGCGAGATCGACGACTAGGGGCCGGCTCTGGTCCTCGACGGATTTCTCAACGATCCAGGAGAAATCATACGGGCTAAGCATGGGGTAGAATCTAGAGCTGGCGCGCATGGACTTGGCGAAGACCTCGACCTCCTCTGGATCCGCCGACATGATCTCCCAGATGGTCTTGTCGGGCTGCCCCCGGGCAAATGTCCACGGGCTGCCGCGCTGCTGGGTTGGTTCGACCCGGCCGTAGCGCTCGAAGTACTTGGGAAGGACCATCGCCGCCCTCACTTGTCTTCAGGTTGATTAGCACGAGAGCCGCACGAGGTAGAGAATCCAAAGGGACTCACTCAGCAACCACGTCTAAAACACCCCTCAAAGTCACGTTTCCAATCAGCATCACCGCGTTCGGCGTGTTAACTACCTCGTCATCTCCAATCTGCTTGAGGAAGCCCGCCGCGACGAGCACCCATGCAAGGCGTCCTGCGACGCACGAGTCAACTTTGAGTCCTGCTAGTACATCCCCAGTTCGCTGATCAACTCACGGACAAGCTCGACTTCGGCTCCCAGCTCGTCGGCGAGCTGTGCGTACGAGATTGGCGTGATGCAGTCGCGCGGGATGCGCTCGAGCGCGCCCCAGTGCAGGAAGACACGCAGCACGCCCATGGCAGGGGGGATCAGCATCAGGTCCAGGAAGCGCTCCTTGGGCGACGTCATGCCGCGCAGCGCCGCGACGCCTGCCTTCTGCGCCTCGGCGGCGGTGCTCAGGCTCTCCTTCGCCGCGCCGTTGCCATTGGGAGAAGTGCTCTTTTGGCGGAGGGTATTGGCTGCTTGGGTAAGCTTGGCTGCGAGAGCGTCGAGGTGGTCGGGCGAGGGGGCAGGCGATGCTCCGGGTCCGGCCATGGTGACGAACAGGTGTAATCTTGTGAGTATGATATAATTTCCTAAGTCCGTCTCGATGACGTTGTGGTAGGGGCGTTATGGATGACTGTTTGTGATCCACCTAAGTCGGGACTTTTTATGTGTCTTTAAAGTGTCGACATCAATTCCTTGATCCGTGGTGTTATTTTGTCCGGTCTCGGCTGCCGTGCCCTTATGTCACCTTACATGATTAGGTAGTCCAAGGCATACACAGTGTCAGCTCGCCTATGTCGTCCTATCAATGTTCGGATAAACGTCCCTACTCGATTTTTGCTATGCGCGGCAAGGTGAGAATACTCCACAATTCCAAGTATTTCCTAACGTCGGGGATCCATCCTAGGACATCGGGAATCCGAGCTTGTCCGAGCTGAGTAATATGTCCATGAGAGGCGCAAAAAAGAGATTCAATGCTCAGGACTTTAACCACCCATCCCGCATCCCACTGTGCCGCGCCTGAAACGATGCATGGGTATGCTAGAATCAGCACTTTCTATTTTCCTTAGCTTGGCACTTAATTTATAAAAAAACACTGGTTCAGCCTGACCCAAATAGCAATGTTCCGGTCGCTTATAATTTACAGAATTTGCCGCATCACTCCCAAAATTAACATCAAAATATACAATTCCACCAATTCCAAACTAATAACAACATCAGATACTAGAAAAAATAAACCATTAGGTAGCCCCTCTCAAAATCTCTTTAATAATACTATATATAGGACTATAATACAGGTTTCTATATCTAACGTAGTGGTTGAATAGGAATTATAATATATATGCGTTGCAGAATGTTAGGGCAGACACACTTTCCCCCCGACGCACGGTCCTATTCGTGTTTGCTTACAATAGACAGTGGTTTTTGATTTAGAATCAGCGAGCTTTCTCGGGGCCGAGCCGCGTGGCGGATGCTATGTCGCTCTCGCGGTCGTTGGCAATGCGTCAGACTGCATTGCATAATCCTTCAATATGTAGGGTCGTAGTCGAGGGCCAGTGTCACAGCACACTCTACTATATAATAAGCATCGCTTCACCTCTCTCATTACCTTACAGCTCTTCAGCTATCAATAACAACAGTCAACGCATCTAATGTTCCAATTCCCTGAACACTGCACCCGACTGGTGACGCATCGCTCAGTGTTGCCAACCTAGTCCACTTACTTACATAAATCGACCACTCCTCTGAGCCCCCACAGGTTCAGACGTCACAAGATACCTTTTGACTGTCTCTAGTGCCTGCCGAGCTACGGTTTATTTTCCGGCACCCTTGTCCTGTTAGTGTTGAGATTGTATCCCAAGGAGGTAACCATACTGATTATAGCGTTAGCCCGACTCCACGAAACATATCTCATCAGGTCCAGACGCTACTAGGCACTGGACCTTGAGCAGAAAAGTGCATCATGAACCACGACAAGAACAGTCCAGACGTTCAAGATCAACTACCAGCTTGTGAGAGGTGTCATGCCTCAAAGGTTCGCTGTCGCAGGGCGCCCGGCGAGGTGCGGTGTCGTCGTTGCACCCGCGCAGCATATTCCGACTGCCATCCTCGACCATCTCGTCGAGGTGGTCGTGTTGGCCAGCAGCAAGCAAGGCGAGGATCAAGCGGGCCGCCATCGACACCAAAGCCTATGGAAGAAGACACCCTGAGCCTTCCGGCGACGGCAGTGTCATCAAACAACATAACGACTGACACGACCCACGACTTGCATCAGCAACAAACACATGACATGAACACCGACACATCCAACGCACTTCTGGACCTGATATCGGTATCCATGGCCCCCAGCGGCGACGGCCTCTCCGACCTGTCATGGGAACCGCTTGTCCACGACGTTGGACCGGACTCGATGCGCGCCGTTACACTGCCCACATCTCTCGCGCCAACATTAAGCAATCCCAGCGCCTCCAGCCACAGTATGCGCCCCGGCCTCTCAGAAACGCTCCAAGATGGAGTTACATCAACCAGCGGCCTAAGCACGATGCACAAGATAAGGGGTAGCGGCAGCGAGAGTCGGTCTCCAGAACTGTCAAGACTTCCCTCAGCATCATACATGCAAGCTCTGATGGACCTCCACGCACAAATGCTCTCACAGCAAGACAGCCTATTGCAGTTCCTGGCGGCCCCGATGAGATACACACACGTCCGCCCTACGGGCGAGATCAGCAGGCGGGCCAGCAGCAGCAGCGACACGACATTTGCCGCCTTCCCCGAAGGACCTGTTGAAGCCGCCCTGCGGCTCGGACTCGCCCTACGTTCGCTGCTCCACCCCAACCAGACATGCGAGCGCGACATGCCCACCGCGCTCTTTCTCATTAGCACCGTCCTTCGCCTGGCCTCGCTGCTGCACGATCTCCTAGGGCGGCTACAGGGGATGCTCGCGCAGGTGACCAATAGGAACACGCTGTGCGCGTTTGTGTTCCCGTCTGTGCGGCTCGGGTCACTGCTGCTCAAGGAGCAGAACGACGACCGGCTGAGACCCCTGCAGATGCACTCTATCTCCATGGCGCTGGGCGCGGCGGAGGGGCTGATCGATGAAGTGATCCAGCTCACGGAGCGGGCACTGCCCGAGAATATCGCCGACGCGTCCGGCACAATAGAAGATGGGGAAGGGAATACGAAGGACGAGTTTGGTCTGCAGGCGTTAACGCAGGCGCTGGTGGCGAAGCAGGAGGCCGTAGTAGAGAGCATCTCGGGACTCAGGGATATGCTATGTTGCTGAAGGTACTAAGGGAAAGAATAGCCGCGATATGCGTTAGCGAAGAAGATCCAGCGGGACGGGGACCAGGGTGCCAGAGACCGAAGACGATGGCGCGAGTTTATTGCCAAAGTAACACCATGCTGCAGATCAGGCCTTCCGCGCCCAGAGGAAGCACCAAATCGAACATGACCAACCGCAAAGGCGAGGCCAAGATTTCCACCCAACAAGCATTCTGGATGCTTCTCGGCCGGTGATTAATACATGGTCCGTCCTCGACGGGGCGCAAATGCCGGAGCCGGCAACGGCGCCGGCCCGGTCCGAGGCGTCGCCAAGGGAGTCAAGGAGCCACACTACTCGAGCGACAGACACAGCAGCGTAGCGCTCGCTAGCAGCCACCAGCACTCGCAGCGGCTCAAACGGCTTCGATGTCGCCGCCGCCCCCAAAGTCATACCTATGTCATTTAGCGACATGTATAACCCTGTGCCAAGACCCCACCGTTATCTCGTTCTCTAGACGAAAGCAATAAGACGGAGGGAACATACCGGGATGTGGGAGGGTCAGCCAGAGCCCGAGGCTTCGCGATAGCTAAATATAGCAGTATGTGCCGCCCTAGAGCCTTATTATTAGAAAGTGGGCTCTATCTAAGGTTCACATCTGCACGCTTATCTTAGAACTTTTTCAAAAAGCATAGTCCTTTAGACTACTCACTGGTTTATTCTACGAGAATAGGTTAGCGCTAGGTGTTACACGCCAGACGCCCGCCGCTGAGACGGGCCAGCACCTGCAGCAGGTTTAGTAGGGTTCGGTAGGGCTCGGTAGGGTTTCGGTCCGGCGGGCGCGGGGCGTACTGTCTCCGGATCAGGAAGTTCTCTTAAACTCCATATCTCCGGGGTGGTAAGCGACAGAAGCTGTGTCAGATCGTGGCCGTCACATTTTAAGGCTTATGCGCGCGGTGCGCTCTATTATGCCCCATGGGGCCTAGCACCTATTCTCGGGAAATACCGTAGGAACTAGTAGGTAGCACTGCCGGGCAATTATAAATGCCCTTCCTTTTATCTCGAAAAATAACCTATGGGCCTGTTAATCACGCGTTCCCGCCTAAGTAGGCCCTTGTTTAGCTTAGTGCCTAAGGTAGCTAGTAGTCTAAGAAAAAAAAAATATATTAAAATTAGGCCTTAGTTACCCCCTTAATTAATATTATTAAAAGGGTTAATTTTATAGCTAAATTAAAGGTAAATTAAGATATTAATTTAATTAGCTATTAACTAGTTATTTTCCTATATAATTCCTTTATATTATAAAGCCTCTTTAAGATTAATTTAATTTATTTATTAATAGTTTCTTATATAAAGCTATTTTAACCCTCTTATATAAGGCTTATAAAGGTCTTAGGGTCTTAATAAATATATTTTTTAATATATTACTTTAATATAAATTAGGTATTCTCTATAGGGCTTAAATTAAGGCTATTAAGGTAATTAAAGAAATAATTTAAATTATATTTCTTTTTCTAAGCTTATATAAGGTTATAAGTATTAGGCCTATAGCTGCTATTATTATTTTCTTTAAGGATAATAATATAGCCCTTATTAATTTACTTCTTAATTACCTTCTTAAGAATCTTTTTATAATATACTTCTTATATTATTTTATTATTATATTTAATAAGTACCTTATATTAAATAAGATTACTTTTAAAGTTATAGCTAATAGCTACTTAATAATATAATTATTTAAGGTCTTTCTTATTAAGCTTTTATTACTCTTAGAGATTAAAAGGTTTATTTTTTATACTAGGCTTCTTAGCTATAAGGTCTTAGCCTTTATTATTATAATTAAAATATATCTTATTTAAGAAAAATATATTTATAATTTAATATATTACTACTCTATAAGAGATTATATTATCTTAATTAATATCTTAGTAATTTTAATAATAAGGCGCTATTATTATATTAGGGAAAATTATTTATTTAAGAAGGTAAAAAACCTTAGTTAAAATTAAATTACTTCCTTAATTAGCTCTAAAACCCCTCGCCGGCTAAGCTTAATAAGATAACTTATATTAATAAGGTTTATACTATTATATAACCTATTACGTAATTAATTATATAACCTTAATTTCCTCTAGTTATATATATACCTCGCCGGGCCTTACCTTATAGCATAGATTAGTAATTATCTCGGTTAATTAGGATTAATTATATAACCTAATTATATAATCTAAGGGCTAGGTTATTATTATATATACTCCCTCGGTGGGGTTAGGGCTTAGGGCTTAGGTTAGTTAGCTATAAGGTAGGTCGGTTTAGGCGGGTCTTATAGCGGCGGTTAGTAATTTTAATAGTAATTTTAACTAGGGTTATTAATAAATTAGTAGCTAATAGCATAGTAGCTAAGGGCCTCTATTTTATATGCGGGTTATAGGTTTAATCCCTGCCCTATATAACCTTTTTATAAAAGTCCTATAGGGTAAGGAAAAGGGTCCTCTAGCTAGCCTCGAACTAATAGCCTCCTTCTTATGAAGGTAACTATAACTAAGGTATAGGAACTATTATACCACGGAGGTAAAAAAAAATATATTATATTAATCCTTAGGCTTTAACCTAAGTCTAAGGGTATTAATAATATAATTATATTAATAATTAATTTTATTTTTAAACTTAAAGCTAACTTTCTTAATAAGTTACTTATAAAGTTCACGAGTTATAATTAACTTTTAAATTATAAAAATAAAAGTATTAATATTAATATTAGCTTTTATAGCGAGATTAAGCTATAATAGCCTCTTAGCTTTAAAGCTTTTATTTTTATAAAGAGCCTTTATAATATTAAGATTATCTTTAAATAGCTTTTTAACTTACCTATAGGTCTCCTTAATATATAATTTATTAAATCTTTTTTAGCTTATAGGTATAGCTAAAATATAATATATAAAGTATAAAATAATATAAAAAGCTAGCCTTAGGGGGACTTATAGGCTTTATATAAGAAATCTTATTAAATAATAAATTATATTTATAGGCTATAGGTTTCTAAAAGGAAAATATATTTAATTAAAGATTTATATTTTTTATTTTAAGGAAATAAAAATCTTTTATAAGGATTATATTAAGGGATACTAAGGGGAATCTTTAGGCTTTCTTAAGGATTATTTTTTTTTCTTAATTTTTATTCTCTTAGGGAATTTTAATAAATTTCTCTTAAAAACTTTTAAAAGAAATCCTTAAGAAATCCCTAAGAAATCCTTATTTTATTTAATAAAAGAAATCCCTAGGATTTCCCTAAGTAAATCCTAGGGAGGTTATATAACCTTAACTTTATAATTTTTTATAATAAGTCTCTTTTATTATAATATATATTACCCTTAGTATATTTATTTAATTTATTTCTATATAATAATAGCTCTAAGTAAAATATATTAAAAAAAAATATTAATATTTATATGAAGAAATATATTTTTAAGGTATTAATATTAATAATAATTTATATAAGGAAAAATATAAAATAATATATAATAACGCGGGAATATATATAAATAAAGGGTAATATATCCCTTTAATATAGTAATTTCTCCTCTTATTAATTTAATATATATAATTAAGGACTTCCTTATTTTTATTTTTATTTATCTTATTATTTTCTTATATCCCTTTAGTATTTATAAGGCCTTATTTATAGGTATCCTAGTTTATATTAAGGATCTTATCTTAGGTTATTATATAGAGCTAGAGGATTTTCTCTTTATTATTAATCTTAATCTTAATAAAAGATATTTAATCTTTACCTTAATATATAATAAGCTTAGGTATAAAAAGGCTAGGTACTTATATTTTACCTTAATTAATTAAGGTATAAATAATAATTACTTTTATATATATTATAATATTATACTTAATATTCTTAAAGAACTTATAGGCTTTAAGGAGGTATTTATTCATAATATTTATATCTAAGAAGAGATTAATATCTTAGATAGTTATATATAAAGAAATAATAAAAATAAAATTAATAATTAATTTAATTAAGGGTATATTAAAGCTTATAATAAAAGACTAGGTAATTCTTATAGCCTTAGTAATATTAGCGAGGGTAAAAAGCTTTTAAGCTTTATTATAAATTATCTTAATTATAATATTAAAGAGAGAGGTATACTTCTTTTTAATAAAAAGTATAGCCTAATTTCTAGCTATAAGCTAATATATAGGGATATTATTATTAATCTAAGTAATAATATCCTTAAAGATAATTAATATATTAGGAATCTTAGGTACTTAGTTTTTATTAGCCTATATAATTATATAGGTTTTCTTAAGTATAATTAATAGGTTTTTTATTAAGGCTATTTATTTATTAAGAGATTTACTTAGCTTTATTAATTTAAATAAGTTAATTTCTATTTTATTAATAAGATTAATAGATATAATATAAGATCCTTAGAGGGTAAATCTAAGAATTAATATAATAAGAATATTAAAGCTATTTATAATTTAATCCTAGGCCTATAAGAGCTATTTATATTTAAAAGTATTATAACCCCTTAGGTTACTTAGGGCTTTCTTAGCCTTATAGAGCTAGGTCTTATTATTATTATTATTAATAACCTTTTAGAGGGTATTAACTAAGATATAAGTGCCTTTAATTAGACCTAAGGTATTTTTTTTATTTTTATTATCTTTTAAAAAGAGATTACCCTTAAATTAATTAATAATAATATTCTTTAAAGCTATAAATTAGCCTTATTTATTATATTTAATACTTATAGAGATTATATTAAGGGATAATAAGTTAGAGTTTAAATTAATATTAAGTTTAAGTAAAATTTAAGTCTAATATATAGGTATATATAATATATACCTAGCGGGTATAAGTATAATTTAATAAGTAATAAAGATATTATTAGCTTATTTATTAAGC